ATTTAAATAGACTCAATCATAATGATGCTTGTTATTTGAATGTTTTAAACAAACGAATGGATTTAATCTTTTAAAATATTTTAACAATTAAGATTAAATGTGTATAATGAATTGGATATAGAGAATCCTTATTTAACAGTATAATAAAATATCATTATGTATAAGATTCAGTTTGCGTAGGACATATGATATAGGAAGTTTAAAGAAATAATAAGTCATTCCTATTATGTGATAACTTGATATCATATTTATCATAGTTATTTATGGAATATTTGATGTATTTTCTTAATTGTTATACCAATTGTTGGATTGTGTGGTTTAATGCACCGGTATGGGACGGTGGCATTCTAGGGATGGATTAACTTATCAGTTAAGTCCTACCTATTTTATATAAGGGAATGGATTAACTAAAATGTTATGTCCTACTTATATTTAAGTCAGGTCAGCTGAACAAGTTGAATGACTTATGGAGGATTAATTTATTATATAAGAGAATGAATTAACTAAAATGTTAAGTCCTACTTATATTCAAGTCAGGTCAGTTGAACAAGTTGAATGACTTATGGAGGATTAATTTATACTGGACAGGATGGTTACTAGATTTTATATATATAAGTATGGTGCCATGATATGAGCTTGAGTCTCAGGATCAATGGTTAGGGCGCGTATATCGCCAGGGATGTGTAGCTAGATATAGTGTAGTTGTGTACCCTGGTAGGTCTAGGTACTCATGCCCACTATATGTGCGTTTTGCATGTTGCCTACTATTCAGGTTGAGACAACCCTATAGTCTAGTGAGGTTCCTTTAGTGTGTGTGTGTATATATATATATATATACGGACTACTAGTTACTGTTGGATTGACTAGGATGTATACGTGTATCGGATCTCTGCTTGGACTGTAGTAGAGTAGAACTTGTTTGTAGGCCTGACCCACCATTATTTTTCAGGTGTTTGTCACGAGTAGAGGTTGTTCGTGCTGAGCGGGGATCAGTCTACTTCATTTTTCCGATGCTACATAGGAGTTTCTTTATGATTCAGTTTCTTGTTTCAGATTACTGTCATTTGTTTAGTTTGGATTTTCTAGGGGTCCACACAGTATGGATTCCCGAGTTGTATTTTGGAGGATCAGTTGTATCAGAAGAGTTTATTAATTAATGGAAATATATTATGAGGTTTATTATTAGATTATCATTTTAGTTTCTTGTTAGCATTTTATATATTCTTCTTTATTCTTTTGTACTCTGTGTTCGTTTATTATCAATTTGTTTTGATATCCTCGGGTATTCGGGCATGGGCCTGGCCAACCTGCATTCGAAAATTCGGGGGTATCACAGTTAGTCACTTGTTAAGGATATAGAAAAGCATTGCTTGGTGGTGATTTCTAAACCCCAAGATCTCTCTCTCTATTATTTACGCTTAATTGCATTATTGTGTTATCACTTAGTTTAATTTAGTTGTTCTCTAATCAACCAACCAACCAATTGTTTGATCATTCGACCTACTAGCCATAATAGCGATTCCACAACCAAGTACGACTCCAATCCCTTGAGACGATCCCTACTCACCCTTGCTATATTTTTAGTGAAGGTAGTAGTGACTTTTATAAATGTAAAACTCTTGGCCCTCGCCTTAATGCACACTCTTCGAGCTTGATATGGTGTAGCGACCCTCACAAGGAAACACACATCATTATTATTTTTTATTAATGTGCGTGTGTGTGTGTGTGTGTGTGTGTGTATATATATATATATATATATATTTGTTGTGTATGCGTATATTATGTGAAGTTAGAAAGTGAGGAGAGAGAGAGCATGAGGTGAAAGAAGAGGCTGTCGAAACGATTCGCCGGTGGGTGGAGGTCGGCGGCAACTGACTGATATAGAATAATCCCATCGGTGACTGATTTTCAATCATAACAACAAACCTCATCAAAGCATGGCCCAATCTTGCCAACAAACCTCATCAAAGATCCATTTGAGAACAATTGGATAATGACAAAATTGATTGGTGGTGGTGGAGGGAAAGTTTCCGGCGACTGCCTTGATGCCTCTCCATGGTCAATTTTTTTTTTCTATTTGATATGTGACTTTTTAGGGAAAAAAAACTGAACAACAATGGCAATTTTTGATCGGTTCATCTCTGACATCATAACTGGCCGCCGTCCACAACATTATCCACCTTGGTCAACTATAGAGCCATATATATCAACGGAGGGTAATATAGGAATTTTAATTAATTTAATGCATAACGTTAGCACATTCTGTCTTGACTGTCGTTGACTCTAACGGAAGGAAGGTAGTAGGATATTCTCAAAATTAGGGGAGGTCCAAATAATTTCCCAAATAGAAAAGGAGGTCCATATAATTATGACAAACTATAGGGGAGGTTTGTGTAAATTATCCTAAATTAATTAGAAAGTTAAAGAAATAAAAAGGTTCAAAAATTTTAGGAACTACATGCGAAGCAACAGCGAAGGCAAGGATTACACCACGGCACCACCACAACCTCTAACTTCACCATCGCCATTCTCACCCTATAACCACTACCATCCTCTCTCAAATTGAAATAAGTCTCTCTCCTTGTCCCAAAAATAAAATGGGTCTGCAAAAGGTTAGAGAAAGGAAAAAGAGTAAAGAATCACTTCGGATGTTTTTGTCTTTTCAAAATTTATTGTGTTTGTAATAAAATACAATATAGATATAATAAGGGCAGAAAAGTAATTTCAATAGAACTGTTAACGCTATTCATCAAAGAGCTCTGACAAGGGAGGTCATTATAATTTGAAAAATAAGAGGGGAGGTCAGTATAGGTTGACGAAACTTTAGGGAAAGTCAGTGTAATTATCTCAAGTTTCAAATATACCTTTGTTAAAATACAAAATAGTATAATTAGTGCACGTATTTAGTAAAAATGATAGTTTGAAAATGTTATTAAAAAATATTACATTCAATTTTGAAAGAAAACATATTTTTTTTAATATCTCGAAATAAAAAGATGAATGAGTATTTTAAGACAAATGGAGTATACGAGTTAATTCAATGCTGAGTAAATCTAAGGTCAATTAATAAATCTTATTTATAGTAAATTAAGTCAAAACCTAATAGAAAGGTTGTCCTATATTTAAGTTTTCTAAGATACTCCGTATCACTTATCTTTTCAAGCTTAATGGAGCACATTATTCAGATATTCTGATGTAACTTCCATTGTGTTATTCATTCTCTTTTGTTTGGTTGGATGAAAAAGAAGATAATAAGACAATGCCTTATTTTGTTTTGTTAGGAAAGAAGAAAAAAGAAAGTATTAATTATAAGGAAAGATTTGTAATTTAAAAATATTTATAAGAAAAGTTTTGTAATTTAAAAACATTTATAATAGTCTTACTTTTCTTCCTTAGTGTCTTAAACTCATCATCCTTTTTTCTATTCCATCCTTGCCTTCTCTCTACCAAATGAAGGGAAGTTATTTTTTCCTTCTTATTTTTCATCCACTCCTCTTTCTTTCTTCCTACCAAATGGAGAATAAGGAAAAGATAGCGTGTCTCCTTCTTTCTGTTCAATAATTGGATGGAAGAGGATAAAATAAGCTCAAATTTTACAATGTTCTATTGTTAAAAAAATTTAATGCCAAATGAGATTAGCAAACAATGATTAGGGGAAAGAAAAATTAAAAAAGATATGTGTTACATGGGGAGTCTTGTCTATGTATGGGTTGATTGTTAGTCTCATTTAACAACTTAAGTTTTTGGATCGGATCGGGTGGAGGTGAATGTTACAAGGGAAGTTTTGTCCGATATCGGATCCGGATGAAAAGTAAATAGGTAATATGAGTTGGGTGTTAGCCCCATCTAACAGTTTAAACTTTTGGATCGGATAGCGAAACACCTGCCCCGTTACAATTAGGGTGGCAAAGCCAACACGACACGAGTTAAGTGAGATTTTGTTCACATTAAATGGATTCGGGTCGTAAACGAGTCGACACGATTAACTCATTTATTTAATTTTTTTGTTGATATGTTCAACCCGTGTAACTTATTTTCTTGGTATAAATAAATTTATATTTAAGTTCCAAAATTACTATATAAACTTGTGTCTTATAATTTGCTTTTTTTAAAACTAGATAATATTTAGTAATTTGGTTGAATTGAAACTTATATTTTTATAGTATTTATTATTTTGTTGACTATTATTAACAATTTAAATAATATAATTTTTATTTTTGTAAATAGGTTATTGAATTGATTACACGTGTAACTCGTTTAATAAATAGGTCGGGTTAGTATTGAGAGTTTCTAACACGATTATTAAACGTGGTCGGGTTGAACTTTTGAGTATAATACATTTAGGTCGATACGATACGATTATGACCCACGAATACAAATTGACACCCTTATACAATAAGCCAATATTAATAATAAAAATACAAGTAGTGATACTCACACTGAATACTTGCAGGACCGAATAAATTTTGATTGACTATTTATACCAAATGCAATTAAGTGGAAGACTCTTAAGTTACAATAAGCCAATAATAATAATAATAAAAATATGAGTAGTGATACTCACACCGAATACCAGTAAATTGCCTAACCGAATAATTTTTTAATTAATTACTTCTTTATTTGTTGTATAATTGATCAATTAAAAAAGTAAATCTATTAATTTACTGTAACTATTCGGTGTAAAAATAATTTTTCTAAAAGTGTTATAGCATTAAATACTACATGTATAACATTTTTATTATATTATATCATCCAATCCAATTATTATTAGATCAAATAAAAAATAATCTATATTGCTATCTCTAACGGATCCAATCCATCGACAGATCTAGCCCATGTGAGTCGCCTGACCCTATGTTCATTCTTGGGTTAGGTCGGGCTTACTTGTGCTTGCCTCGATGCATCCGGTACACGACCCGAATTGGAACCCACTTCCACCGTCCACTCCCTACTACTAAGTTTGTCATCGAGTAAACTGCGAAACTGTATCGTGTAATATGAGATCTATCGAATGGCACTATAAAATTAATAAAAGTAAGCCAGAAATATATTTTCGTAACTACAAAGTATCATCAATTAGTTGCCCCATACATATATCTCTCATTTATTGTCCCCTTCAATTTACATTCACAGAGGACGCGCTTACAAGAGCAAAGCCTCTCTCTCCCTCTAATTCTCTCTCCGATCTCTCTCTATCTCATCGGTTGGCGAGCAATTCCAACGAAGGTCGCTGGTAGCTTAGTCTTCGCTTCATTCACTGTGATCTCATCTGGATCTCTAGGGTTCCTCAAATCTTCACTGTCAGATTTCATCTCTAAAAATGGTGAGTTTATCAGTTGTTTTTGACTTATTGTTGTTCGAATGATTCCACATTTCAATATATTAGATCTGGCGTGATTCTGATTTGGTTCGATCTGAATATCCAATCACAAGTTGGTCAAATTTCATAATTCTCGTAGAATTCTAGTGTCCTTACTGAGTCAATTTGAGTGTTATACTCAAAGATCAGATAGGCTTTGATTTTATTTTAGATCTGTTATTTAAATTCGTACTGATTAATTCTACATTCCTTCTTTGATTGGGCGATTGGGATATCACAGCCTCTCAGACTCGAAATAAAGGTACTAAGATTTATTTACTTTGAATTACGTTTCTCGTAAAAAGAATTTAAAAACAATTGGTTTCTAGATTAGATCTGCATTCTTTACGTGTGACTTTTGAAATGCTAGAGTGATCATGCTAACAATTATTACTTTATCAGAGGAAACTTGCCCAAAGATCAGAAAGAGTGAAATCCGTGGATCTGCATCCGACGGAGCCATGGTAATTATACTTTCTTTTGTGCCAATCTTTTCCTGATTTACATTTCTTCATCTTTTATGTTTAATCTTGCGTTGTTGAAAATGTTCATTGTTGGTTAAAGTTAATATTATTAATATTTTTTAATGTTTATTTATCTACAATGCATTGTACCTTTTTCCTGCAGGATTTTGGCAAGTTTGTACTCCGGGACCGTTTGTATTTGGAACTATCAGTCTCAGGTATGCAACATATATGTTATGCCTTTAACGAAGCTTTAGTACCTCCCAAATTATAATTAGTACCTTGTTTCAATACTTTCTTTCGTGTAATAAACCATGCTTTTCTTGGGCTTGGCAGTTGTCTTATTAGCATATGTCATACTTAATGATTGCCTTTTGTTAATAAAAATGCAAAAAAAGAATTATACAATAAAGAAGGATGAGGATTCCTTTACTCAGAAGAAACTACGGGCAACCCATACAAAAGAATTAGGTGTCCAAACCTCAGATCTGACAGCAATTAGCCCTCATTGGGGAAAAGTGCCCTTTAAATAGATTAGATCAAGTAGCTCGGTAGCTCCTTCTTAGCCCAAAATTGGTTTATGCACAGGTTGACCTTGAATTTCATCTAATTCCATTGGCTGATAAAAGTCATTCGTTTTAATATATGAGAAGAAGCCGCCACCCATGCTCTCATAATTAAAATCTAAGGCATGCCTTTTCAATTCCTCATAGGCCCTTATAGAGACCAGAAAAGCACCCTATTCCGAAGATCATTCTCCTAGCTACTTATCTTTAAAATGGAGTTAAAAAATTTGAGCTTCATTTTTACTCTAAATGTACCATATAGAAAGGATGGCACCACTTTAAAGAATTTTAGCTTTCTGGCCCTTGCCAAAACCATGAAAAAGGATCTCAAGCATTGATCTTTTATTCTGTGAAGTAATTCAACAAAGCCTCTGGACAGCGAAGAGATTTGCCTGGATGCATAGTGGAGGGGGCAGAGATTGGGGAGATGATTTGAAGTGTTTTTACTATTCTGACACAAACACGCCAATCTGAGCTAAATACATAGTGTACAATGGCACTAACAGATGTCAAAATCCGTGTTTAATTGTTTTTGTTTTCATCTTTAATTCCATTATTCTATGCAGTGAGGATGAATTACAATATTGCTGGGAGACATATTATTTTACCTTTAATATCAATGTATTGTGGCAATGAGATCATTCATTTAATATTTGTGGCATCTGATGAAAGATCCACCTCCTGAATGATGAGTGAATTAAGATGTAATGAAGTCATTTAATTGAATCCTTACTGTTTATCGTCTATGGTGTTGAGGCTCCAGGCTCTATTTAATTTTTGTATATTCTAGTTTTGCAAAAATCATTATGAAATAATGTGATCCCATAAGATGTCCAAGGGTACCTTACTTGATTCATACATTCCGGATAGTTATGCTAGGAATTATTAGTCTAATTGCAAGTTATACTGGCCTGAATTTTAGATAGTATTTCGGCTATAACAAGGAAAAAGATTATTTAAAAAAAATAAAGAGGAACTACACTAGTTTTTAATTGCCATGAAATAGTATCACTTTCCCCAATATATAAAAAGTGAGAAAGCAAATTAGCAGGCAATAGGAAAAACAAATGTTGAAAACTTATCCAAAGTTCATATAGAGCTGGTGCATAGCACGGTCCACTGAAATCTGTTGAATTGATAAACTTACAATTATATAAGCTTGTCCAATTATGATATTTTTAGTTGCAACTTGCCAATCAACTAGTATTATTATGTTGGGATATATATTGTGCTAGTAGGATAAGTTCATTTAGTTACAATTTATTGTTTTTCTAAATCATTTTTTAGTAGTGACCCTATCTTCCAATACCAGTGAAAATGTTATGCGAGGGGAAGAAAGGTCATTTTAAAGCTTAGTCATATTGGATCATTGGATATGAAATTTGTGTTATAAATATTGTTACTATATGAGAGCACTAATGGAAATTTATATGTTCTTTTTGGATGAATGCAAGCAATTGTGGATTATTACTACAACGGTTCATACTTAATAATGGTCTTTTGTGCACACATGGAGATGAAAATTTGATTACTGACCTCTGAATTCTGAAGGCAATCTTCTGATATGCAAAGTAGCCTATGTTTTAATTCTTTCCCACCCTTGAGTGCTATTTTATAAAACTGAATTTTAAGAGCTGAATTTTAAGTGCTGAAGTTTTTTAATGTAAAAAAAAATCTTTCATGTTTTTGAATTTCAAGTGTTCAACTGCAACATACTTGTCAAAGAAAAAAAAAAAAAAAGTGTTCAATTGCAACATACAGTAATAAGTGAAGTCACTGTCACTTAAAAATTTATCCCATTTTAACTTTTATGTGGTGCTCAAGTGATATTCGAATTGCATTATCACACACAGTTAATTGAATAAGCACTTAGTGCTAAGTGCTAAATCGGGTTTTCAAACAGCACCTTAGTTCATCATAATTTTTGTTCAACTCAGGAATGACTGCCTCTTGCTTGGTTCCTTAGCAGTTCTCTGTTTTCTGTCTAATTCAATTCATTTAGTATAGTTTAGTTTTTTGATGTATATACATTTCTCTCTTCTTTCTAGTACAAAAGTTTCATTTTTATTTTTGGGTAAACCCCTGTATGAGGTCAAGTGAGTGAATTTTTCTTCCTTTAGATTGGTGAAGAATGCAAATGAGGGCTATAAATCTTCTTTTAAGTTTTTTTCCGGTACTGATGAATCTAGAATATAATACGAGATTATGAAACATAATTGATATTTATGTTGAGGAATTTTATTGTTTCATGGAAATTTGTTGAAACCGTAATGATCTACAGTCCAAATAGAAGTTTAAAATTTACGAGGAACTGCTAACGCAAGCAAGATATTACTTTCTGAAAAGACTTGATAATGGTAGTAAAAATAACATAATTCTAGAAAATGGTAATGTAATGCTACACGAGTTCTTCTATTGTAGAAATTTCGGCCCAATCATATAGTGGTTTGGTTCCTAGTTCAGTAGTTGACCTGCTGGTTCATTGCCTGCTGCTTGAAATGGAAGGTGGGTTTTCAAACATCACCTTAGTTTATCATGAGCTTGCATTTCTGGCATTGTATCTGTTGAATAGCTATGAGAATATGGTTGATCACATTTTGTGGTTAATCAAATCCATAGGGGTACTGCCAACTTAGACTTGAGGAAATGAAGATTTTCTTGATGAAAACTTTAATGTAACCACACTTGACCTCAGTTGCACTATAATTAGATACACTAGCATATATTAGGTTTTATCACATGATCAGCAATTTCTAAAATGTTTCAACTACTCTATTTTGAGTTTTAACTAGAGCATGATAAGAAATCTGTTTTTTGTATAATCGGTGGTTTTAAAGGCCGTCTAAGAAGCACGGACACGGATACGACACGACACGGACACGGTGACACGGCAAATCCAAAAAAATTAGGACACGGATACGGCGAATAGTATATATATATGTGTGTGTGTGTGATTTAGTACTTTAAAAATTACTGAGTGTTACTATTTTTCATCATCCTCACAATGAAAAAAAAAACACAAATCATAACTCATAACTAATAAACTATAAAAGAACAATGTTGCATAGTTATAAAACGAAATGAAAAACAAGACATTTGAATAATAACTAGTATCATTTAATCATCATTGCAACTTTACTCCAAATACAAAAGCATAGATAGAAAGGACTATTAACATTCATGACTGTTTAACATTCAGGACTTTACTGTTAGCACTTAACATTCACAAAAACCTAAAGGCTAGTCCCCAAAAAAGATACGAAAACAAGTCAGTATCATCTATTCCCATCCATCATTTGACCTAGGACTTTTACCATTTACAATACCAAAAGGGTAGTACAAAACAAAAAATAGAATATATCAGCATTAATTTTTTTTTTTTAAAAATAAAATTCTAGACACGTGTGTCCACGGAGTGTCCGTGCCGTGTCCAAAAATTAAAAAAAATAAAAAAAATTATAGACACATTTTTTGGTGTGCTACACGTGTCGGACACGGATTCTTCACCCATTTTGGCGTGTCCGTGCTTCCTAGAAGGCCGTAAGGATGATCTTTTTTTCTTGATCGAACTATCTCTTGCATCCTGTTTTTCTTTGAGTCTCCTTTGAAGTGCTACTGTCTTGTCATAACTTTTGATAGTTGTGTGTGTCATTGGTGTTTAAGGAATGTTCTGAAGACTTGGAGCAATTGATTTTTTTTTTTTTTTTTTTTTTTTTTAGAGCAACCATAAAGTTATCAAGACTTTTTGGAAGTTAAGCTCATTAATATTTTTATCATGCTGGTAACAATTTCCTGAGCATTAATGTTTTCTTGAAACTCATTTCTACTGTTGCAGACTATGGTGAAGTCTTTTGAGGTTACCGAATTACCAGGTACATGGTTAACATTTTATATCATCTGTTTGTTCCGTAAGCAAATGCATTTATTCTCGCATTCTCTCATCTTGATGACTTTGCACTGATCTAACATCTATTCTATGTTCTTGCAGTTAGATCCGCAAAATTTATAGCACGCAAGCAATGGGTTGTAGTTGGTGCTGATGACATGTATATTCGTGTATACAATTACAATACAATGGATAAGGTCAAAGTATTTGAGGCGCACACAGATTATATTAGGTGTGTGGCTGTTCATCCTACCCTTCCATATGTTCTGTCATCATCTGATGACATGCTTATAAAGCTCTGGGATTGGGAGAAGGGATGGGTGTGCACTCAAATTTTTGAGGGTCATTCCCATTATGTGATGCAAGTGACATTTAATCCAAAAGACACCAACACTTTTGCAAGTGCATCTCTTGATCGCACTATAAAGGTATAAATGGAATTGTCTATAGGTAACCTGTAACTATGATCCTTGTGTCTTTTAGGTACAAGTGACGTATAGACTGGTTTTGTCTCCTTTTCCAGATTTGGAATCTTGGCTCTCCAGACCCAAATTTTACACTGGATGCTCATTTGAAAGGGGTAAATTGTGTTGATTACTTCACGGGAGGTGATAAACCTTACTTAATCACTGGTTCTGATGATCACACTGCTAAGGTTTGCCACCTAAGTTTCCTTTTCCTATCTGTAATATGTCTGCATACACGTATTATTTAGAATATTTATGGTTAAATCCTACTGAACAGGTGTGGGACTATCAAACCAAAAGTTGTGTCCAGACATTAGAAGGCCACACACATAATGTGTCTGCCGTATGCTTTCATCCTGAACTTCCCATAATAATTACAGGATCTGAGGATGGTACTGTTCGTTTATGGCATGCAACCACTTATAGGTCAGTAGTACTAATTCTTATGGGGCTTAGAATTCCTAACCTTATGTTCTTTATTGCATTCAACTGAGACATGGAATTTGTTTGATATGGCATGAGATACAGAATTAAAAGATTGGCATCTGGACTTCATAGGCCCTCATAGTTTTTTTTAAGATATATATATATATATATATACACTTTTAACCAATTCATTTTTCAACTTGTTAAACCTGTTAATTACTTTTTTTTAAGTTTTTCTTCTTCTTCCCAGTTAGTAAAATCTCGTAAGTTGTTTTCTAGAATAGAACTGTGAAATAAATTAAGGATGCGTTACTCTCCTCTCTCCCCTTTTGCAATCATTATTCATCCTATCTAGGATAACTTCATTAAACTTTCTGTGTAGGCACATACATCCTCTATATTGCATTACCTTGATGATGGTTGGTAGTTGATGGTATTAATGCTGCAAGACTTGTAGCTCACGTGGCTTTCATGTTTTGTATTGACATTTCACACTCTTAATGCATAGACTAATTTTTAGATGTAATTGTATTTAAGTGTCTTGTTATTATGTTAGCAAGTGCTTCTTTCTAAATTCAACTTGATGATACTGTTCAAGGTTTGAAGTTTCAATTGCAATGTTTATTTTGATCTTCATGAGCAAGATATTAGAAAGCTTAAATTGTGTTAATCTTAAATATGAACTTTGAAGATGGAATTTTTATATGATAGGATAAAGGTTTGAACTTTGGAAATTAAAAATTGTAGATTGAGAGAAAATTTGGTGGAAGCGTGGAACATCAACCCTTGAGCTTGCTTTACGTGTATATTCGCATTTGTCTAGATATTGTTTGATACCTTTAGTTTGTTTCATATAGTTGTTCCAGTTTTTTAATCTCGGGAACATTTAATAAAAAATTGGTTTAAACTTGGTAACTGTAAATTGAGATGTTTGTGCTGCTGTTTGATATTGAAAAAATTTGTTAACTGTTTACCTTGGCTTACAGACTTGAGAACACATTGAATTATGGTCTTGAAAGAGTTTGGGCTATTGGATACATGAAAAGTTCACGCCGGTAAGTTGATTTTTGTTCCTTTGATGTGCACAGATGTTTATAGATTTTTATGAAGAGATTTCATGAACTTGTTTAGGCAGCTCACAAACCTCAACATTGTGTCTTTTGGATGTCTAAGTTTGCTCTTTGGAATATGCAAAATGATATAAGCCATTTTAACTCATTATTCATTTTCTTCTTGTTTATGTGCCTATAAAGGCTTAGTTGTAATGAGTTATCTTTCTTGCATGAGTAGTAAAGTTTCAAGGTAAAATATGAGGAAATAAATTTTAGTACCTTGCTAAAGCTGTTGCATGCCTTCTTGAGAGTGTGTTCAACACTTCTGCTTTTTCCTTACGGCTGTTATACTCTCTGCACAGGGTTGTAATTGGTTATGATGAAGGAACCATTATGGTAAAAATTGGTCGAGAAGAACCTGTAGCTAGTATGGACAATAGTGGAAAAATCATATGGGCTAAGCATAATGAAATTCAGACTGTTAATATCAAGAGTGTGGGAGCAGATTATGAGGTTTGACTTATTTGATTTATCATCCTTGTTGGGTACTACAAAATTAAAATAAAAAATCTGTCTGCGTAAAGGTGATTTAAATTCGTTGATTCCTTTCTTCTTAGGTTACTGATGGAGAGAGATTGCCTTTGGCAGTTAAAGAGCTGGGGACCTGTGATCTTTACCCACAAGTTAGTTGGCTTCTTTTCAAAATTGCTTTGCTGCTATGTAGTTTCCTTATATGAATGCTGATCATCCACTTGTGCATGGAATAATAAACTTAATTAATTTCTTTTTATAAGAGTTCACTGCTTATGCATTTTAGATGTTCAACTGCTGCATATGTTTAAGTATGCGTGTCACATAGGGGTGTGCGCGCCTTTGGGTGTCAGATTCAGCGACTCCCTAAATATTTGGATACAGGAATACAGCTGAATATAGTCATGGTTGAGTTTCCATAATCTTTAGCTTGAGATAAGATAATGCTTCTATGCATTTTTACCCATTAGACATGAGTAATTGCGCGTGTTTTTAAAATTTAGGTAATAATGCAACAAGTTCAAAGGTACCCCTATGGAAAGTTGTGGGGATAGGGCGGCTATGGGACAGGGCACCCCTATCCCAATCTGTCCCGTGAAAAAAAAACTAAGCTATGCATTTTAAATTACTAAATTCAATTATAAACAGATTGAAGATATATTTTTCTATTTCTTTCTTTCTTTCTTTATTTTTTAAAAATCTAAAGATAAACAAATATTTAACACTTCTAATAATAGAATTTAACTACTTTGTTGTTGCAAATCTAAAATATCACTAAAAACAATGAGAACCAAAACTCAGATAGCAAAATATTTATATATAAATATATCTTTAAACTAATGGGGACGGGTTTGGGTTTTGACTCTTATTTTTGAGGCGCTTAACCAATGAGAATACACCCAAATCTGATCCATCAGGGGAGGGTCAAATTATTATCCCTAGAAAAATTAGTAAACTAGATATGTTCATCTGGTCCTTTGCTGACTCTATTGTTGGGAAAGTGTCTGATAGTAGATGTGTCGCATGTTATCACATATTCATACCCATATTGTGTTGTGTTGTACACTGGTTATGTGCTTGTATTGAAGTGTCCATGTTATCAAGACTGCTAAGGAAATGCTTTATATGATAGTCTACATGAGCTTTTCTAGGAGAGGATAAAAAACTATTACTTGGATCCTCCAAAATTTGGATAAGTGTTTCTTATTGGAAAATTTTGTCCCGTATTTTCAAACTTGAATTGCTAAGAGTGTAGTTAGGACTAGGACTTTTTCCATATGGAGTGCTAAGAATCAGTTGGAGCAAATGCATTATTCTTTGATAGTTTTCTGTGCAAATTAAAACATTGAGATATCTGGGATAATAAAACTTACACGAGAAAAGTAAATCCCTTTTTGCTGTCTTGTCAATATTGAAGCCGTGGATTGAGTCTGGGCCTTGAGGGCTCTGTGCGCATAAAAACTGGAAATTAGGTTTGTACCCTGTCAACCTCTATGAGGATTGCAGCTTGGCAGACCTGTACTTGATCTTAACTCAATCCACAATTCTTATTTGGCCTTACTATTTTTATTTTGGTACCTTTGACTTTAATAAAATAATTTTATTGAAGTGGTGTGCTCATCAATCTTAGTCTATAATTACAAATTTTTTTCTTCTAAACTACTCATCATCGTATCCTTGATTTGTGCCACCTCAGGCACTTCACAGATGCACCCGTTGCTTAGTGTGTCCCCAGGACGGACCCAGGAAATTGTATGAGTGGGGGCAATAGTGAGATTTTTTTTGTAATTTCACGGTGGGCAATATTAAATTTTCATAGGTATATAATACAAAAAAAAGTAAATATCACTAGTAGAAATACTAACAAAAAAAAAAAAATGGGGGCAATTGCCCCCACTGACCATATAGTAAGTCTGTGCCTGTATGTCCCCTCTTTCTTGTTGTCAGTTATTCATCTTCTAATCTTTCTTTAGCTTTTTTCTTCAATAAAAACATTTTTCTAGTTAGTTTGTGCCATTAAGCATAACTTCCCTCTATGTATTATTAAAAAAAGAAAATCATTTATTTGATAATTAATCTACAATCACACAACAAACCAACGACATTTTTCTACTTCATGAGTCGTTCTGTAACTCTATTGGAAATCATTCTCCTCACTTCCATGTTCTTCTGGAAGTTGGATCCAAGATGACAATGATTTTTAATATTAGGTCTCTTGTCCTTCAATTTTTTCTTTATATAGTGATCCACCTAGCATAAGAAATAAAATAAAGAAATAAACCCCCAAATCCCAACTTGGGAAAGTAGATCTGAGGTTACGTGAATGTTTAGATGGCAATCGATTTGAAGTACTCCCTTTTCTTCTGCTTGGATTTGTTTTTGCTTTTTCAGTCAACATAACAAGTCATTTGTCTGCTGGTAATTTTAATTCTAATCTTCCTTTTTTTTTTTTTTTAAATAATAATCTAATTTCTACTATCTCTTTTTCTTTGAAACTATTACATATGAATGGAGTCTGGAACACGCATGAATGTCACCGTGTCTCGATTAATTTTCTATTCTGATTTTTTTATTTCAGAGCTTAAAGCATAATCCCAATGGGAGGTTTGTTGTTGTGTGCGGAGATGGTGAATACATTATATATACAGCTTTGGCATGGAGAAATAGATCATTTGGTTCAGCATTGGAGTTTGCTTGGTCATCTGATGGGGAATATGCTGTTAGAGAAAGTACCTCAAAGATTAAGCTTTTTAGCAAAAATTTCCAGGTTTGTGTCCGTCCTTAGTTTATTTATATTCTTTGTTTTTATTGTTTGTATTCTAAAAGAGATCCTTTAAAAAAATAAAAAAATAAAATAAAATAAAATTAAATTTGGTTTACTTCTTCTTGGACCCTCTCCTCTGTTAAAGGAACGAGTTTTAAAAAGAGCTGCTGACTGATGAAAATGATCAATGTGTGTGTTTCTGCCTTCTGGCACAACTTCTGTTTCATTTGGTCATGTCTTGCTTCTAATTCTCTGATGCTGTAATGGTTTCCTAAGTACTCTGACCGCTGCCTTAGCAGCTAGAATTTTGTACTGCTACTTGATGTTTAAATTTTCTTCCTGTTTATATGATTGAACAAATTTTAATAAATGTGGCATGTTTCAGGAAAAGAAGAGCATCCGGCCTACTTTTTCTGCTGAGCGCATATATGGGGGAACTTTGTTGGCAATGTGCTCAAATGATTTCATTTGTTTTTATGATTGGGCTGAGTGCAGGTTGATTCGAAGGATTGACGTCACTGTCAAAGTAAGCAATAAGATACCTCAAATTATTCTTCGATTACAATGTTACTGTTTAAGCTATCCTGTAGGAAATGTGTCTTTATATATATATATTTGTTTTGTTTTAACATTTTCCAGAATCTCTACTGGGCTGATAGTGGTGATTTAGTGGCAATTGCCAGTGACGCATCATTCTACATACTAAAGTACAGTGTAAGAATTCTCATTTGTATGATTCTTTCTTAAACTTGTATAGTTTGCTGTAGGAGATGACTCTTTTCTTCTTGGACAATTTTGTTTTGAAAATTTGGTTTATGCAATGCATTATAAAGTTGAATTTGGATTTTTAAATGTTGCAGCGTGATGTAGTTTCTGCACATTTAGATAGTGGAAGACCTGTAGATGAACAAGGCGTTGAAGATGCCTTTGAGCTTCTTTATGAAATAAATGAAAGAGTCAGGACCGGAATATGGGTCGGGGATTGTTTCATTTATAACAACTCTTCTTGGCGACTAAATTACTGTGTTGGTGGTGAGGTATAGTGGATGGTTCATTCTTGGTTTTATGGCACTTCATGTGTTCCGATATTAGTTTAATAAGGATAGCAGGAAGCCATATTCACTTTGATGATTCCAGGTAACCACGATGTTTCATTTGGACCGGCCCATGTACTTACTGGGATATCTAGCTAATCAGAGCAGGGTGTATCTGATTGACAAAGAGTTCAAGTGAGCGGCCTCTGCATAGCTATTATTTGAAGCAGCATCTGCTATGGGCTTCGTTATTAAGTTCTTGTTCATTTGTCTTCTTTGTTTCAGTGTTATGGGATACACCTTACTTCTCAGTTTGATTGAGTACAAGACACTGGTGATGCGTGGTGACCTGGAACGAGCCAATGAGGTTTTACCTTCAATTCCCAAGGACCATCAGAATAGGTATGTTTTTCCTTCTACCACTTTAATTATGGACAAATTGGTCTTTAACACTGACTTTGAGAAAGGCATGAAAATTAGATTTTTATATTTAACTTTTGGGAAAAAATAACTGTGTTCATGCAATATGCCATTGCACTATTTCCTAAATCCTTAATTTGTATATTAGCAATGGGTTTCCTTAATCTCTTTCCCTTGTTTTTTGTTTAAAATGTACATGACTAAATTATTCTTTTTAATAATATCTTTTGACTATTTTTATTGTTTCTGTTCCCGTTTTGGTGGTGGTGGTCTTAATTAATATATAGTTATTGTGTATGTTGGATATTTTGGAAATTTGCATATTTGTAATATTGTATCTGTAATATATGGGAAGTGTTTAGCATGGCAAACCCTAAAGATAAGAGGCAGGAGCAGACTATACGTTTTTTATTTTCTTTTTGCAGTTGTATTTGTTATTGATATACATGGCTTATTAGGATTTTTGGTAATTTAAGGATATTTATGATATAATACAAAGTTGGTATCATTTAATGATATGAAAGACCTGTGGGGCATCTTGGCAATTTTAGTGAATTTACTGGCAATAAAATCCAGAAGCTCTCTTTTGTTTTGTTCAAGTTTACAGGGAAGTTTGGGCTTTTACGATTGTTCAAATGTAAAAGGCCAATATATGAGATTGATTAAGGGCTTTGACCATTATGGTATGCTGAAGGAGAAATATATGCTGTGATATCTTGTAACTGGCATTATCTTGGACTTTTTACTACCATCTATTGCTAAAAGTTCTTTCTGTGTATACCGCGTCTTGTTCTTCTTGTGGTTGGAATTGCTTTTGGTTACTCTTGCTTTATTTGAGATGGAAATTCGGGTTCTAAAGGATGGTTCTGATGGAAAATATGATTTTGTCAGTGTGGCACGTTTCTTGGAATCACGAGGAATGATAGAGGATGCACTGGAAGTAGCTACAGACCCTGACTACAGATTTGATCTAGCCATACAACTGGGAAAACTAGAGGTTGCAAAGGTAAGTCAATCCTGCTGGTACATAATGAATAGTTGATAGTGCTAATGTGATAGAACATTTGAACATATCTTTCTTGAGTCTGAAGAATATGCACCTTGTTACAGTGTGTAGCGCACGGCCTTCTGATTATAATTTTATTTTGTTTACAGGAAATTGCCACGGGAGCAATGAGTGAGTCCAAATGGAAGCAGTTGGGTGAATTAGCTATGTCCACTGGAATGGTATTTTCTTTCTTTCTTTTTTATAAAAAATAAAAAATTTAAGACGGTGATTTTTTTGTCTGATATGAGAACTCCATCACAAAGTCTCCCACATCAACTTGTTTATTGTTGGAAAGATCTGTCTTCTAGGATTATGTGCTCGCCTCCTATTAACTCATGGTTTTATTTATTTATTTTATTTTATTTTATTTATTTATTTTCTCTATAAATACTTGCAATCTCTCTCCTTAGATCTGAAAAGGCAATCTTATTTCGGTCAATGAAATTATATTTTGCTCAAGTCTACGACAACCTAATCCAATTTAAAAATTTCCTGGTTATGGTATATGAAGACGAGAAACTGCACTTTTTTTATAATTTGAACTACAATTTGTGCCTTGATTGATATGCTTCAGTGGGTGTAAAATTCTGGTTCTCTTTCATTTGCATTGTACCTTTCTAAATTGTGCTTCCATATGCAACCTTCCTGTCAGTTGCAAGAGCTTTTCCTTTCATTTGACTATTTTCTTAAACTACATTTCTTCTATGTATTGCAGTTAGAGATGGCTGAGGAATGTTTAAAGCATGCAATGGATCTAAGTGGTTTGTTGCTGCTCTACTCTTCTTTAGGAGACGCAGAAGGAATATCAAAACTTGCATCTCTTGCTAAAGAGCATGGAAAAAACAATGTTGCATTCCTTTGTCTGTTCATGCTTGGAAAAATGGACGAGTGCCTACAGTTGTTGGTAGACAGGTAATTTTTATTTGTTAATCAAGAGTCACACACTTACAGTTAGTATTCATCTGGATTTTATTTTGAATTTCTTTCTGGTCACAGCAATCGGATACCTGAGGCTGCTTTGATGGCAAGGTCTTATCTTCCAAGCAAGGTTTCTGAGATAGTTGCAATTTGGAGAAAAGACCTCAACAAGGTGCTTGTCGCCAGTGTTTGTGCCTGTTTTTTTTATTTCATTAATCCTAAATTTGGGTCGGTCTGACCATAGAGAAATTCTATATCCTAGAAATCACTTGGACCTTTTCCTTTTAATCGTTGACGGTGCAGACTCTCCTCACAAATTAAAGCAAGGGGAGTCGTCAACATTGTTTGACACATCTCCATCATTTACCATTATCTACAGGTTAAGGGGGGAACTGCAGTGTCTTTGGCAAACTAGATGAAGGAGTATTATAAACTTAATTGACCATTGATGGTATATAGATGAGATAATTTTCATGACGACAGTCTATGAGGGGAAAAAGCATCCCTAGATCTCACAGAAGTCATGTTCCTGGGCATAGGCTAGTCGTCCACTTAGTATTCACCATTCCTCACTGTCTGCAATTCAATGCCAATGCTACCTAGATTATTGTTTCATTACTTTTCCAGTCTAATAATTTTGCATAAACATGTTCAAGTGAAAAGCTTTTTTGAAAAGTTCAGATAACAATCTTATTGCAAAAAGTTTGTGGCGTTCAAATGTTATGTTATCTGTACCAAAATTATACGACAGATTCTTAGGTTGTCAGGACTTAATGGTCACTCCCTCCCTTCCAAAATAAGTGTCCATTTGGGAATTTTGACTTTTTAAGTGAACATGCATTTAATGTATTGAACTTCTTATGAATTTGAAAACTAGCCCAACTAATTTTTAAAAAAAAAAAATTACATTATTAATTCGAGAGTTTCAAAACCTAAGGATCGGAAAGTTTAAATTTTATGCATAAATTTTCATAAGGGACATTTATTTTGGGTCATTGCAGAAAGGAAAGAGGGTGACTGATTTTTGGGAGTATAACAAAGTGCCTTAAATCTTGAGTGTTGGATTTTCCTCCAAATCAAAGGAAGTAATGCATCATTGTTTGACGTGGTTCCATCATTTGACGTCATCTACAGGTTAATCAGAAAGCTGCAGATTCTTTGGCCGATCCCGAGGAGTATCCTAATTTATTTGAGGACTGGCAAGTTGCTCTTGGCGTTGAATCAAAAGTTGCAGACACAAGGTTTTTGTTAGATGGCTTTCTACTGTCTTTTCCATGTCTTTTCTTCAATCTTACTGTGGTTGGATTATCAATATATGGTAGCTCGGAATTGATTAATTCATATTAGCATTACTATCTCATTCACTTTTTCCATGTTTAAATATTATCTGTTTACCGTTACTTGTTGGTGCTGGGCAACACAGCCGATACTTGTGTATCCCTTGGTATGCTTTTGAAGCACATTAAGTCGATAGCCAATAGTATTATATGATCAAATGCCTGAATATATGAGCTATGCACCTAGGTAGAAAATGTTTTGTCTTGACACAGTAACCTGATATGTAGCATTCTTAAATTTCTCTCATTTAATTGTTTTGCAGGGGTACTTATCCTCCAGCAGTGGAATATGTAAACTATGCTGATAGATCAAATGTCAACCTTGTGGAGGCTTTCAAAAACATGCAGATAGAAAACGAGGAGCCACTTGAAAATGGAGGCTTGGATCACGAGGTATCTCTGAAGTAGTATTTCTGATTTTCTTTCGTTTAAATTATACCAGCCTTAGCAAGTTCATATTTAAACATGTGAAGCAATACCTTATGTTGGATTTAGACTGAAGCTGATGATTTTTATCCATTTTTCCTTTTTAGTTACATTATATATCAACAGATACCTTTTGAATGAATCTCACTTTTAGAATTTTTGCTACTTGTAGAGATGAATTAGTCTCTAATCTTCCAGTTCGAGATGTGTCCAATATTTAATATAGTTTGATCTGTCTTTTCATATAAAATTAGCTGAACCTATGTAACATCGTGATATTGTTTTGATTTTGAAATTGGTTCTGTAATTCATGTTTATTTCTTTCTTTTCTTTCCCCAGGTTGTAGAGCAGAATGGAGAAGATGAGGGGCAAGAAGAGGGACAAGAAGAGGCTGTCGTTGTGGATGCTGAGGACGGTCCTGTACTCGTTAATGGTAACGAGGCTGATGAACAGTGGGGTATGAATAATGAAGGAAATCCGTCAGCCTAAAAGCAATTGGTTGGGCCAGTGTGAAAATCCTAATTTTGTCACTGGTGATTAATTGAATTTCTTTAAATTGCAATCTCTACCTCCCAACACAGTCCAAATATCTCCGTTGTCTTTATTATTTATTCTTGGTAGTTAAGCACGCACACAAACACCCATATGAGAGGAGGAGTGCCACTCGATCTGAAACCTCTGCGGTCTCTTTATTTACTCTTACTTTAGACTTGCGTTTTATGTTGATACTACTAGTACCAGCTCATCAAGGGTAAACACCACAATGTAATAAAGAGTTTGTATCCTTTTTCAAATTTTGATTCTCTTGTACTCTTTTAGTTTTTTACCCGCCAATGTTGTATTTCAAATTGTCAATTTTTCCTAGTTGGTACTCACACAACCCCCCGCCTCTCCAAGGAATTGTTTGCACTCAAGAGGAGCCGAACCTCAGAATTCCATGATCTGTTGAATCCTGATCCACATTTGGATGCTGAGTGGTGCCTCTTGCTCAATATTTAGTGAATTCAAAAGTTGATACAACTTGTTTAATAAAATGGCTGACTTGTTTATTGCTGGCATTCAGTTACTTAACATAACACTCTTCCTTTTTTACAGCTTCTGACTAGTTGTCTAAGCATAAAACAGTACCCATAATACAATTACTTTGGTTAATTGCTTCTTTGATAGCGAACTTGTAAGCAGTTTTAAGAGTGACGAAACATGATTTCTGGGTATGAACTGTGGCTAAACCACAGTATCTGCCTGCCAAACTGGCATCAGCAAACTATAGTGTTTTTCTGAGCATTTTTATTTTCTTCCTAGGAGCCTGAAAATTATTAATTTTTATTTCCAAGTACATGTAGTGTTTTAGATGGCCAGTTGTTAGTTTGAAGACTCACTTCGTATTGTACATCTACTCCTTCGATTTTCTGACTTCATTTTTCGGTAGAGCTAGAAATTGAATGGCATCTTGATGTATTTTTGCCTTTTGGCTTCTTTTCTTGGTTGCTTGTTATTCTTGCATTGCCATTTTCTACTTTGTGCCAGTTTATTAGATTTTGGAGTCAGATTGTGGTGGTGGGTCTTACTCTTTTCCTCTTTTTGCTCACTTGGCAGTGCTGACACCACGTCACCAGGTCCAGTGAAGACAGTCGGTCCCAGCTGTATCCATTCCCATTTAAGGTGAGTAAAGAACTTTTTACCGAAACAAGTTCCATTTTGTTCATTTATTTTCTTACTCATTCACTAAATCTGTCTTATAAATCCACATCCTTAGGATGTCAATATTATGGTATTATTTTCATCCCCTACTGCATTGTTAAATGCAATGCATGTTCAATTGAATGTTTTGCACTCTGATGTTGTCCGCTGAAATGGGAAAAATTGGTTGGGAAAGAAATGAAAAGCCAGTTGCTGGGTTCTCAGATAGGAGGAATAATAACTGTTCTAGAGAACTTCCGTGCATATCCACATTGACATGCTTTTGTTGGATTATGACTGGAATATATTTTTTTTATTTCATTGGCAAGAAACACACTCACACTCTCCACTTTTACCCCTAGGCGAGGAAGTACCATCAGGCTACAAGGCCCTTGGTGCTGGATTTTCATATTCTGTGATGCCTTCATTTTCTTTAAGATACTGAAACTTAAAAATTTCCATTTCTATTGGAGGATTTCCAAGCTTGTCTTTAGGATCTGCTGATTATATATCCTTTTTCCTTATATTGGCTGCATAATGATTATTTCGTTGCCTTCTCATTCCTGTCTTCTGTAGGTTGCTGAAATTGTGGGACCGTTTGTCTCTATTTTGCTGCTGGTACGGTGTGATTTTGTAGCGCTTGGAATTTTGTCATGGGGCACACATATATATTCTTTTTCCAACTTTAATTACTCGTGTAGTTGTTCTTGGTTGTTTTAGCATATTCATTGAGGCAGATTTTTTCCTTCAAATTTACATGCCATTGCGAATGTAGAATCATTTATAGCGGTGTCAAATATATAATTACAGAGTTCAACCTTTTTAAAAATTTTATTTTCTTGGGTGTAAGAAGTTCAACCCTTTTCACCTTTCAAATTTCATATTTTTTGGTGGATGGGATCTGTAAAAGAGAGTTAATTTTGAATATGATGAAGTCTAAATGTCCAATAAATCCTGCATTTCAGAGACCTCTGCAAACATCAAGTGAGGAAAGTTTGCCGCATACAGTATCAGAAAACAATCTTACAAGATACATTCTACAACCCTATATTTGTTGCAACATGGCCTGAGAATGTTTCCCTGAATAAAATGATAGCTTTAGATATGTACCATTTTCTCTTTTTTTATTTTTTATTTTTATGAGAGCAGGGGCAGTTCGTGGGTACTTCAAAAATTGTTTGCGTACGGAATTTATGCTTGCCTTTGTAATAAGAATTGAAGATCATGTCAGTTGTAGTTGTTCCTTTCAATTTTAGGGTTGGTTTTGGTTAGATGCTTGCCTTTGTAATAAAAATTGAAGATCATATCAGTTGTAATTGTTTCTTTCAATTTTAGGGTTGGTTTTGGTTAGATCTTAACAGTTCGAAAAGTGAAATGAATAGTACAATGAATGATAGAAAATATAAGTTTGATAAATTTTGATTGGTATGAATTCTTTTCAACAGATGTTATTAAAATTAGTATTTCAAAAAATTTGAAGTGTCTCGCATGAATTTTTATGAAAAGTTAGGTGGTTATGGAAACTTGGGCTAAAAACGTTCTCAAAAACAGTTTTTAGTGAGCTTTTTGAGGGACAAACCAAACATATCTTTATTTTAAAAAAAAAAGAAAAAAGGATCTATATGGTTTGTAGCTCTAACAACAACAGTTTTCTAAGCTTTGCTTGGTTTTGTTTTCTGAAAATTCAGTTATAAAAAGTTCTTTTTTCAGATAACTGTCTTTTATTGATCTCTGAAAATTGTTTTCTATTATTTGAATTTTTGAGAACTATTTTCAGAGTTACAAACTAAGGCAGTCAAATTTTTTTTTTTTTTTGTCCAAACTAATGTAATGGAAGGCATATTCCAACCGTTCCTTTGTTCGGTATATAATTAAAAGTGAAAATGGGCATTCTGATGGAATGAAAATCTATTCCTAGAAATGAAAATACATTCCAAAACTATACCTATGGATTGGTCATTCCATTCCCATGTAATTTTTTAAAAAAAAAATAAAATTCCCAAAAAGTCTTCAGGTTTAAAGTCCAAAAACCACCGATACCACAATTGCCTTCCACCACCACCATTGTCGCCGCCACCACCACCACTGCCACCACCATCGCTGCCGCCACCACCACTGCTTTCCACCACAACCACCACCGCCACCTCTATTGCCTTTCACCACTGCCACTGTCATGCCATTACCACCATTATTGTCACTTCCAATGCCACCACCGACTTCCACCATTACCACTGACCACTACCACCTCAATTGCCTTCCACCATCGTTATTGCCATCGCAATTGTCACCATTACCGCCACCATTACGGTTGATGTCACCACCATCGCATTCCACCACCGTTATTGCCATCGCAACTGTCACCATTACCGCCACCATTACGGCTGATGTCACCACCACCGCATTCCACCACCACTACCTTCCACTTATACCACTACCACTCCCACCACTACCACTGTCGTCGCCTTCCACTACCACCACACCACCGCTGCTACCTTCACCAATACCGCTACCTTCATCGTCACCTCTACCACCACCACCTTCACTAATACTGTTATCTCCATCATCACCGCCACCACCACCGACCTCTACCACCACCACTGCTATTGCCTTCCACAATCTTCACCTACACCATGGATGCCTTCCACCACCACCACCACTAGTATTTCCACCACTGCCACTGCCTTCCACTAACACCATTATCGCCTTCTGCTATCACCACCGCCTTTGCTTTTTACCTCCACCACCATCGTCACCACCATCTACCACTGCCGTAATTTCTTTTTTAAAAAATTATAAAATTAAGAATGTTATTCTATTAATTTAATTTATTTGTCAGTAATAGGGTATTTTGAAAAATTCAATTTGAAATTTATTCCATTTTAAATTTTAAATTGGTGCAACTAAAAAATAGAATGGTTATGTCTCATATTTGCAACCAAATAATATAATGAGAATGAACATTCCATTCCATTCTCATTCTCATTCTCATTCCATTTTCACTTACATTTCATTCTATTTATGCACACCAAATGTAACAATATTTTAATTTTTTTTTTTTATTATTAATAAAAAATTCACACACTCGCTTTAAGTTTTTTTGAATACTCCTCCGCCATATACTTTGAGAGATTGAGGGAACATTACTATTTTGCAACTTTGAGTTATAACCCGTTTTCTAATTTTTTATTTTTCTAGGTCGTTATGAATTATTGGTTGTTTATTATGCTTTAGCCGACAATCAGAACAACTGTAGTCCAGTTGAAATTCATTTTTAAGTATAGAGCCCAAATAAGATCTTTATGAAAGCTCTGATGATTATCAGGCGGAGCTTTCCACTATATTGGTAATCAAAAGAGCTTTTATCAAGATTCCATTTACATTCAATAAAAAATAGTTATGTTAGCATTTGGAGTACGGCATCAATGCCGCATCATTAATTTAGTTTAAAATTAAAATTAAAATTAAAATTTAAGTTTTTAAAATATTTAAATTTAAATTTAAATTTAAATTATCAATTCAATACTCTTAAACATGACATTACTTTCACTATTATTTCACAAAAACTCCTCAAACCTTTTATGTGTAATGAGGAAGTGCTAATTGGACAAAATTATTAATCAAATTGATATACAACGTCATTCATTCCGTAATATTATCACTTTTATTTCTCTTGATTCTATTTTTCAATTAAATTACAGAAACATAAGTTACCTTTTTTTTTTAAGGATAGAAAGGCCCATCATATCTCTTCACCCTCAAAAGTGAAAGCAAATCCGAATAAAGTTCTTATCTCCTTTTCCATTTTACATATTTACCCTTTAAACAAAAAAATCTTCTCTCTGTTATGGCAGATTACGTATATTTTGGGTTTCCTTGGAGGTTTATTAATATTTGTGAATTGTGACTAGACTTCCATGCGTGCTTCTAACTTTTAAACAAGTACATCATTGGGCATGCTCCACAATCGAAGGTGGGGTATATTTATTATATAACTAGTTGTGAAAGTTTTAGTGGACTCACTACAATTCAAATTGTCATATTTTTTGATGAGTTCTAAAATTCTAATTTGTACAAACAGACAGCATAGTTAATTTGTGGGATTTCATTTTTCTAAAATTCTATATTTGTGGGATTTCATTTTTATTAATTTGTGCAAACACACAGGATAGTTATCTTGTGGTTACTAATGCACTATCTAACAAGTACCAACCTTTGTAGTGGTGTCACACTATTTTATACCAAATTGTACTAATAATCTTTCTTCATCAAACATGCAAATCACAAACAGATTTCAATAGCTTATCCCTTTTGTGCTTAAGCGCGCGATTTCAATAGCTTCTAAATTTTACTATTTTCTTTGTGTTATTATAGTAAAAATTAATAAATAATTTAAGAGTTAGACAATTTTTTTTTTTTATATGAGAGATTATTTCCGACTCACGCATAAATGTAATTCAATATTTAATTTGAACACGAGACTTTACATTTAATTTTTAAATCTTTGAATCAATTCAATCAACTTTGGTTACCTCTTTCCATGAAATCCTTCTTTTGATTTGATTTGATTTTATTATTATTATTATTTGTAATTGAGAAGTTTGTTCACAAACTCGTTTAGAATTGCTTTTCATTGGTTTAAAAGCTTTTTTTTTTTTTTTTAAATTGTGTTTAGATATGTTTGGTAACTATTAAAATTTTGTGTTTAGACATATTACCCATTTTAGATTAGTAAAGATTTTGAATGAACCTCATCTCTTTTGTGTTTAAGCACGTTATTTTTTCTATTGTGATACCTCACATCTCCTAAAGAAGAAGTCGGTGATACTTAAACATCAACATTCATTAACCATGAACAATACTAATCTACTCACTGGTGAGTAGATGATCTATATTGACCTTTAATGTGGTCCAATAATAAATACACATATAATTACAAAATCAAAAAAATAATAAATAAGGAAAACATGGAGGGTTGCTGAATTGATTCCCAAAAAAAAAAAAATTATTTTCTTATTTATTACAGAATATGTGTGTATTTGTGATTGGACCACATTAACAGTCAGTATGTAAGTATTGTCCCTTAACCATGTAGGTGAATTTTGAGCAAAACTGAGAACATGGAGAAGAGGGTGGGTAAGACGGACAATATCTACATAAATTGGAGCAGGTCATAACAAATGGCAGAACCAATCGTACAAAACAAACAATATTTAGATTAGTTGCGCGAGAAGTTGCCGAGACCATATGTGGTGTAGACACATTTTTGAGCAAAATCATGAGCATTGAGAGAAGAGTCTGCAAAGTGGACAAAAAGACAATATCTTACACGGGCTGAGCAAGTCGTGATAGATTTGTTGTCTTTTTTAATTTATTTTTAGACAAATTCACCATTTCTTTTTAGATGTTGGAATTATCAAACATAATAACAAAGATATTATTGTAAAATTAGCACCACAAGCAATTTTAAAATATAAAAAAATACGTTAATTGTGAAAAATAGTTTTCCTAATATATCATTAAATACTTATTAACATGTTGTTTTATTCACCACTCAACTCTCAAACAAAATTAATATTTTCATTCTAACAACAAGGGGTCTTAGATTTGCTCAAATTTGGATTGGAATATTGACCTTAACACAATCATATGAATCTGAAATCGGATTTTCGTAGATTTGCTCTCAATCTCATTTCTAAATAAATAGTAGGATATAAAAAATAGGATATATTTTTAGTGTTAAAATTATAATGCCTTCTCACTATGGCTATAGAAGGATGTATTTTTAGTGTCAAAATTTTACTAGTGTCTTTTATGGGGTATAATTGTCCAATCGATTAAAGAATTTTTTTTTAGATATATATATATATATCCAAGATCGGCTTTTGGTATTCATATTATGCTGTGTCCGTCTCTAGGGTTAAATCGAGAGCACAGAGCTTCAAAGCCGACCACCTAACAATAAGAAGAGGAAGAGAACCTCAACGCTACCCCTCAAAACTTCGTAGGTACGGACTTCTCTCTCTAACTCTCTCTCTCTGTTTTCCGGTTGATGTTTCGAATGAGATATGTGAACACCTGATGTTGATTTGAAACCCTATTGAATCAGTTGCTAAGCTGCTATTTAATTATTATCGTTCTGTTATTCTTATTGTATTTTTATATATATTATGTATTGTGACACTGTTCGTAGAGGTCATAGTGTCAATTAATTGTATTTTTTAATCCCTAATTGGCCTTAGTTTGGAAATGAAGAATTAAGTGGCTTTAGTTTGAAATATTTATGGTCGATGCTGATACATATATAGCCCTTAATGCATCGATTTTTCCCATTTCCTGAAACCATTATTGTAATGTTTTGGTGCAATAATGGAAAGATTTGGGTGTGTTATGGCTTAGGCATGGAGAAGTCGTTATCAGAACAGGGCATATATGTGATAACTCATTGGGAAAGTGTACTGAGTTAATGCACTGTTTTCTTGATGCAAAAATGATGGGAAAGGATTTTGATCTTTTGATTCTTTGATTTGGGACTAATTGTGAATTTGAATTTAGATGAGACTAGTGCAGCCATTTGTGTAAATAAGTCATGTATTTTGTTTTCCAGAAACCACAAATGAAAGTTTCTACATTTTATTATTTTCGTAGTTTCCTCCTTGGTGAGAAACCAAATGGAGTTTAACTATCCAGCTGTACGGAATATGCGGTCATTAATGTGAGTGGTACAAATATTGTCTTTAAAATGAATAATATATATGTATTCTGTCAGTTTGTACTTAAGAATTCAGAATATAGTCTGATTTGAATCTTTCTACATGTGAGAAGTAGAGAACCTTTATCAGCTATCAAATCTGAGCTTTTTCTTCTTTTTCCATATTGGCATATGCAGTTCGGGTTTGTTTGCAAGACACATTTCTTACCCATGGTCATGCTACGTCATATTGATATGGGTACCTTGGGTGAAAAGGGAGAGTCTTGGTAGCATAGGCCAATGATGTGCAATTCTTATCTTATATTAAATAGGCCCTTTGTGATTAATATTGTTACTAATACTGAAGATTGCTGGGATTTTAGCTAGTCGATTTGGATTTTTCCCCCTTTATTCAGCACTCAGCAGTTCTCGAACTTTCATGTTACTCAAATTCTTTTGATACTACTATCTATCTTGCAAGTAATTTAACCTATGTATCTCTCCATGTTTGTTGGTGCCTACTGTTTCCAACTGATGTAGTGTATACACGCCATGTGTGTGTTTAGTGAGCTGCGATTTTATTTGAGGGAACATGTACACAAAAAAGAAACTACCACTGCCCATCTTATTATCCTGTCCATTGCAGCCACTTGTTTTTACTACATATACATGTGTGTCTGGGCATGTGTGCCCCCTATTTGTCTGTATGTGAGAGAGCGAGAATCTCTAGTTTGATATTCTTGAAGGTGCGTGTTTATCATTCCAGTGCTGACTTTATTATGATACTGACAATCTCGAGTTTGATGCTCTTGTAGAACTTTTTTTGACAGTTCAACTTGTCCTGCCTTGAACTACTTCATGCTTTTCTTTGGATCAACTGCATGGTCCTTACCTGAACACTCGTGTAACACATGACATGTGCACACTGCACACAAATGCGATCTTTTTAGATCTTTCACTCGATAAAGGTGTCAACAATCTTTATTCTAATAGCCTTTAAGGTTCCATGGAATTATATAATGACCGAAGTCAAACAAAACTATTTTGAGGTGACCATAAAGTCAAGAAAAGATAAATTGTCACCAAATTTAAAAATTAATTGCCAATAAGTGACCATTGATGATTTATTCCTTATAATTCCCTTCTTACCTTAAATATTTTGTTATCAAAATTGTAATTATGTTGTTATATAGGTATATTGAGATTAATAATATAAAGAGAATGGCCGGCATGGACTGGCACATGTTCCATGCGCGGGACTCTGCGGTGAGACAATCATCCTCAAAGTCGCATGTACCGCCGGTGACAATAATTTGGTGGTCGACGAGGGTGATGTTTGGGTTCGTCCGCCACACGAATGGAGTGTCCACGTGGTGCCACGTGACCACGCTAGGTGGAGTGGATCGAACTAGAACTAGAACTAGAACTAGAACGAGAGCTTCTACGGGGAGAGCATGTAGAGGAGGTTCGAGTGCGATGACCGGAGAGTCAATACGTACTTGATTGGCAAGTGCTGGAACTTGATGCGGGCGAGGGTCGTACGCGTGCGTGGTGGTCACTTAAGGGGTGCGAGTGATCTGTGTGTGGATGATGAGCCACCGCTTGAGTCTGATGAAGTTGCGAAGAGAAGAGTCTTTTAGATTAACAACAAATATAGAAAGAGAATTAATTTTTTATTATTCGAGAATCAAGGAAACAGTTTTGATTTGAAATGAAATCAAAACTTTTCCCTTTTATCTTTCCCACATAGTAAACAATTTGCTCTGATTTTTTTGTGGCGACCTTCACAATGTGTCATTTTTCTCCCTCTTCTTCAATCCTTGACATTCAAAGACTCGTAGGACAAGTTCGCGGCTTCAGATGCCGGATCAGCCTTCGTTTCTTTCAATTTCCCCGGAGTTGCAGAAAAATATAGACTTTCCGGCGACAGGAGAATTTCTCATTTGCGGCAATGCTCTTTAACTTTCCGTATATCTATATATGTTGTTAATCTTAATACCTAAATATAATAAAATTACAAAATTTATAATAAAACATTTATTGTAAGGAGATTTACAGAGTAAATCATCAATGGTCACTTATTAGCAATATATATATATATATATATATTTTAAAAAAAATTGTTGACTATTCATCTTTCCTGAACTTTATGGTCACCTTTTGAATTTGGTCACTAAAATCTAATTTTCCCATCATTTAATCTTAAATGTCTTTCTGAAATCTGGATCAAATTATCTTATCCTGATTGTCTTTGTAATTGTAAAACTTGTTATCCAGATTTGGTGAGCAATGAAGATAGGACTACTTTTTACTTGTTTAATTTGGCACACATGGTAGCATCCAAATTTCTTTGTGATTACATGCATTCTTTGTTTTTTCAGTACTACTACCAAAGCTCTTTTTTATTTGTTTGTTACTTTGTTTGCGATAAAAAGTACTTGCTTTTCTCTGTTATGTAAAAGTAAAATTTATCAATTCTCTTACTAAGGTTTCTTCCTCAACTCTGTGGATCTCTGGTTTAAGTTTATTGCTTGTTGAATAGATGTGAGGATAGCAATGAAGATTGGAGCTGAGGCTAGGTTGATGAAAGTTGTAAACAATCCAATAATGTTTGGCCAACCCTTTGGGGATTTTGCTCAGCAGGCTTTAGATCCTAGCATATAACGTTATCATCAAATGATCCTAGCATATAATGTTATCATCAAACTATGAAATGACTATTTGAGAGGACCAGAGCTCCGATTCTGGTTGAAGATAATAAAGCCCTTATCAGATTTTCTGGGGCCAAAGGACAATAATAGTGAGACTCCTATGCAGAAGTGAACCTAGAAGTTCTTCTAGTGTTCAGCATGAGCGCCCTAGATTGTATTTGATGTGCATGATCAGAAACCTTACTTGATATATTAAAAGAACGAAATAGAAGTCAATCCCAAAGTTACAGTGCTGTTAGATTTATCTAGATCTTTGCTAAAACTTGGAAAAAGAAGGACATAAATTGTTTCATTCCTTCATAATCCTTTGTGGATTTTGCATGTTGTAAATTTGCTTTGTCATCTTTTATTCAGCATGCTGTCTCTGCCAGAGAGGATTTCCTTTGTTGTCTTCACACACACACACACACACACCCTCGCCCCCCGGTCCTAAAACAATTATGGCAATACTTAACTTATTAGATAAACTCTAGGGAACATGTGTCATGATGAGAAAATACTCTCCTGCAAGCAGGCATCAGTAAGGACATTTCTGATCTTGTAAATTACTTCTAACCAGTTCCCCATTTTAGGAGATTCGGACACTTTCAGTAACATGTGCTGATCAAGTTTAAGTTCTTTAACTAGCATTATAGTTAGTTGAGCAGTCCTACTTGAACTTTTGGCAATGGGATTTTTGAGCTAATCATGACAGTAAGCGCTACCTTACAGATATCCTTCTTGTATGGTCACCTCTTTTTCTTTGAACTCTTTTCAGTTAGAAAGGAGCTGCAGATTTTTTTTCTTTCTTGCTTTCGTTATTTATTTATTTTAGGGGTTATTCTACTTCTTACACTTTCCTTTGTGCTAATACTAGGTGCAAGGTTCCTTATGTAGCTTTTCCCATACTATTCTTCTTTTAGCCATAGGAGTTCTTGGCATGGTTCGAAGTTGTGGATGCTGTATAATGGACACATGGTGTAACTGGCATTATGCAACAGTATCGGAAACCACGGTTGTCAAATTTTCTTGACATTGAATATCATCAGATATGCCGACTTGGAAGAGACATGGCCGAGTTGCTAGGGACTCAGCCAGTCTGATGGGATTCTAATTCCCACCGATATATGTTGATTGTATTGGACTTAGACTTGGTTGATACGTGAAGACCAGTGGATACGTAGAGCATGGTTCTTGGATAAAGTAACTGACTAGCTCTCTATTTTTTTTCCTTCTTCTTCTCTCTCTATCAGTCTCGAAACCTTGACCTAGGACTTGGGAGTTAAGCCAGGGCCACTAGGACAAAGGTATACCAGTAACTGACTAGCTATTTTTGCTAGTCTTGTGTGAGATGTGATTAAGAATATTGGAGGAAGACGCGCGGATACTGGTTTTCTGCAGTTCTGAAAGTTTATTGGACAGATTATTATTATTATTTTTAATCTATCCATTCTTCATAACGATGGAGTAATTGGGACTTAACTGAGTGGGAGTATCTTCAGATTCATTCACCTTGGTGGTGGCTTTTTATTTATTTTTTTGGACTCTAGCTATTTTGGAGGTCTTAACAGTTGATAAATTTCTTGATCAATGGTAATAATTGAAACCATAATCCTAACCCATCCGCTTAGATGCCATGCCAGCACTTAACCAATGTGTTGCAACTGCTTTGGCATTTTAGTGGACATGTTGACTGCTAGGAATTGGTGTCATTCCAAAATTCTTTGGCATTTTAGCGGACATGTTGACTGCTAGGAATTGGTGTCATTCCAAAATTTTGTGCGCTATATAGCAAGTCATAGGAAAGTCATTTAACAATATGTTTCTGCAATTCCCTTTCCCTTTTTTTTTGGGCTGATTTCTTTTTGTTGGGTATTCCTAGATTACTCGAGGATTTATGGACAGTGTGTTTGAAGAGCTTCAGTTGTTAAAAAATATATATTCAGAGGTTTTTTTCGTCTTGTAATCTGGATTTATCTGCAGAGTATGAGGGGTTGTATAGTTCATTATGATAAGGAGTTGTACCTCAAGGTCTGGACAAGAAGGCCGTCTGCCCTCTTGTTCTCCCATCCTGGATTGTAAAGGGATCCTATCAGAGCTGTTCACTTGATTATCACTGTTGCATACTGTATCGTTGCTGTTATTTCACCCCCTGCTCGAACTTGTTTTCAAGTAGTTAATTTATTGCCCATGAGGATGAAAAGTTGTTCGGTGCTGACATGTTCATTTTTTGTGATTTCCTACAGAAATAACCTTGTCCCTGTTTGTTGAGGAAGGCAGCTTCTTAACTCTTTTAATGGAGGATACAGAAAAGTCCCTTCAACCGTCAAAGAAGAGGGCTGCAGGAAGGCAACTATCTCGAGATAACCCGGGTCTTGATGATGAGGAAGAGACCTCTGAACAAGAGACTGGAACATTCAAGAAAGCAAGTGATGAGGTGCTGGCAAGTAGAAGAATTCTCAAAGTTCGTCGCCATCAAACATCGTCAGCCCCTTCTTCCAATCCTTTTGCCGGGATCCGCTTGGTCCCTTCTACCGTTTCCAGTGCTCCTCCATCTGAAGTTGTTACTGAAGCAGAGAGTGGGAAAACAAATTCAGAAGATGTAGATGGGAAAAAGGATGGGGAGAAGGAAATTGAGAAGGAAAAAATTGAAAATAATCAGCTGTCAGAAGAGAAGGTTGATGAGGTAGTGGCTGAATCTACTGGAGATGAGGAGAAAGTGGGTTCAGTTAATGAGGCAACCAAAGCTGAATCGGCAGATGAGAAGGCAACAGAAGGTGATAAAACTGAGAATGGAGACAACAAAGTTGCCGAAGGGGAGGAAACTGAGAACGAAGACAAGAAAGATGATGGCAATGAAAATACAGAAAAAGCTGCTGAAGCTGCATCATTGAGCTCATTTCAACAGCTTTCAAGCAGCCAAAATGCCTTCACAGGGCTTGCTGGAACAGGATTTTCCAATTCTACATTTGCGTTTGGGTCAATTCTGAAAGATGGGCCTCAACTAGGTTTCAGTTCAGGCTCTCTTTCTGGACTGAAAAGTGACCAGCCTTCTTTTGGTTTTGGACTCTCTAGTAATGGAAGTTCTTCTCTTTTTGGCACGTCAGGTACATCCATTGGTACTAAGAGCGAGGGAAGTGGTTTTGTGTCTATGCAGGAGGTTCCTGTTGAGACGGGGGAGGAGAACGAGAAGGCAGCTTTCACGGCTGATTCTGTGCTGTTTGAGTTCTTTGATGGAGGGTGGAAGGAGCGAGGGAAGGGAGAGCTCAAGGTGAATGTCGCTACAACTGGAGAGGGAAAAGCCAGACTTGTTATGAGAGCAAGAGGAAATTATAGGTTAATTTTGAATGCCAGTCTCTACGCGGACATGAAACTGACAAATATGGAAAAGCGAGGCATCACTTTTGCTTGTGTCAATAGTATTGGTGAAGGGAAGGATGGTCTTTCTACGTTTGCTTTGAAGTTCAAGGATGCTTCCATAGTGGAAGAGTTCCGTTCAGTTGTCACAGAACATAAAGCTAAAACAGCTGAGGTTCTGAAGACACCGGAAAATTCTCCCAAGGCATCAGATGATTAAAGGTGCTCTACTTACTGTCAAGAACGTCTGTCACATCTGTAGCTGTCATCTTTTATTTTTCTCCGGGAAGGTAAAAAAGATCTTTTTTAGAGTCTGGCTTTACATGTAAGCCCTTGCGTAGCTAAGTTAGAGTCCTCTATCCATTTCCTGTTCTTTATCTTCAGTAAGCGTTGGCTGAATATTCTAAATTCATATCACATAATTTATGTTTCTGGAGACATGGAACAGCTAAATATAGTATTACTGTTGTTTGTCACATAAAATTGCAATATTCAGGTTGAAATGTTCGAATCTGCTAAAATATCTTATTCTGTCGAGAACTCTGTTGTGTCATAAAATCACTTCGTTTCTTTTTCCTGATTTGGGCCTTTTTATCTCTTTTAATTTGCCAACTATATGGAAATGACATGTCTTCTATTGATTAATTCTCTTGTTTCTTTGCTTTACTCGTCCAATTTATGGCTACATTTGGTACTTTTTTCATTCATAGGTTCTCATAATTATTATATGTGAATGGTGCTTCTCTTTAATTGGAAACTGTGACAATTGGCCTCTCTTTTCGAAATCTAGTTTTTAATCTATAGTATACATGTTGAAAGAGGGAGACTAATAAATTTCATTAAAAAGTTGTGCAAATTGGGAACAGCAAATGAGCTTCTCTATTGGACCTTTGGTTATTTAGACAAAGTAATGTAATAATACCAAAACCATTGTTTGATCTGCCGGGAAAAGATTATGCTATGTGGCTTACCGGTGACAGCAAGAGGATTAGTTAACAAAGTGGGATTCCAATTAAGAAATAAGGTTGATCCAAACCATTTATTTATTCATGTTTGATCATATTAACATTGATTTGATAATCAATCCCTGTAGGTTGATCCATTTTTAGAAAATTTGGATCGGATTTACTGAAAGTATGTGTGTTTGTACGTGGCATGGTAGGTCACTGTTTTGAATTCCTCGTATGCTATAACTTTATCTTGTGCTTGGTTACAGGGTGGCAATATTTGACACGACATACTATTACAAAACAAACACGATATGAGATAAGAGGATTTGGGTTAATCGTGTTCGTGTCGTAGTCATGTTGACATAAATTGACCCGCTAACTGAATGTGTCGTGTTCATATTTGATCATGTAAATATGATTATGACATAACTCAATTAATTAAACATGTCGTGTTCGTGTAAAAATGACCCATTTAACTAAACGTGTGGAATAAACATGTCGTGTTCATGTAAAAATTGACTTAAATATGTATTTTCGTATCGTATTAAGTCTTGACCCATTTATTAAACAGGTTACGCGTAATAATCGTGTCGTATTTATGTCCAGGGTCGTGTAATAATCGTGTCGTATTTATGTCCAGGGTCTTAGACATGATTTATAATCGTGTTCGTATCGTAATCATGTCGACGCGAACACAATACGCCAACACTCGTGTCATAATCATATCGACGAGAACATAATACGCCAACACGAATTGCCATCCCTACTTTGGTTAGGTTAGTTTGTCTTCTTAGTTCAAGAGTCACGGGTTGTGCTATGACAATAAGAAAATGATGACAACAATAGATGAAGGAAAAAGAATTATACTTGTTTATGTCATGTAGTGAATGTCAAAGCCAATACAGACCTAGCTTTGTCATTTTTCATACACTTGGACCCCTGAAAGAACATTGAGGGAATAGCCAAAGACTACATTCATAGTGCTTCCTCAGATTCTATTGAAATCATTCTCTTACATTTAACATTACAATATATATATATATATATATAAATGATAACAAGAAGTGAAGATCCATTTGATACAATTAACATCTTTTACTAATGCAAATACTGATTCTTCGGACTAAATTAAGGCGATAAGTAATTCTTGGCGCATGTATCTGAGCAGGATCCCACACAGCTTTCCACTCTCTCTCCATCTGATAAAGCAAAATAAGGGAAATGAATGAATGAATGAATGAATGCGTGTGTGTGTGCGCGCGCGCGCGTGTGTGTGAGAGAGAGAGAGAGAGAGAGTTACCAGGATTTTGTTTTGTGCTAATGTTGGAGCACAAGGAAGAAGCACAACCAAGATTGCAGAAGTGATGACTATCTACATGGATCTGTTGAGGAGAATTAGGGATGATACAGTCCTTTAGACATTGGGTTGCACAAGAAAAAGCAGAGTTAGAAGGGTTGAGCATGCAGAAAATGAAGCATCCTACATAGCAATCCTTGAAAGAAGCAGCTGTGGACTGCCCTACCACTGTCCCAAATGCCAGAACCACCAGCACAAGTGCCCCCAATTTTCTTCCCTCCATCTCTCAATTCCAACAAGATATATATGACAGTTCACCTAAACCATATTGCCTCTCCTATATATACACACACACACACACACTTGTGAAACACATATATTAAAGTCATATGGCATGTGATATCTTTTTGTTCTTTTCTTTGGTGGGCTAATAAAGAAAGTGAAAACCACAACAAAACCACTGATGAAGGGGAGATATACCCTACCACAACCTCATTGCCTCACATGCTATTATTATTTCTCATCCTCAGCTTCTTCCCTTTTATGAATTATGTTTACTCACATGCACTACATAATAACTTTTCTTTGGACAGGGAACAAATATTACCCTAAATCTACAAAATCATTGATAAAGCTTGAGAAGTTGAAGCTGTGGCATAATACTTGGTAGTTCACACACACACACACACATGTATATGTAAAATATTGGTAATTGTTATCCCTAGCTCCTTGTATCTATGGACTATGGTCCCCTGGTGAATGTTGTAGTAATATGCATGATCATTATCATTATTATGTTGTCCACCATCATGAAATAGGTCGCAGGTGGAAACTAGTGCACAAAGCTCTAGCATTTAGTGAGCTCTGAAAGTTATGTGAATGGCAGACAGCTTTACCCAATTTTTGCGAACAAGCGTTTAATCATTATTTTGAGAAAAATAAAAAATAAAAGATCTTTAACGTGAAATAATTATACTAAGAATAATAATTTATGATCGAAAAGTTGAAACGAAATGAAAACTTTTTCTGTTCTCTTTTCTAAAAATTATTATGAGAGTTTTAAACCAAGTAAGGCATTAATGTCTGTATTGATTAATGCCACCAGCCACATGTGTTTACCAAATTCTTTTATTACTGTCATAAAATCCAATCTCTTCTCTTTCCTTTGTGACCTAAAAATAGTGGCAGTGCTTTATGCTTTTCCAAAATAAAGCTGATTTAGTGAAGAGATTAAGGTATATATATATATATATATATTGTATTTGTGTGTATTATATATATATATATAATGCACATGAAACACATACGGATTCTAATATGTAATTTTTTATACTGCAGATACCGGAAAACTGGAGAAAGTTGCACGAAACTTTTTAACAATTATCGTGTGTATCACACCGTTATGTGCAAAAAATACTTCTAAAATTCCAATTTGATGCAAACAGATCCCTCATGTTACATTTAAGTTATAACTTGATTAAATTGTCCTTACATACACATTTTACATATTATTTAAAAATGGTCATTTAATACATGAGGGGTGTGATACACACTATAAGCATATTATAGGAGTATTTTCTGCACTTTATAAACTATTATTGTTTTGAATCTTTTGATCTTAACGGTTAAATTTAATTGAGAACGTAATTTTATCGCAATTTGAATAGTATGATGACGGAAGGTGATTGAACACCCATCTATTTTTTTTTTTTTTCCTCAATAAATATTGAATATCCATTTGTTACTATGTAAAGAATATTATATATACATTTGTGAAATTTTATTGCAAATTTTAAAGTTTAAAAGATTAAATGTATATTGTTTATATATAATGAATAAGTATTTTTAATTTAATTTTTTAATTATATATTTAATATAAATTGATAACTATATTAAAATTTAATTAGAAATAATTTTTTTTTTCTTTTTTATAATTATAAAAGGAACGGAAGTTTTCATTCCATATGATATACTGAATATTAATCTGACAATTGTGACAACAAATTTTTTTTTTAAAGAGAGATAATACACTGTTAGTGGAAATATATAGAGAGAAAAGGTGAGAGAAAATCCTTAAAAGTTAGTTAAATATAGTTAATGTGTATATAACATTCCTATACTATGAGATTATTAGTATACACACCCCCTTGGTCATTTTTGAAAGAGTAAAAGGGCTAAATGAGTATTTATGTCAGATTTCTGATTGAGGGGGGTTTTCACATAATTTTAAAAGAATATAGGTGTCTTTAGCACATTCTTTTAAAATAGGAGTGAAAGTGTCATGCAAAGTATACAACTATACATTAAGGGTGTTTTTTTGCGCTTGACTATGTATAGATTTGTTTAAAATGAAGTAATTTGATTAGGTAGTGAGACACGAATACTGTAATGATTTTCCCATATTAATAAATAAAAACTATGTGTTAAAAAAATAAATAATATTATACATGTATTATTGCATGATTGAATTTTTAAGTTTTTAATTCATCCAAACAAGTGGAATAATTTCTCACTTACTAAATAGTTTCTCGCTGCAAAATTTACTTTTTGTTTTGCATAGTCAACTCCCTATGACTTTCGAGTTATCCAATAAACCCGTAACTTTTTTATTTTTTTAAATTTAAAAATGTATTTTGATTAGGAATGTTATTAAATCATATAATAAATTATTCGATTGTCATCAATTATTTGATGATTTAACTCAATCAAAATTATTATTCAAACTGTTATACATATATTATTATATAAAAAATAATTCCGTATCATCCTTTGATCAAATCATCATCATTTTTTTTTTTTTTTTTTTCTCACTTGGCAATGGTTAGGCCATCCGCAACGGGCTCTTCAAAGCCCATTTTGGGCGAGCGAATGGACTATGGAGACTGCAGCGGGCTAGCTATAAGTGGTAGGGCCCATTAGTAATCGCGGGTCTGCTCTCGGTATTCAACGAGCCGGCCCGCGATCGTTGACTTTCTTCTTCCTTTTTTTTTTTTTTTTTTGCTTCAAAATGGCGCCATTTTGGGCTGCCGGTATTTTGTCCTATTCTTCAGTTTATGCACAATTATTAATTTTTTTTAAAGAGCTAAAAATAGGTTATTTTTAGCTCCTTTTAGAAAAAAAAAATTAAAATAAAATTCATTAAATAAAAAATATATTGTTTAAGCACTATTTATAGAAAAAAAAAATTTTATTTGGGCCAAAAATAAATTCAAAAAGCTTTTGTTTTTTTGTTTTTTTTCCTTAAAATTTGTTTTTTTTTTAATTTTTTTTTTTGCTTTAAATTGTAATCCTTATTTTCTTATTCCAATTCATTTTTTTTAACCCTTATTTTGTAATCCTTAAAAAAAAAAAATTATGTAGGCCAAAAATAAATTCAAAAAGCTTTTGTTTTTTTTCCTTAAAATTTGTTTTTTTTTTTTTTTAAATTATAATCCTTATGATCTTATTCCAATTCATTATTTTTAATCCTTATTTTGTAATCCTTATTTATTTGGGCCAAAAATAAATTAAAAAAGCTTTTTTTAACACTTTTTGTAAAAAAAAATAATTAAAATTACAAATTCATCTACTTATTCCCATAGAATTTTCTAATACTTATTTTCTTATTCCAATTCATTATTTTTAATCTTAAAAAACTATTACATAATAAAAAATTTAGTACACGAAATGTCATAACATCTTAAAAGCAAACAAAATGTAACATAAATTAAGCATCTTCATTAGCATAGCGGTTCCACAAATTTTCCATCAAATCATTCATCAATCACGTATTTGTCTCTCTGTTGCGAATCTGAAGTTGTCGAGAGGATATGTGTGCCGCTAAAATTGATGGACATCGACTTAAAGTGGGAATCGGGATTGCATCCTCCGGTGGTGAAGTCCATCTTCCAACATTTATGTGACCCTTATTCTTCAATGATCATATTGTGAAGGATGATGCATGTTTTCATTATGAGGCGCAAGTCATATTTCTCCCAGTAACACACTGGTCCTTGCGTTATTGCCCATTTGATCTGTAATACCCCAAAAGCCCGTTCCACATCTTTCCTTGCTGCCTTTTGTCGCTGAGCAAATAATTTATCTTTTGTAGTGGTTGGGTGCGGGATGGTCTGCATCAAAGTTATCCACTTAGGGTATATACCATCAGACAAGTAATACCCCATTCTATAGTGATGTCCATTCACTACATAATTAACCGGAGGTAATTGGTCATTGACGATACCGTTGAATACCGAGGAATGATCCAACACATTTATATCATTGTGTGAACCCGGCATTCCGAAGAATGCATACCAGATCCACAAATCTTGTGAGGCAACTGCTTCCAATATGAGAGTATTCTTGTCAGATCGTCCCCTATGTGTGCCTTACCACTCCACTGGGCAATTCTTCCACTCCCAGTGCATACAGTCAATAGAACCAAGCATACCCAGAAATCCTCTCTGCTTCCCTTCTTCAAGCAGCCGTGCTATGTCGGCTTCGTTGGGTGTGCGCATATACTCCTCTATATACACAGCAACAATAGCATTACAAAATGCCTTCAAACATTTAATGGCAGTGCTCTCGCCGATTTTAATATACTCGTCATAGTGATCGGCTGCACAACCATATGCGAATATACGAACAACAGTACTTGTTATCTTCTGTATAGAAGACAACCCCAGACGACCAGTCGCATCCTTTTTTTGGACAAAATAGTCGTCATAAGCTTTGACATCATTAAGGATACGAAGAAAAAGTTCTCGTCGCATCTTGAATCGCCTATGAAAGTACTCCGGTGGATATGTGCAATTCTCGTCGAAGTAGTCTTTCATTAGCTGATAGTGGCTTCCCTTTCGGTCACGATGAATATACCGCTTCTTTTTACGAACTTGAAATACTTGCTCCACTATCTCTGCCCTCACTGAATTCATAATCTCATAGAATTCGTCTTGATCCTGTTAAATCAACGCCCCAAAAGGATCATCTTCCGAAGATGATGACAAGGAAGATGAAAAATTAGAGACTGCCAAAGGAAAAGCTTATGATGACGAAGCCATTCGAATTTCGAAATTGAAAAAGATGGATAATGATATTTTGCTACAATTATGAGAGATGAATATAGATTTTCAGATGAACAAATGAGTTTCATTATATAAGATGAAAAATATAGCCGTTAAAAATATAGCCGTTACAAATATAACCGTTACGAATATAGCCGTTTAGGAAATGTTAAAAAAAAAAAAATTAATAAAAAAATAATAATTTTAATTTATTATTATTATTTTTTTTTGGAGAACGAAAATTCAGAGAGCCTGATACAGTGCATGTTTCTGGAGAGTGAAAACTGCTGATGTGGCTCTTGGAATTGCTAATATGGCTTTTGAAAAAGTCAATGTGGCATTTTTAGAGAGCCAAAATCCAGAGAAGTTGGTGTAAATGGCCTTAGTGGGGTTAGTAGTGAGAGAGGGAAGGCGAGGAGTTAGTAGTTAGTAGAATGGATGGCTCGAATACTGACACTCAGATCAACTCGTAAGACTCGAGGTGAAAGGGAAGGAGTTAATAGTTATTACGATGGATGTCTCGAACACTGACACTCACACTATGTCGTGAGGCTCGCCCACCTACAAGGCACATCCATCATCCTGACGATTCAGTTCAATAAAAATTACTATTCAAACTGTCATATAAATTATTATACAATAAATTATTTCATAGTCCATCCATGAATGGATCAAAAATTTAATCGCAAGGGTATAAAAGGCATTTTACGGGACTGGCGTGACATCAAGTATGGTCAACTCCATAGATCATTTTCTTTCCTCCAGTAGGCCACGAATTCAAACAGCGTACAAAAGGAAAGTAACAATTGAATGAGATATTCACGTGCCACCACAAAGAAAATTTTATTACGTGTATACAATAAATTGACAAGCTTTTGGTCCGACATTGGAATACGCTTCGAGCGAAGATGATTGGCGCCGGCAAGGATATGGGTCTACCTTTCCGCGAGTGATTTTACTGGACAAATGAAATAAGGGTAGTAAAATAATTTTATTTGAACAGTACATGAGTATTTTGGATAACAAAATATAATGAACAGTAAAAATTCATGGACACCTCAACAATTCTGTCAACGTCATTTTTAAGAAACTTCGAGGCTTTTTTTGAAAAAGGTCATACGGGAGATTTATTGTACTTTGCCCTTTATTTTATAATTAGTACTTAAAATTTAATCATTAAAAATTTTCAAATATAATTTTTAATTTTATCAAATAACACTCTAATCTAAAACTTTTGTTAACAATTATTTTAGTATATACAAGTCTTTAGAGTTTTAAAATTTTAAGTTTTAACCAATTAAAAAACCATGTATGCAAATATACTTTGACTGTACTCGTATTACTTCATTTTTTCTAAACTTTTAATAAATAAAAGACTTTAAATATAAAACCCTCAAAACAAATCATATCTCATGCTCCGTTTGATAGTGTGGAAGAAATTTGAATGGAAGGGAGAGAAGAAGAGAAAATGAAATATTCCTGTAAAATAGATTGTGTCATTTCTTCTTTTTGTTTGATTGGATAAAAGAAAAGAGAATATGACAATATCTTATTTTGTTTGTTATTAGAGAAGAAAAGAGAAAGTACTAACTATAAAGAAATGTTTGTAATTTAAAAATATTTATAAGGAAAGTTTTGTAATTTAATGACATTTATATAAAAATTTTGTAATTTAAAAACATTTATGTTATGTTCTGTCAAAAAGAAAAAAATTTGAATATAAGGGAAATAAGAAGGGAGGGATGAAATATCTCTAGAGAAGAGATTGCATATTTCTTTTTTTGTTCAGATAGAAGAGAAGATAATAAACTCATAATTTATTATATTTGTTAAGCGAGAAGAAAAAAATAATTATTTAGGATAATATTTTATTTAAAACTTTTATAATAATTCTCTTGTCTTTTTTCATTTCTTTCGCCCGTTTTTGAACGAACGAAAATTTGTAAAGAAGGAAGGATGAGTCATCTTTCATATTTTCCTTTTTTTCCTTGTATAATCTCTACTGAACAAAAGAAGTTCGTTCGTTCTTTCCAATTTTCTTAGCACACCTCTTCCTTCCTTTTTACTGAACACAACATTATTAATAGCTTTGTCTTTTATTTTTTTGTTTTTCGCCCATATTTGGAGGGATAAAAATTTGTAAAGGAGAAATGACGAGTCATTCATTCTTTTTTCTATCATCTCCTTACACCGTCTCTACCAAACAAATAAAATTTATTTACTCTTTCTTATCTTTTATCCACCCATATTCATTTCTTACTATAAAACGATCATTCAAATTATTATAATTTAAGTATTTATAAAAACAAACCGGTGTATGCAAAAAGAACTTAAATTGTTACATTAAATCACATAACTAAGACTATCACGCTTTGCATGGAATGGCTATCAATATGGTAATAGGTAAGTCTATGAAAAATGATACAAATTTTGATTTATTTTTTTAATCGACGGATGTAATAATTATTGAAATAAATGTAATAAATAGACTATTATATTCATTAAGAGAACTTGTGAGTCATTATTGAACACTATAATTTTAATTGCAAAAATAAATAAATAAATAAATTGACTATTACTCAGCATTGAATACTCTTTTAATTGGAATATGTCATTTCTTACTACGGAATTAGCAAAGGTTTTGTGAATGCAGTTGTACCCATATCAAATATGAAATACCTCATGAGCTATCAGTCTATCGCAATATCAACTATATGAAATAAAAAATTCACTGCCTAAACTACCCTTAGTCGAACATTCTTTTAATTGGAATATGTCACTTCTTATTACGGAATTTGCAAAGATTTTGTGAATACGATTGTACACACTACACGCATCAAATACGAGCGATCATTCTGTCACAATATCAACTATTTGGGGAAAAAAAATTCACTGCCTGACCTACCCTTAGTCCAGGAAAATAATAGTTAAAAAAAAAAAAAAAAGAAATCTCGCTCGTAGAAATATTTATGCTGATCAATTGCTGGCTTGATTCGAGACGTAGAGGGGATATCTCCTCCTCACCACGTGTCCTGTAAGGAATAATAAGCCATTATTTGTGTGGGCCCATTTTCAATTATGTCCTTATGATGTCATTCACTATAATGGAAATCCCCATCTTGTAGGACACTCTCTCTAAATATCAGACACTCAGACCAATCAAAGTAAAAAGGATTACCTTGACACATCTCGAATTCCCCAAAATACCCTCACAAAATTTATAAAGAGTTCAAGTCCCAAGTCGTTTCGATCTCACACTCCTTTATCAATTTACGTCTTCGGTCTTCCAATAACAAGTATAAAACGTAGTTTATTTTCCAAATATATATATATATATATAAAGTAGTTTTTTTTTTTTTTTTTTTTTTTTTTCGAGAGTCTAAAAAATAGTTGAAAAAATAGAAAAAGAGAAACTATATCATCGTCTTCTCTACTTTCTACACCTGAAATATCTAGGGTTTCTCAAATCCTAACCTAACTCTAACAGATCGCAACTGCAATACCTAATTCGCGATCTAATTGAGCTCCGTCGTCAACCGTAGTGTTTCGATTTTGTGCAAATTGGTGTGTGTGGTTATAAAGTTCGTTTTTTTGTGGGTTTTTGAGAATTCTCTGAGGGGTTTTAATTTTTGGGGGTGAATCGATGGCGGGTGTTGAGGAGGAAGAGGTGGAGTACGTGAGTGATCCGGAGGAGGCGAAGCTGTCGCTAACGATGCGGAGGAGGGAAGCGAGCGATGACGAGGAGGAAGGAGAGGGGGACGAGAGCGAGAGTAGAGAGAAGACGCGGGGAAGGATTGATTCTAGGGTTGGGATTGGGTCGGACGGTGAATCGGATGGTCAAGGGGCTGCCGCGGAGTATGACGACGATGACGATGAAGAATTGGAGTTGGAGGAGGAAGAGGAGGTGGAGGAGATGTATGAAGAGGAGGAGGAGGTGGAGGTGGAGGAAGAGGAGTATGAGGAAAAGGGTGGCCATGATGGCGTGGGAGGTGGCCTAGCGGTTGAGGATGTGGCTGCAGCAGCTGCAGTGGTGGCGAATGAATTGGATGGGGAAAGGGAGAGATCTGATGGAGAGTTAGAGGAGGTTGAGACGGGGAACCAGGTGGAAGAGGGAAAAAAAGAGAATGAACCGTTTGCAGTGCCAACGGCTGGTGCGTTCTATATGCACGATGACCGGTTTCGGGACAGTGCAGGTGGTAGAAACAGGTATTGCCAGTCGATTCTATTTATATTTTATTATGTTGGGTGATGCAAATAATTAATTATGTTGCCTTTCATGTTCATGGTAGCTATAATACAGTCTTGACATGTGAGAGTAAGAAAAATTAGGAGTCTAAGTGTTTTGCTCAACTCTTTTGTGCCTCTGAGTGTGCCTTCTTTTGATTAATACTTCCCTTTATTCTTCTTGTACTTTATTGTTACTTATCATATGTTTTCCTGGAATATTTGCTTATTAAAGATGAAGTGCAAGTGTTGTAATTTTTCCTTTCCGTAATATCAAGCTTGGAGCACCTTATTGTTTAATTTTAAGTTAATTATATTGAATGATGTGTTCAGTGGATAGTTCTCTTTGGAATTATTTGGCACAAAGTGACTACTCTCTTATTCAAACCCTCGATTTTCATGCTCTGCTGCGTGAGCTTTTACAATTACATTGAGCAAAGATCCATCCTATCATATTCCCATGAACTTGCCTATATATTTGTTTCTATTAGTCGATGTCATGTACACAATTTTTTCTTACCAAAACCCCATTGTTTGTCCGACACATACTTTCCATGTTACAATGCGTCAAATTGCATAACGAGACTCACTTTGTTTGTTTGGGGTTTACATGCACCCCTGCAATTTTGGTTGGCATCAGAACTGCTATTTTTTGATGAATTTGGTTTTGGGCTGGTACCTTTTTGTAAACTGATCTGACCTGTTGCTCAGAAGCAAAACTAAGTTCGCTGGACATCCATGGTCCCCTTAAAATTTTGCAAAACCCTATGAAATGGGTCTCGATTACCCTTGTGAATATTGAGTACCTCTAGAAATTTAAGATCTTCACCCCTCCCCCCTCTCCTTCCCCAACCCCCCCAAATAGAAAAAGACATGTCTTTAGTGCATAATAACAAAAGTCTAAAACCTTCTTCATATCTATATGGACAGCATCCCTTAATTTCTATGCAATAATGTACTTAAATCTTAATTTATATCTTAGATCTTCTTTTATATTAAGAACATATACCAACTTCTATTGTAAATAAAAATATATTAAAAAATTTATAACTTTTTTTTTTGGGGTTAATTACGTTCACACCCTCTGAGGTTTGCCTTATTGACAGTCAGATGAAAGTTGACTCCTTTTTGAACAATGACCACCCCTCAGCTTTGATAAAGTTAACAAAGACACCCCTCCCACATCTGACACATAGTGAATTAACATTATTGCCCTTTGACTTGATAATTAACCTATTTTGACCATGGAATTACATTGTTAACCTTTACTACTCATTTTATTGGACCAAACCACCCTTACTTGCATAAAAATGTGTGTGAAACATATGGGTGAAATCGACCTTCAAACCTTCATATCACAGCCGCCGCCGCCACCCATATACATCCATCACCAAATCCAGCTTAATCAAGTCCAAATCCACATACAACATACAAGAATAAATTCCATAGACATATATATATATATATATATATATATAAATCCCATATTCAGAGAGAATCACACACAAATATATATATACACACATACATAACAAATTATACCAAGTCAGAGGTCTCTGGAATTTTTGGTGGAATTGGGTGCGTGTGTTTATATATGTAGATTAGCAATTGGTGATGGTGGTGCCAGTGTGTTTTGGGGTTTGCTTGGGTTTGACGTTGTGGTTCAGTATAGATTATTTGAGTTTTTGTGGTGGAAGTGGTTGGATGGCGGTGGTGGTGGAAATGGTGAGGGGCGGTGGCGATTGACCATGCCTGGGAATAACGTCAGCTGCAAATCACGTTGCTTGCACTGCAACAATATTGCGATGACGCCCGTAAAGATGATGACGATGTGGGTTACTGGTTCGTTCTGGGGTTGTTGGGAAGAAGATGAAGGTACATAGGTAGGTGCAACCCCACGCGCAATGACGGTGCGTGGGGTGCGTGATGCCCCTTCCGGCAAAGGTTGGGGCCGGAAAAAAGGGTGATCCAACCCAACAGTTCCATCCCCTTCCCTTAGACGAAGATGATGACGACGTTCTGAAACCTCCGGCGCATTCAACGCAATCTGAACTGACTGATCTGGCTCCACATCACACGCGTTTGTTGCTCGTCTTCAACACTGACAAGAACGACGATTTGCTACTATTAAGGCGGTGGTTTCACAGGGTGGCCATGGCCGGAGGAGGTGGCGGTGGCCAGGGTAGTGAAGGTGTATAGGAGTTTTGAGAGGTGGCGGTAGTGGTGGCTGTGTTTTGGTGGCGGTGGTGGTAGGTGATGGTGAGGACTTGTTTGGCAGCTTTGGCTGCAATTTAATACTGTTGAGGGGTATTTGGGTCATTTAAATACTCTGATATTTTAGATCAAGAATTATTATTTTATTGAAGGGCAATAGTGTCTTTTTACATCTTTTTAGGGGCTGTTTGGCTGCAATTTTTGACAGGGGGTGTGAGTGTTCAAAAAGAGGCTAACTTTCATCTTGCTGTCAATAGTGTATACCTCAGGAGTGTGAGTGTAATTATTTAAAATTTTGTTTTAATATTACTAGTTTGCTCGCACCCGTGCTCCAAAAGTGAAAATTCCTGGGTCCACCCCTGCTGTTGGCTTCGGTGATGTACATTTTTGAGGCGGTTGTTTTGTATCATGTGGAGGCTTTAGAAAGGGTAGTGAAGTTTCTCTCACTCTATTGCTGGTCGATATTGCTCTTCTTTAAAGCACATATATTTGAAGATATCCTGCTACAGAGTTGGAGCCATCCTTCCAAGGCATTTATAAGGGTGAAGCCGTATGTAGCAGTGATAGATATGTATGGCGGTTGCTTTTTTAGTCTTTCTGGACTCAATATCACCATTATTTTATGGGAAGAATTCTGAAGTTTATCGACAAGAACAAGAGCAACAGCAACAGCAACAATAACAGTAATAATCTGTAAAGAATCTCTTATTGAAATTATAGTTTTCTATTCTCTTTTATGAGAACCACCAACTAACGCGGTTGCAACTGGGAATAATTTGGTGTGGGTTGATATTGTCTTTGGTTTTCGTTTTGAGCTAGAAGTTGAGAATTGACCTAGGTTGGTTTTTGGCCCTAGTTGTTGCTGGTTGCTAAACCGAACAATTTAATCCAGGTTCCACCCCGTGTTATTATGCTGCATGTTCAGACGGTGTGTTGTGCAAGCTTGTGCGCATTGTGAAAATTTTCACCTGTCTTTTTTGGGTTCATATCTCACAATTTTTAGAATTATCAGCAAAGGTTCTAATTATGGATTTGAGGCTAAAATGATTTTTTTTTTTTTTAATTTGCGGATCCCAAGTAATGGGATTAAGGCTTTCTAAGATTGAGTTAGAGTTACAATACAAACTTAAATTCACGTGTTGCTTTTTTATTTCTTTCTTTCTCGTGTATCAAAATAATTAGGTATATGGCAGAGCTGTGAAATATGGATTGGCAAAGTTTTTGTCATGGATGGATGCCCAAGCGTTAGCTTTACATTACTCGGAATAAATCCTGTGCAATGAATACGAGTTAGTGGTTTGTACTTGTAGAAAATCAATAACGACATTGTGCCCAAAATGCGCTCTTCCTATCACGAACACTCTGCAAAAAAGTTTGCTCAGGTGCCTTGATGCTATCATGTCTTGAGAGTTAAGAGTGCTTCCAACATATTAAAGGAAAGAAAATAAGTTAAGAGTGCTTGAGATGGACAGCCGCTTCTGTGAATTCTTCCGGCTACAAATTTATTGTATCCTTCCAGCTACAAACATCTATTGAATTCCTAGTTCTACATACAGTAAATTATGCTATGAGTTTTATTAACTGTACACATAATTGTAATAAATTTTCTATTTCTTGTTCATTTTATTTTTTCTTCTAACTATATCAGTGTTTCCATGGTACCATGCTTCCTACATAGTGATGGTGTAACATGTTATATTTTTGTTTAGGCGAACACTTGGGGGAAGGAAGTTGTGGGAGTCAAAAGATGACAGGAAATGGGGGCATGACAAGTTTGAGGAGATGTCCTTGCAGGAAAGGCATTACGAAGAGGTGAGTGGTTTTGTACTTTCTGAATGATGATTTTGGGTCTGAAGTGGCTTCTTTCTTTTAAAAGCTGCTTCTAATATGTACCACTATTTATTTTCCAGGGTAGGAGGACTTCTAGAGGTCATTACCGAGCCCGTGGTAAAAATCGAGGTGCAAACCATGGATATCAGAGAGGAAACAGGTTTAGAGCATATAGCAATGACAATCAGAACAATGCACCCAAATCTGTGAGGGGGAGAGGCCCTAGAAGGTACGAACCTTCAACAAAGAGCAACAGTGTAGCGCTGTCAACACAAAACAAACAGTGAGTAGACAATTAAACATTTATGATGTTCTTTTGTTTTTCTTGGTTCATGAAAATTTGTTAAATAATTTTTGTTCTGTTTTTTCTGAATTCTTAGATCTGGGAGATCAATTGAGAAAACAACACATGCTAATTCAGGGAGAGTGTCTGCACCTGCATCAAACGTAGATTCTAATTCTGTTCCTGCTAGGAAGCATGTGTTTGCGTCAAGCTTGAGTTCTGCTTCTCCTCCATTTTATCCTTCTAGCTCTTCCACTAAGGAGATCACTTTGACGCAGAAAAGGGATGTACCAGTGGGAACCATTAACCGGAACTTTCGGCCTTCCATTATGGATGAGAATTTTTCCAGATCACAATCCAATGTGGTACTGCGAGGAAAGGATGTAGCCAATGCAATGGGCATGGACAAGCTTTCTATTGATGATTCCATCTCTGCAGTTGCAGGGAAGCATTCAACGAACTTCCAATTGCCAACTTCTAGATCCACATTGATCAATGCTACTCAACCTTCTCAACCCAGGGCTCAGGGGAGGGGTCTAGCTCCTTCAGGGCAGATGAATTCTCAACCAGCAACCCGTCATAACCAAATTAATAGAGTGTCTCCTCTAACCCAACTCAATTCTGTTCAGAGGGGTCCTGTTCAAAGCAGAGTTCAACCTTCTATACAACAGTTGGGTCAGCGTCCTGGTAGTGGATCTCAAGCTTCCTCTCCACCAAAATCAGCTCTATCAATAAATTCATTTGAAATTGGGGAACTGGAATCTCCTCCTGAATCAAGTAAATCCAGGACTGCTTTGGTTGGAAAAGGAAAAGGCAGTATTCAAGGTAGTGGAAGGGGCTCTATCATGTACAATGGAGCTCAGGTTATTGGAGCTTCTGGGAATATGGGCGGTGGTCATGGTGATCAAAACTTTCCTCCAACTCCTGCCTTTTTGCCAGGTAAAGCTTCTTTATTGCCACTTTAGCTGTCAGAAAGAAGGAAAATAATGAAAATCATCCTTAATATCAAGTCCCAAATAAAACCCTATTCTTGGGATACACTTGATTTGGGCAGAGTTAAGTTAAAGTTTACATTATTTTTGCAACGAGTAACTAATGAGCTATAACTCTTTTCCCCCTTAAATGTGAATGAAATAACAATTGACTATTAAAATACTCCCTCCGTCCCACCAAAAGTGTCCACTTTTCCATTTATGGCTGTCCCAAAATAATTGTCCCAGTTCAAAATCCAATGTACTATTTTTTTAATATTCATAATTTACCCTCATTGCCTTGAAGTAATAAAAGCAATTAAAGTTATGTTGATCCACCATAGAAGGGTATATTTTGAAATTCATTACCTATCAATATAATAAAAAAAAATATTAAAAACTACTCTCTTAAAAAGTTAGGTTTCTGAAAAGGGACACTTTTTGTGGAACGGAGGGAGTAGTTCAGTTTGAACTTTCAAAAGAAAAAAAAAGTTCAGTTTTGATCCCTTTGGATGCATCGTATTTGTTCGTTATTTTGATATGGTTAATTCTTTGTGGCAGTAGAAACTGTTTATGACATTTTGTGTGTCTATATCACTTTGTAAATTGACTGATTGTATGTATCAAGATCTATGCTTATTGTTCTTCAGGCTTGTTTCAATGTGCTTGAATTATAAGTTCTATTCTTTGATGATTGACATGCAGTTGTGCCATTTGGCGGCCAGCATCCTGGTGGTATTGGGGTTCCTGCTGTTGGCATGGCCTTCCCTGGATATGTTGCTCAACCACAACTTGGGTTGGGAAATTCTGAGATGACATGGTATTTTAATTTGCCCTTTCCAAGTGTACTTTATGTGTTCATGTTATTACTTATTGATTTATGGATTGCTCTCGGTTTCTTACATTCTTTCCACTCTGGAGAGGTGATGCCATGGTCATTTCTGCAATTGGCTGAATGCCACACCTTTTGGAGTAGGAAAAATGATTTTTCCTTGATGGGATAAAATAATTGTTAATTGATCTATATTAACTATCCCTTTAATCCTATTTGATTGATTGTTTACTAGTGGAAAAGATTCAAAAGAGTAGTTATGTTGAGAAAACTTTGTTATTGATGTCTTATTATCAGGCCTAAATAAATGATTGTTATCTTGGATATCATAATAATCATATGCTAAAACATATCTATAGTGTCATTTGTAGTTCACACACCACTTGGGGATATGCCAATGCAAGTCCATCTATGTTTCATGTATCCTTGGAAATGCATAAAAAAAATTAGATTTTACATGAAACATAGGGGTATCTAAGCAGTTGGGTAATTTGGTGGGTCCAGTTGTTCCTGGTGGGACCCAAATTGATCTTTTGAATTGTTGATTGGCATCCCCCTCCTACTCCTCCCAATATATATATATATATATATATGACTGTTCATCTGCTCACTGGTGTGCAAGGAATTTATGCACGAGTTAAATCTTAACCGTTGGATATAAAAGAATAAACCACCTTTTTAACTGCCCACTGGAATCTAACAGTTAATACTTGAGGTGTGCATACATTTTCCTGCACACCAGGGAGCAAGTGAACAATTCTGTATATATATATATATATATTTTTTTTTTTTTTTACTCTTTAACCAATCAAGTGGTGATCATCTATCTCATCACAAAATATTTTGTCTACACGAATGATTATATTGTTTGTCTGGTTTAATATTGTTCAGGTGCCAAAATGGCATGCTTCTTGTTTTTGGGGTTTGCATGTGCCTGACTATGTTCGTGATCTATTAAAATATCTGTTTGTTTTGTTCTTAAAATACTATTTACAGGGTAGAAGTGTTTGGTGAGGGTTTTGTACATCCTCTTGTTTGAAAAGAGGGAAAATTAAGGGGATGACTCTAAGGTTTATGAACCATCAAGCTTTGCAGATACTAATGGGAGAGAATCCATCAATGAGGAATGAAGCCATAGGTGTGAAAGTGAGAGAGAGAGAGAGAGAGAGAGAGAGAGAGTGCTTGTTCAAGTGTGAAGCTGGTCTACTTTGGGATAATCCTTGAATTATATTTTTGCATTTCGATTCAGGCATATGGTATTTATCTCCCATGCTAGGTCTACTTTGGGATGGCTTAAAAAATAGGCAGGGTTAGATAGGGGAGGACTGGGTTTTGTATACTCGAGATTAATTTTTAAAAGGAGTGTAAAATCTGTGAGGTGGGCACAAGGAGCACCTTGAAGCTCTAATTTGGAGGTTCATGCATTTGTGCTTTGTTTGTTAGGAAGGATGGGAAAATGGAGGGAAGAGATAAGATGGAGGATGGAATAGACATCCCTAGGGAAGGGATGGCGCCCATCCATCCTTTTGTTTGATTGAGTGGAAGGGAAGGGAAGGAGGTGGCCCCTTCGAGTCCTTTGTTTGGTTGGAGGGACGGAAAGAAATTGCCTTGAACTTTTTTTTACTAATATCCCTCTATGGAATTTCAATAAAGTAATTTGATAGATAATTGAAGGGTAGAAATGTTATTTCATATGGCCATGCATAACACTAGTGTTCCGTGCATATGGAGGTCCTAGTGGTTTCCTCTTTCATCTTTCGTGACATTAGTCTTTGCTCCAAATATTTTGCGACATCTGTCTCTTTAATTAGAAATGGTAAGGTTTTAGAAAGGGTACTTGGTTGATGCTTTCTCCTTGCAAAATATTTCACTGTAGAAACAGCTGCTGCTATGATTAGTTTGTCAAAATGAAGTTTCGGTTTTACTCATCTTTCATAAAACTCCTCATCCACTTTTTGAATATGATTTTTTTCTTCTTCGCAAAGTCTACATCTTAGTAATGCATTTTTTTCCCTTGGAAAGAAGTGATGATTTTCATTTTCAAATTCTCAGGCTACCGGTTTTGGCTAGTGCTGCGGGAGCTATGGGGGCTGCAGGAGCTTTAGGGGCGACATATCCCTATATTACTATGGATGGTGCTTATCATTCTCGTCCATCAGGACAATCTTCCTCAGGTGCTTCAAGGTTCGTAGCATGTTTTCTAATATGATTGCTTCTAATCTGATTTTCTTTATTGTTCTGATTAAATTCCCCGTTTCCATTACCTCCGCATGTAGCTACAAAACATAAAATTTTTATCATCTTCTCAAGTCCAATGCCATGATGGCTTATTCAATCAGTTCTCTCTTTCAAGCGCTAGTAGCTTGTTATCTGAAATGCATAATCTTTTTCATATTCCAATGCTCCATCATGGTCTAAGACTCTCAGTATATGATGCAAACATCTTGCTTCCTGTGTTTTTTCTGAGGTTTTAAAGATTCGTGTGAGGCCATCTGTTTCTTAGGCATAGGACATGTTTATTATCCCTTTCCCAGTCTTGCATCCTATAAACATGTGATATGTAACTTAATTGCTTGAATCTCTAATGTCACGTGTCATCAAATTTATGCTTCCATCTAAGTAACACAAACATTGGTACTGAACGCGGGCATGAAATATAAGCACGTTACGACATGGACATGTTGACATGTCAAAACCTAAAACAAGGCTAATATAAATATAAATATTTATTTATATACACATCTACTGAATTAGATGATTATAGAACTTTAATTAATTTTTAATTTCAATACTAAGAGTTATATGATTTAGAAAATTTGTGAATACTAGATAGCTACTAGGGGTGACAATATTTGACACGACACGCTAACATAACACGAGATAAGAGGGTTTGGGTTTGGGCTAATCGTGTTCGTGTCGTAATCGTGTTGACACGGATTGACCCATTAACTAAACATGTCGTGTAACTCGTGTTCGACCCTACTAACACGATCATGACACAATTAACTAAACGGATCAGATAAACGTGTGTTATTCATATAAAAAATGACCTATTTAGCTAAACGTGTAGAATAAATGTGTCGTGTTTGTGTAAAAAATGACTTAAACATGTTTTTCGTGTCATTTTGTGTCTTGTCGTGTTGTGTCGTGTCTTATTTTGACCCATTTATTAAACGGGTTACGCGTGTCGTGTCGTGTTATATGTATAATAATCCTGTTCGTGTTAAGGGGTCTTGACACTATTAATAATTGTGTCGTGTTCGTGTCGACTCTAATCATGTTCGTGTCATAATCATGTTGACACGAACACGACCCGTCAACACGAATTGCCACCCGTAATAGCTACCACTCACCTACTTTGTCATTAGAATTACATTTTTGGCATGTATGAAAAAGTGTCACTGCTCTGCTTGGCTTTGTTTATTTTTGTCATATATGAAAAAGTGTCGGTGTGTGCTTGACTGTTTTGTTACTACATGTATAATGTCTATTACTTATTTATTTATTTTTAGAAAAAAAAAAAAAGATTAGCCAAATTGAGGTGTTCATTTTGTTTCCAAGATTGTCGGATTTGACTACTTATAAAGGTGTTTGTGTTATGTAAGACTTGTATTGGAGAGTATGAGATGTGCCAGCCAAGTGTCCAGATGGGTTTGCTAAGCTATTAAAAATGAAATTATTTTAAATTAGAGACTCGTCTATGAAGTGTTGAACACATACCCAAGAGTGTCGTTTATGTCCGTGCTTCTTAGGCTTTCCTGCATTGTCATGAAAGCAATGTCCTGTTGCTTGGTAAGAAATTTTTTCTTTTGCTGTGGCCTCATCATGATTTCCTCTTCGCTAGAGTGATGAATTTTCGTTTGTTTGTAAGAGTTGCGTGTTTTGATTTATTGCATTATTGCTGACTGAAATTACTATCTTATTAAGAAGTGATCCCTCATGTCCTGGAATATATTAACAGTTATAAAGTTGAACACTATAGAAAAGCTGTTAAATGTTTTTTTTTTTAAAACTTTTGCAGCAAAGAAAACAATACAAATATTTCCAGTAATGAATTGAAGCCGTCACAGAGACCGGGTAAGACATAACGAAGCCCTTGGTATTTGATTTTATTTACAAAACCTTAAACTTGCACTACATTATTCGCCATATTTTGTGGTTGAATTAGCTACTCTTTTCTGCAGAGCTCGCAAGTGATGAGTTTGGGCAACGGCAAAACAATCCTCGAAGGCAAGTTGAAATTAATGACCTTATTTACCTGTCATACTTTGTTTGAATGGGGGCTCATGACCTGTTTTAGATGACAATTTTTTCCCAATTCCCTCTACAATCTCCCTTTTGTTGTCTTGTTGCTCTCTCTTATCTTTTTTTGTTCTAAAAATGTTGAGAGTTCTTTTTGTTAATCATGCAGATATTCGAAGATAAACTTTGGCCAGTGAAGTACTGAAATATGTTTGAGCCTTTTTGAATAAACAGATTAAAAGGTTAATGTTTACCCTATTGAACTTCTGCATCATTTGGGTGTTTCAAATTTCTGAGTCTTGACTTTTTGGTACTGCAGGCCTTTCTCCGGGCCCTTTGTGATCTCCAGTATTTGTTCTGGAGCACTTTGGGCTGCATTATATTCCAAGATATTTTAGGTAATGTCTCTGTTCTTGGGCTTGGTCGTTATATTTTGTACATTAGCTGACCATTAAAGTTCTGGAGTATTGTGTTACCTGAACTAAGACCTTAATCATCTCGATTGCATTCTGATGTGGCTTGTGAAATAAATATGTGTCAGTTTTGAGGCGGCAGCTAATGCCAATCATTTGGTGCAAAATTCTCCACGATTTTAAGATAATTCTGGGTTATAACTGTTCATTTAGAGTGCATTTTATGCCCAGAACATGGACTGGAAAATGGGTTTGTGCTGAATTTTTAATAAACTTAATGCCTGTGACTCTAGGATTGTTTTGGAGCATGAAGATGTATTTGTCTGTGTGGTTATACTATATACATGTTTGTGAACATGCAAACACTTGGAACTTGCATGAGATGCTGTTACCTGGCTTTCGGTATGGAACCATAGCTCTGGTAGTTTTAATTCTGAAAATGGTATTAAGAGTATTTAGGGGATAATGTGGATTGCTCGGAGTGTGGGAGAGTTACATTGGAATATGAGCGCAGTAATCTGAAGAATGCCTAGAAGTGCGACAACTTTAATTTTTTGGATACCTTAAGGTCATTTTGTTCAGTGCTGTTCCCACTTTTGTGGATCCTGGGAGACTAACTTTTAGCATTATTTTTTTAATTCATGAGATTCTAAATGTGTATGCACACCATCCAAATGAATGTGTAATAAATGTGAGCTTATGCACGTGTAATCGAAAATTTTAAGTTTGAAATCTGAAGATGACGAGTTGAATGTCTATGACTTAACTTTAAGGTTGTATTTCTGTGATAGGAATGCAACTGACATTCAGTTGTAAAATTTTGGGGATACATTAACCTAAACAGCAGCATAAGTTTTAGGAGAGATTAAAATTTGAACAGCAGCAAATAAATTGATCCATGATCTGTCAAATTGTGGTTGAATTAGCGAACAAATATTCTTAATTTTACCACTGCTTGAAAATTTTATGGCAAGTTATGAGCTTCTTAAATTTTTTGATGTGTTTTATTGTTATGTAAATTAGATCTAGAATGAAGAAAATAACAGAAATGGAGGTTGAATTTTTTATTCTATTTTATTAACCTCAACCTTCCTAAGTTTTGTGGGGGGATAAAAAACCTTCCTAAGTTTGAATAGTGTATTAGGATATGAATCTGCTACCTACTTAGGATGATTGTCTTTTGATATGATGATGGTATGGCACCTAATGTTGACCATGCGGACACACCGGGTCATCACTTCCTTGATCTCAGTCAAACGGGGTCAGTGCACTATGAATTTATTTAGCCTATTTTTATTATCATAAAGCAGTAAGTTAATTCACGAATATTGTGAAAAATGAAATAACTTGACAAATTCTGGAGTTATTTTGATGAATCTTGGAATAACAAAGCGCCGGATTTTATTTCCGTCTCATCTAAAAATGAATGAGCATGCAAAATCACTCGCTCTATTTTCTAGAGTAAGGATATATCGTCATAAGTCTTATCAAAAATGAATTTGAATGTGTCATCCATGTTTAGTACGAAGTGGAAATAATATTTTGCACTTTGTCATTTTGATAAAGTTTGGAATGAAAGTGCAGATTTTTATTTTCACCTCATCTAATCATGGATGTCCCTTGCAAATTCATTCTTAGTATTTTCTGGACTTTGATATTTCATGGTTACTTGTCGAATTTTTCAAAAATTTCCTTGTGATTGTGTTGGTAGAGTGGAATAGGGTTATTCTATGCAATTGTCAAAATGTAGGAAATTCTATTAATCTTTTGAATTATGAATTTTAACATGGATAGGTTGCTCGGCATGGTTTTTGTAAGAAGTATAATGAAGCTCACATCCCGGTGGTTTGGATTAAAGATGGTTTTTGTTTTTGCGAGGTTTCATTGATATATTCCTACTGTTTTTTTCGTTGGTTGGATCTTGTTGTAAATGCATGTGGAATGGTTTGTGTGTGTCTGGATGAGTATGATTATATTTCTTCATCCCAATGCTATCTTTGTCAATTCCTTTTCAGGATATTTATCTGCTGTGCTCTTAACTCTTTCTTTCTTTTGTTTTATTTTTCAGGTATATATGACAAACGCCCGCTCATGCTGCACTTACCTGAAGAAAAACATTGCAGCTTGACGGGTGGCAGTTCTTTGTTCAAATGTGTGGTAGGAATTTACTATAAAAGCCTTGGAAAATTTATTATTGATTCTGGAAATTCAACAAATTTGTGATTTTGGTTTTATCTTAAATTCAGGTTTTCTGTGGGTTGGTTTTCCTCGTGGAGCTTGTGAGAATTTGGTCGCGGGCTACTTCAAAATTTGTTTTAAAAAATGGAGAAGAAGAAGAAGGATTATTGTGCAGCTGTTTGGTTAGTGAAGTTTTTTGTTTTCTTAAAGATGATGGTGCATCTCTTGGGTTTTCCTCATAAGCGATGGCTTTTACCATTTGTGGTCATTTCTCTTGTTTTGAGGTACTTTTTGATGTCCGGATTCATTTGCCTAGTCGAGATTTTTTTTGTTCAATGAACTTTCTAGTCATTATAAGGCGCTGGTTTGTTGAGTGAGAAATGTATGTTATGGTGAACTTTCTGCTACTAACTGATGTTTTCTGAACAATGGCATGCTCTGTTGTGCTTATGGTACTTGAAATCACAGTCGTTTGTGGCAGTTCTTTTTCGATATTGGCATATAGAGTATATCTATGATATTATGATGATGAGTTTGAAATCTTAGAATTTTGGCCTCAAATTTCTTTAAAAGCAATTTGACTGCTGCTAGACATGTACCATAATTATTTTGGTGGCATGACGTGAAAGAGGGAAGGGGAGAGATTTGAATACACTGATAATTTAGTATCTTGTAAGATAGGGAGTGTATATATTTTACATTCTTTTGTCTTCTTTACCCTCCACTTGATGGTTTTAATGAATGGTATGGTAATGCCTTGCAAGTCTAAAATTTATGGTGATTAAACAATTTTGCGACTAAAAGATAAACTACTAGCAATAATGTCAAATCTTTCAAGCCCGTTGGTCACCTTTCTTTGCGTTAATTAGTCGGTTAACATTTCAGTTCTTTGCGTTAATTAGTCGGTTAACATTTCAGTTTGAAAATAACTTCCCTCTTATTGGAGATTAATAGTTTCTTGGAATAAATGTAGATTGTAAGAGGTTTTTGAAAGTTGATTGGTTTTTTTTTTTTTTTTTTTTTTTTTTTTTTTTTTTTTAAAGAAAAGCCTTTGAAGCGCGAAAGTACAAAATGGGTTGTGAATGGAATGGTCAATGCCCTTTTAAGATATTAAAGTGTTTGGTGAATTTGGTGGATGGTTAGGTCAGACATGATGCGTTTTAGGGAAGTCAGTATTGTGTTTATTTAATTTTGTTCTGGACAACACTTGAGCCTATCAAAGGTAATAGATGGACACATCTTCTTTTATTATAAATTCAGAAAAATGTGGTGAATATGTATTAAATTATTTTTTATTTTGTAATTAGAGAATGTTCAATTGTTATTGGTACGCATTACCAGCATGGATGAAATACATCATCACCGCTCAGGACCGAAGCATTGTCTCCTGTTGATAAGAAATTGCACCGCCAATCAACCGAAGTACCAAATCAGTAAATTTGTATCATGCCTGCTAACAACTACTATATATGGATATGATTATATATATATATATATGCATGTGTTATTACCTATTAGGCATAGTTATGTTACATGGAAAAACAAATATAATTCAAAATTATGAGGAAAATACTAAATTAACCCTGGACATTAAACATTCATATGCCATATTTTGATCTTCATTATCCACTTTAAGAGTTAGAGATCATACCATTTGTACTTCAACTTGTCGATCGCCATCATAAATTTATCTGATTTTTTCTTCATTTCCAGCATACCATGATAGAATATTGCAGTGGTTGCAGAAATACGAAGGAATCAAACTTGTCTCTCTCCTGCACTAATTGTCGCTTAATTTCATTGTTTTAAAAATGCTGGGACCATTTAATTACTCAAAATTTGATGGTTCTTGACAAAAATGAAGGGGATAACAAGTATAATATATACACGCCATATAGTCATTGTCAATTGTCATTATTCATTTCATTAAAAAGATAACGCCATTTCCAACAACTGGATGACGTTTTTAAAACATATTTTTTGTCAATATAATATAGAAAGTTAATTCTCTTATAATAAAAATAAAATAGAGGTCTGATATAGTAATGCACCTATATATCTCATCTCATGTGATACTAATGTGGCAGTTTTAACTTTTATTACACCAAGCTCTTCTTTAATGGGCTTTAGTCGGTGCTCATTTTAATTTTACTGTGTTTGGATGGAGGGAGTTGGAGGGAAATTTAATCAAAAAGGAAAAAAAAAAAAAGAGATAGAATTTATGGAATGTGAACCGTGATATAAAAGAATCCACAAGAATAAAGAGTCGAATTCATATGAATGGAGAGTGAAATGTTTTTACGGAGCAATTAATACGAATGGAGAGTTGAATGTTTTTTATTACTAATGGGTCAGTGGCCTAGCGCCGTGTTAGTCTCTTACTCAAATGAAGGTCAGGGGTTCAAATTTCAATAGAGATATGTGTGTGTGAGTACCAATTAAGAAAAAAAATATATATATATTCTCTATTTTATATTTATTTTTAAAAAATTATAGGGAAAAAAGAGAATTAGAAAAGACAAACGAGAATAATAGAATGAAAGAGGGAGTGTGTACTCTTTACTTCTTTTTCTAAAGTGAGAGGATTTGAAAGGAAGGTATGGAAGATTAAATATTAATAATTACAAAAGAAGGGAACGTACCATATATGAACCATAAGTACAAAAGAATCCACACGAATGAGAAGCTGAATACTTCTAGAGAGAAATCAATACGAATGGAGAGTCGAATGCTCTCTATTCACATGATACAGTGGAGTGAATTCCACAAGAATGGACAACTTGGCTCTCCATTCATCTCATTTTATATTTATTTTTTAAAAGTTATAGGACAAGAATTAGAAAGGACAAATGAGAATAATATAGTCAAAAAGGGAGTGTATAAACAGCTTAAATTGTGTTTGGGTTTTTACTTCTTTTTCTAAAGTGAGAGGATTTGAAAGGAAGGAATAGAAGATTAAAGATTAATAATTCCTGGCTAACAAAATCAGACCTAAACAAAATAAGTAAAATCAAATAAACAGTACATAGCATGCACCATTTATCATCAATAATTAGGAATGAAAAGATAAGAACTATATAAACAAGAGTATTTAGATAAACATTTTCGTGATCAGCAACTGAAAAATAAGAAAACAACAATTATAAATTAAAATATATAGCTAAAACAATTGAAGTGAAGAATAATGGTTTCATTTTTGTGGGTCAAGAGAAATAACATATATTTTGTAAGCATATTTATGACTCAGTCGATTCTAACAGTTTTACTATTTCTAAAATTAAGAAAAGGTGATTGAATTTAAATAAGACCTTAATTCAAATCAAATTAATGATTTTAAACAGATCGTTATATATTTTAATTTAATTAATTTGTAATACCTCCCATAGTTTTCTAAATTAGAAAAAAAAAAAAAAAAAAAAAAAAAAAAAAAAAAAAAAAAAAATCCAAAAATTTTACTTGGTGAAGTTTCATTCACAAATTTATGATCGAGGGAGGAAAATTTGAACTAATTTTTATTTCAATCCAAACACAATGGGCGTGATCTAAACATGAGTTTTTATCTTTCCCTCTACCCATTTGTCTGTAAGATGAGTCACGTGGAATGAACAGAATTGTCATCAATGGGCCCACTCATGTTGTTCAGAATCAGACGTCTCAGACACAACGAAGCACATAATTCAATGTTGTTGTGTCATATACGCTATATGATTCACCATAGCACGTGCGATCACTCTCTCTCTCTCCCCCTATTTCAGACATCTCTCTCTCTAAAACCTCTCGACTTTTGTATCACTCTGATACAATCTACTCTCTTTCTCTCTCTCTCACTAGAAATTAGCTGAAAGCAAGCAGGGCATCTTGAACTCGGTCAGATCTTGAACCTCACAGCTTCAAAAGCTTCATTGTGGAATAGACCTCACTTTCTCTCACCGTCGGCATCGAAGATCACTTTCTCTTGCTTAATCCGAACAGTTCCTCACATCGATCTTTCAACAATTAAAGTAAGTTTAGGGCTTCATAATTACTATTTCTTCAATTAAATCGAATCAGCTTCTAAGTTATGTTTACTTTAGTTTGTAGAGTATGTAGCATTGATCTTCATGCTTTGAATGCTGAATTATTGACAAGCACAGTCTTAGTCTGCATATATTGAACTTCACTTTAATTGCTGAGAAAACAGAGGATCAGCTTAGAAAATAGACAAGAAAATTTCAATATCAGCAGAAAAATGTAGATTTCATTTTTTTTTTCTTTTCCCAGCGACCTATCATATGGTTATATCATTCATTTAATCTTTGTTTTTTACTCAGGAAATTAATAAATGATGTTGCTTTATCTGTTCATGTAGGATCAGAACTTGGGATTGAACTTTGAAATTATGTGTTTGTCAAACATTTTGGTGTATATGGGACCGGTTTCACGAATACTAGCAAGTAGATAATGTATAGACAATGACAAATAAGGGATTTTGGTAATGTACTGTAGTTGAAGTGACTAATAATGGAGGAAGGCAACAGAGGGGATTTGCAAGGGAATGTGGTGAATCAGTCGTGGTTAAGGTCAAGTGGCAGCTTCAAGTCCACTTTGTCGGGAAAATCATCTCCTAGAAATTCTCCGACATTTCGAAGATTGCACCCTATTAGAACTCCACGAAGAGAGGGCAGAAGTAGTGGGGGCAGTGCTCAGTGGTTTAGGAGTAATCGGTTGGTATTATGGTTGCTTTTAATCACTCTTTGGACTTATGCTGGATTTTATTTTCAGTCGAAGTGGGCTCATGGGGAGAAAAAGGAAGGTCTATTTGGTCTTGGAGCTAAACCAAGTGATGGAAAGTCTGACTCTGAACAGAATAACCGACGAGAATTGATCTCAAAAGATGATTCCTTGACTGTTAAAAATGGAACTACTGGAAATTTTTCCAATTTGACGGACATAAATGTGGTTTTGGCAGAAAAGGAGAATGGTGCTACATCTCGTGGGAGCGCATCTTCAAAGAAGAAAAGCAAGAGATCAAAACGTAGTCCGCGTAAGAAGACACGTCCTAAGCAAAAAGCAGTAGGGGAGGTTGAAAGCAGTGACACTGAGGTACAGGAAGAGGAAATTCCTAAGAAAAACACGTCTTATGGGCTACTTGTTGGTCCATTCGGTTCAACGGAGGATAGAATTTTGGAATGGAGTCCTGAGAAGCGATCAGGAACCTGTTACAGGAAGGGGCAGTTTTCGCGTCTCGTTTGGTCAAGAAAATTCGTTTTGATATTCCATGAGCTTTCAATGACTGGGGCGCCACTGTCAATGATGGAGTTGGCTACAGAACTTATGAGCTGTGGGGCCACAGTTTCTGCTGTAGTTCTCAGTAAGAGAGGTGGGTTGATGCCAGAGCTTGCTAGGAGAAAGATCAATGTTCTTGAGGACAGAGCAGACCTCAGCTTCAAAACGGCCGTGAAAGCCGATCTTATCATTGCAGGATCAGCAGTCTGTGCATCATGGATTGGTGAGCATCTCACAACAATTCTGTAAAAGTGTTCATGATAGTTGAGCACCATTAGTTGTGCTAACATAAAAATTTAAGTGTTTTGCGATTAATAGCTTATGTTGCTCAAGTAAAATGCTTGAATTTGAATTACCAATAGAGTTTCTTTTCATGTGTTCCACTCAGTGATGGGATTTTTTTTTTTTTTTTTTTCTCTTTATAAATGTTATTTAAGGATTAATCTGATAGGAAGCTCTCTGTAGTGTAATTGATTGATCTTGCGTGTGAAAATTTGCTATAGGCCCCACTCTTACACTGTATATATAGTGTGTGATTTAGTGGGAAACTATGTGCCCTTGTTTGGTATTATCATGTGACTAGAAAAGTTTGCCTGAGCTTGTAATCAGCTTGAAACAAAGCCAAATAAAATGCCTTGAATCTGCCTTTTGTTCATCAAAGTTTGGGATGTGCATTCAGGCCTTAAGATTCCGTAGTGTCAAAGTGGTAAATGTGATACAACTTGCCACAAAGATAGAAGGGTTCTAGAAATCTGAAGCTCAATAATCACTTTATTTTTTGCTTCACTTATTATCTGTTTTTATTCTTACCGTTTTATTTATTCATTAATACAATCTCTTATCCTTACTACATAACATGGGTTCTTGTAGGAATAGTTACAGCTTCCTATGACACATACCACGGAGACAATTAATCCTTTGTCTTGTAATCAAAATCGTAAAGGACGCCTGCTCCTTTTTTGTCAAAAACAAAATGGTTTGGGATCACATTGATTTATTGAAGAAAGGGATATAGCTTCTTTCGCATGTATCCATTTGTATAACTTTACACTAAATTATCATTCTTTTGGTTTCAGAACAATATTTTAAACATGCTAGAGCTGGTTCAAGCCAAATTGCTTGGTGGATCATGGAGAACAGACGGGAGTACTTTGATCGGTCAAAGCTTTTTCTCAACCGGGTGAAAAAGCTGATTTTTCTTTCTGAATCACAGTCTAAACAATGGCTAGCCTGGTGTGAAGAAGAAAACATTAAGTTATATTTTAAGCCTGCACTTGTCCCACTTTCTGTCAATGATGAACTGGCTTTTGTAGCAGGCATTAATTGTTCACTAAATACTCCCTCATTCAGCACTGAGAAGATGCTCGAGAAAAGGCAGTTATTGCGAAGTTCAGTTAGAAAAGAGATGGGTTTGAAAGAAAATGATGTGCTCGTGATGTCTCTAAGTAGCATAAATCCTGGAAAGGGGCAGCTCTTGCTTCTTGAATCCGCACTTACGATGGTTGAACCAGAATCTTCTCTATACAATTCTGGAATCAAAGTTTCAGTGGAAGGAGGCCAAAGCCAATCTAATTTGACTGGAGGTCATCATTCAAGGGCTTTGCTTCAAAATGTGAATCAACTTGGTGAAGCTTCTGATGGATTACACCCATCTAAAGAATCTTCTATTAATTTAGTTCGATCTAAGGAGGGAAATTTGTGGTTAGCTGATCTCTTGACCTCCATCGATGACCCTAGTGCTCTGCTGCCTGACAGCAGTGTCAATGTAAGAAAACTGTTATCTGAGAGTGAAGGAATGCAGGAACAGAATCTCAAGGTTCTTATCGGTTCAGTTGGATCTAAGAGCAACAAGGTACCGTATGTCAAATCAATGCTCAGATTTCTATCTCAGCATTCAAACTTGTCAAAGTCGGTGCTCTGGACTCCAGCAACTACACGTGTTGCTGCACTTTACTCTGCAGCAGATGTATATGTCATAAATGCCCAGGTAAGGAGTCTTTGTAGTTAAATTTCATTTTACTGTTTCAGATTGCCATACATTTATGTTGAAAGCTTTCTGGTTCTACTTGTTCACGTTATTTGGATTTATTCATTGGGTTAACTCCACATAATTCAGGTTTTAGTAATTTAAAAAAATCTTGACGATTACACAAATAACTGCTGGTTAAGAGTATGTTTCTTGAGTCTTCCTTCTTATGTGATCAGGCTGATCAGCTATTTTCTTCCTTGCATTGTTCAAGTGAATTATACTAGAATAACAGAGTTGTTCTTATTTGGTTACTTTTGAGGTATAATTCATTTATCCAATGTTTTCTTTTCTTTCAGCATAAATTAAAAATAACGTTTGGAGTCTCTTTAGACGTCCTCCATATATCAAAGCATGAATGAATATTTTTCACAGTATCTGGTTTTTCAATATAATCTCTCAAACAAGTGATGGTAGTTATTTTCAACATTTACTGATGAAATGAATCTCACACCAAGAAACACCCTTGTGGTTATTCCATATGCTTAATTATTATTGCCACCATTCTATGTTTATTCATTTAAGCCGATGCATTAGGGGAAAAGTAAGCTTGGTCCGCGTGACGCATAAACAAACCCCACAAGCCCTCCACAAAAAAAAAGTGTTGTGTTTACATTATCGTATTTTTAATATGCACGATGTTGTTCAGAGCCAAATGAGACCAGGGGGAAGAATGTAGAGTTAAACTCGTGATTTTGAGAAAACTCTCTTGTAGAATTGCAATTCCATAAGCACCGCTCAACGCTATGGTTCTTGTAATAACATCTCTTTTCGCAATGATGATATCAGCCTCAATTCTCCAACTGTCCTTATTGACAGAAAACAACAGCGAGAAAATTACCGGCTCCTACTCAGACTGCTACCTCATGGACCTAACCAAATAAAAGGCCTACACACCAACACTCTATTTAGAACTACGGTCATAATTTATTCCTAACAGTGTAATGGGTTTAATATCACAAACAACAAACGAACTCAAAGTACAGCACTGATTTTCAACAGTCCCTCCGACTGTTAACATTGCAATGGTTAGTTACCTATTCGATTGCAACTCAAAGTGTGTTTGAACAAGTAGGAGGGAAAGGAAAGGGATGAATAACATAGGAGAAAATGGAAGAAAGGGAAAAATGATATTATTTCTTCTCTTATGTGGATAATAACAAATTAATAAAGCAAAGAATAATGGTAACATCTGTTACACTCACTTGGTTACTTGGTTGCGTGGGTCAGATGTCCTCAAACCCAAGACCTTGGGGACTGATAAATATAAGTATTTTTAATTATCTTCTTTTATTTTCTGGGATAAAATAGTGTATATAATATTCATGTGCACTTCACTCGATTTGGGGATGTAATGAAATAAATATAGTAATAGAATTTTTATGAATGAATATGCTTATTAGGTGCATGTCCAACCAAACTTGTTGGGACTCATATCTGCACCCACACCTAGATTTGTGTTTAACTTGGGTGCTTCGTGCATTTAAAAGAGTTCATTTAACATGTATAATAACCCTTCATGTTGTTTGGGAACAATATAGAAAAGAAAGAAAATTAATGTTTTATTATGCAAGTAGAATAGCTAAAATATAAACTCAATTTTTTAAGGATAGAAAATGCATTTTTGGGTACACTTTCCCTCAATATCCTCGTTTTGGGAAAAAAGAGCCTTTGAGGGGTTAATGATCCCTCTTTTCCCCACTTATCAAAAATATATATATATATATATATATATATATAGAGAGAGAGAGAGAGAGAGAATCCCTCTTTTCCCCATCTCTCTCTCTCTCTCTCTCTCTCTCCCTTCTAGCTCCCTCAATCCAAACAAGTGTTGGTTAATACATGCTAGCCAGACCCTCTTCGTGTGTAAAATTCCTGTGATGCCTTTAATACTACCCTTGAAGAGTGACTGTAATCCACATGAATGCTGTTTGTTCTGTATCTTCACTAGCATTATTAATTGTATTAATGCTAATTCTCAGAGTTTCAAGCTAATGGCTTGATTGAGAAGTGATTACAAAATAATTTTTCAAAAATAAGGACATTGATACCGGTTACCTGGTTCCACTTGCCAAGTAGGATTAGTTGCTCTTATCAACTTTGCACAATCAAACACTTGTCCAAAATGAGACTGGAGTAGGCTAATCATTTTTCTCAAATATGGGTTCAATTTGTGTATGCTCTTGGACACTTGACAGATATGGAATTATTCCATTTTCTTTTCACACAGAATTCGAATAGAAATTCATTCAACAGATGAATCATCCAGTAAATCGAAGTCATCACAAATGAGACTGATATGATGAAAATAATGATGAAGTCCCATAATGATTGTGTGAACACACACGATTAGTAGAGTCAATTTAAATTATATATATTTTATGCAGTTGTTGTAAATATTGTGTATAATACAATTGAATATTTCATTTCTGTTGAAGCATCCAAATGCAGCCAGGTTAAAGTTATGAATGGGGTTTGTATATATTATGTGTGTATCTCTGTGTATCTGTTGGGGGGAAAATTTTGAACAGAAAAGTACCAGTGTCAGAATGTATTGACATTCTCATTAAAATTTATATTAATTTCTTTATTCATGCTTACCCGTCCATACCAAGGTTTTTTTATATTTATGTAGAAACTTCCACTGATTAGTAGACAATGCACAGGGACTTGGAGAAACATTTGGGAGAGTGACAATTGAAGCAATGGCATTTGGTCTTCCGGTATAACAACCAACTTAATTCTTCATAGTTTTTTAAATCATTATTTCCATCCTGTTTAGATGATGCTGACAGTTGTTATTCTCTTACAATTAAATGCAGTCACACAGCATATGATCATATAAATATTGTTGTGCTAAAATAAACGTAATCTTCTGCTAAACCTCTTTTTGTGGCAAATTACTTGTGTTTATTTGACCAGGGAAAAAATGGAAGAAACAATAATAATAACCCTTGCATTTCCTTGTAACTAACTTGTAAGCATTGAAGTCCTTCCATTTCCTTAAACTTCCCTAGAGTATCAAATGAGAAAAAAGCATTCTACTTTTCATTCATCATGGGATAGTAATATTCAATTGCAGTAACTTGTCTCAGGATCCGCCTTACTTCCCTGAATATATAGCTTGCTTAAGTTGATATCCAGCTTATCTCTGGAGCCGTAAATCTATTTCTATTGATAAACTATTTAGTGCTACTTCAGGAACTCAATACTATAGAAGTTTCATGAGTAATCTCATTTGCTTATGTATCTAGTAATTGCTTTGAAGCACATGGACCGAATAACAAAAGGCTGTTCTGTTAGCTGTAGACAGATTCTTCAAAAGAACTAGATAGAAATTTCTACAGGAAGAAATAATTGCCCTTAGTGGTTCGATTGAAAGCAAAAAAAAAAAAAAAACAATACTATAGGAAAGATTGAAGGGGGAAAAACATGGATAAACAGGTGTACCTATATTAAGATATTTTATCTTCAATGTTAAAGTAAATTAGAATGACCTCTAGTTACCTGAGCAAATTACGTTAGTGAAGGTCCCACTAGATCAGGAAATCATCAACGATCATTCTGATCCCAAAGGTTGCTGGAATCATGAGGAAAGTCAACTTTTTTTTTTTTTTTTGATAAGTAAGACAATTGTATAGAAGCACTCAAAAGGGGAGCGAAGCCCAAAAGAACTACACTAGGCCAAAAAGGGCCTCTAAACTTTCGAAGAGTCCAAAAAATCAACAACTTCTCTAAAGTTGTATAATTTTGCCCGCTTGACTAGATATAAATTAATCCTTAGCTTCACCCACTTATCTTAACAAATGAGAAGTATTTTTATTCTTCTCCACAACCTGTTGGAAGAGAATAAAGTTCAATATCTCTTACCAAATTGCATTGGCTTCTGGAAAATGGAAGACAAAACATTGAGAATTTCATTGTTATGGAGTTTAAGAATTGAACTTTTTCATGATTGACAGCTGTCTTCCTTTTATGCTGAGCCAAGTACCCTCCTGCCAATGAAAGCATTGATAGGAATGAGTTGTGTTGTGGTTGGAGCTTATCTCTTTGTTTAGTTCCAATGTCACTTCATTCACATAGAGGTCTAACTGACATTTTTCTTACTGTATATAATTATTTGTTTTGCACATGTGGATACCGTTCTGTCTGCCAACTATATTGCTCCAGGGTTGTCTTGATTTAGAATCATGTTGGATGATGCATCTTATAGAGCGATGAGCAGGAAGCGTAGTTAGTATACACATTGCTGCAAACATAATTATATTATCAATACATAGCTGATTGCAGGGCAAAGCTATTACTTTTCTGCAATGGGGTCGTTCAACAAGTACCTGATGTATTAGTTTTAAATTTACACTATCTAAAAAAATTAACTTTCCTTGTCTATGTGATGCTTTCATAGCATCAAATTTTAAACTGATAAGTAGATATAATAAACATAGATAAATTAATGATTCTTTTTTTTCTTTCATGAAAATTAGTTCTCACTTCTCATATATTGCAATGTTTAAAAATATATATTGCGAGGTTTTTCACCATTAATTATTCACGAGTTCTGTCGTGTACCATCATCACACTGCTTGGGTCATTGGATAGAGATACATAGTAGATAACTGGATTAAAGAAGAGCTAGATCTTACTTAGAAAGGCAGATAAACTGCAAATGCACAGAAAAAAGGAGATTTTACTTGCCACGATAAAAATGTGTGTGTGTGTATTTACAATATTCTCGAGGGTTCAAATGTAGAGAACCCCCACCATTTTCTTGAATAGTTTAGCCGCTCTTTTTTTCTTCAAATTTCAGTAGGTTCAGTTGACCCCACTGGAACCCCATGTGATTCTACTGCCCTTAGCCGAAAGTCATAGGCTTCTTTGTGGCGGGGTGATATTTGTCTTAGCCCTTCAATCTCTATAAGCACTGTCTTTGGATTGTACATTTGTGATGCGACTTGTGAACTTAAGGTTGTGATCCAACAGTAAAGGGTGTCACAATATATTTATAAATGGTAGAAAATTAGGGAGATCCGACTCTTCACTTTAACTTGGATCGTATATGAACTTTACGGAAAAGTTTTCAGTGCATGAAGTTTCAAACCGTATTTTGCAAAGTTATCCGGCAATGATAATGTGTTGAGGAATGTACTTTGACCGGAAGCAATCCTGCATTGCTAAAAATGTGTCAAATGTTCTTTAGGGTGTATGAGTAACTGTGCTAGTTCTTCTTCATATTGCATGAAACCTAAAGAACAAGAAGCAAGTTTCAATTAAGCTTTCTGTTTCTATATTTGTGGTGCAGGTGCTCGGGACAGATGCTGGAGGCACAAAAGAGATTGTTGAGCACAATGTAACAGGTCTTGTTCATCCTCCGGGGAATCCGGGAATTCAGGTTCTTTCTGACAATCTCCGATTTTTGCTTAAAAACCCGTCGGCGAGGCAGGAAATGGGGATGAGAGGAAGGAAAAAGGTGCAGAAGAAGCATTTAAAGCAGCAGATGTACGAGAAACTTGCACAAGCTATGTACAACTGCATGAAAATCAAGTAAAATCTACTGCTGAACATCTTGCATTCTTTTCCTGGTCTGGGTTTTGTGTACTTGCCGCAGTGTTGATTCGGATCAATCCGCCAGATTAATTTATTGATCATTAAGTTATCTTTTTCATCAGATAATAAATGTGTTTGATTAATTTAAAGCTTGGAAATTTTTGTTGTTGATCGTTTTCATTTTGTTGGGCACTTCTCTCAGACTCTGTTCTAGAACTGCTTCCAATATTATTTTCCTGTTGACTTTTTTTTTTTTTTTTTTCCCTCCATTGAAAGGAGATCCACTAATCCAGTAGGCAGGGGAACTGTTGAAAATACGTGAAAGACTCGGCAAACTCTATGCACTGGGTTGAGAAAACTAGTTCTCCCAATTTATTGGTTATATGCCTATATTGACATTTAAAAAATAATAAATTACATAAAATTCATTGTTTGATTGAATGGAAAAAGTTGTCCATGTCAAATTTACCATTTCAAAGGTTCTTGTCACTGCAATGGAAGTTAAATGGGGGAAATGAAAATTAATTTCTGTAATGAGGAATAGGAACAAAGGTTCAGAAGGCTTGATTTCTGGTAAGAAAAATCAATCTCTCTTGTTCATTTCTGTTGAAGGACTCCGAGCACCCAGAGCTACTCATTTTCCAGGAAGGAGGCCAATAATCAGTGTAGTTAACCAGTAAATTAACAGTTAACCTCTTGCCATTAAAGGGTCTACGGGGATTTAGATGCACGTCGCCTTACTTTTACTTTCATATGGAGAAGCTGTTTCCAATTTGAACTTGTGACTTTCAGGTCAAAATGGAACAACTTATCGTTACGCGAAGTCCTACCCTCCCATTCAAGAGAATGTGTATAGACTTGATCTCTTTCTTGTGTTTATGTGTTAGCCCTAACTAAAAATGACACTACCCAAAGACTACAATCTCTAGTACTGACATTGCATGTTTGTTGTTATATTTTCAAATTTTGTTGAATGCCTGCAAGGAGGACGGATCTAGAAATTAATATTTGGGCGGCAAATTTATATAGAGAGATTTTTTTTCATAATTTTAATAGGGGCAATTTCAAAATTTTATGAATATAAATGTAAAAAAATATAAATTTAGGAATGTAAAATGCAATAACAAAAAAATCAATAGGGGCTGTCAAATTCTGGGCAACTTTACAATGTGCTACATCAACTATTAGTGTTGTCAAATTCTGGGTGACTTTACAATGTGCTACATCAACTATTACAAACTTATGTCTCATAGAATCGTTCTACCTTATGCAGCATATATATATATATATATATATATACGGAGCTTGTTATTAATGTGGTAGTACTTGGAAAGTTTGATGTGCTGTTTTTTTATTGTGAGGTTTTTGGACAATACATATACATACATACATACATATATATATACATGCAAACAGGTATATTCATTGCCATTGAATTGTGATATTGTTTTAGGAATTCTTCTAGAAGGTTGATTAATGTGGGAAATAGACAGTTTCGGAGTCTTGTTAAAACGATGGATTTTTGCGTTTGCCGGTTTTCACGAAGTGCAGGATGCTGCTAATAATGTAAATATAATGAAAAGGTGAGAGAGTTCAATGAATTTCAACTTTATTATTATTTTAAATTAATTAAAAAATAGTGTAGATTGACACAAATCAATAACGGTGACGGCAATGAGGTTCTTGGATAAGCATGTGGCGACAACTACACGGTCAAATTTATTTATTCCAGAAAAAGTGGCATGAAGCCTGCCAATTAGCTGTCATCAATGATTTCATTTCATTGCTTAAGTATACATCTATACTTTAGATTTTATTTTATAAAATATTATCTAGATTTGGTTTTGTGATAAATTTTTATTTTAATATTGTCAAAAGGGAAAGATTTAAAATGTTCATTCATACTCCCTCTCAATTTAACTATTACTTAGGAGGAATAGTAATTTTTAAAGAGACATGCATTATGTACCTGAAAAATTACTAACTTGTTCTTTTAAATTTTGAATATTTGAATTTTAAATTTTAAATTCAAAAGACATATATGAAAAGATGTGAAATATATTATTTGAAAAAAGAAAGTGAATTATTATTTTGAGGCGGAAGGAGTAATTTCTAACCGTGACATGTCCAAAGACTCCGTTATGATTTTTGTCCCAGGATTTATTTTTTCTTATTTTTTATTTTTTTTAGGATTAATGAAAAGTTGCAAGACTCGAACAGAATTTTCAAACATAAAGAGAAATCCAACTAATCAAGCAACACGACAGTTGCTCCCAAAATAAGAATTGACAAATAATAGTCCTCTGCCACATTGCCACTAGAGTATTGCACTTTTTTCACCTAACAAAAACATATATATACTCACACATTCACTTATATCTCTAAGGAGTTGAAACCCACTATTTATACTGAAAAGAATATATATACAGGTATACAAAAGAGCAGGGACTTGAACCAAAACAAAATTGGAAGCATCTTTTTAAATTTAATTTTTTTAAATGTTAGAGATATTATGGACATCTACATGTGCATGTAACATGATTATACATTTTGTAAAAAAATAAAAATAAAAAAAATATTTGTTTGATATGCCCCGCTAATTAGTGAATTAGTGACACTTGTCTATTGTTGCTTTCTCAGTCGGAATTTTCAATTTTTAACTTCTTTTTTTTTTTTTTTTTTATCATTATAAGAAAAAGAATAATGTAAGTAGTTCCAAAGAAGTTTACACGGTTTAATTCTTTACTCACGTAAATTTAAATTTAAGTTTACACGACTTAGTTTCGACTCTCAAATTTTGTATCCCAATTCTAAATAATTGAAGAAAATCCTAATATATTATTTCTCGAACATGTTAATCTTATCACACCAATTTGACACATGTCAAGTATGTACATCCACTTTGATTACTAAATCTCTATAAAACAACCCGACTGAACATGGCCGGTGAATTCCTCCGATATTTCTACTTTTGTCCACGTCTGATCCTTGAGGTCCATCACATAAGCTATGTGGGGCTCACCAAAATTTGCACAACCAATCGCTAACAACTTGCCTTGCCATGTGGACACATATGCTGCATTTGACACCTCAGCAGGCAGTCCAGCGATGACTTGCCAATTGCCATCTTTAATAGCCATTACGTTACCTTCACGGCACATGATGATCCTTCCATCACCACCATCCACGCAGGTCCTCGGACACGTGGCAGCATCAAAGAAGTCTTCCTGTACCTCGCCCCACTGCCACGTGGCGATATCAAACGCTTCGGCACTACTCTCGAATCGCCCTTGCATCTCGGTACAAAATCCGCCGATGACGTGGAACTTGCCATCGTGGAATAAGCCCTTGCACTCGTCCCGCTCCCTTGCCATGTCAGGCATTGGGACCCACTTGTCCTCTACCACGGCATACGCCATCGCAGATCTCAAAGCATTTTTGTCATCGTCATGACCACCCGCAACGAACACCGTCCGATCAGAATCGGACGCACAAGCAAAAAACAACCTTCTGCCACCTGGCATATCAGCTCCACGCCGCCACTTGGCCAAGACAAAATTGTAAATAAACACCGAATTTGAAGCCTCCCAAGTTACCGGGCTACACCCACCCATCACCACCAGTTCCGAACCGACCCCAACGAGCTGACAAAACACTGGCAACCCATCAGAGAGTCCCGGCACAGGTGGTAGCTCCCACCAAATGCTGGTCTCCGGGTCACATACTGTGAGGCGGTAAACGGGCGTAGCCGAGACCTTGAGCCCTCCTCGGTGATTCCGTGTCGGATCGACCCGAGCCTGCGCCATTACGGAGATGGATCTGCTCAGGCCAACTGCCTTCCGGAGCTGTCGGAACTCCGGCATTTCAATCTCAACCTTCCACCCTCTGCAGACTGACGCGGCAATAGGAAATTGGTTAAAAGGAACCCGAATCAGACAATCGAGCGCCACATCGTTTGGAAGACCCGGAATAAGATCCATGAGAAAGTACTTCACAAATACAGTAGCAAAGTAGAAGAAGAGAGAGAATAGAAGTGTGTAATATGTTCTATGTTACATACATCTTCAATTTAATGGGATTGTCTTCTTTTTATAAGGAGGAGTTGGCCTACTGTTTTGTTACATATATGGAAAGATGTATATATATATATATATATTTCCGTGTGTATAGTGTATACGTGCATATTTATTTATATTAGAAGGTTCCGTGATCTAGAAAGTTTGATAGTGAATTAAATGGCGACCATTGGATTGGACCGGCGTCTGCATAGTTTCTTAACGTTTCTTTATTCCCAACAATGGAATTTTCTGAGTGCTCACATTGTCAAAAAAATAAAATAGTTTTATTTTTTACTACAATAATGAGTAATATTTGGTATGTTGAATAGAAAGAAGACAAGTCTTATTTTGGATGGTCTATAATTGTCATTGTTGATAGGCCCGTCATAATCCATGTGCACCGGCTGATTTTATGGTACATACGAAATTAATAAGACTCGCGGTTTCCTAACAATGATAGACTTAAGGTCGACTAAAAAAATCATATGGACTTATTCAAGTTCAATCCTAATAATCTGGTCATGTACTCCAACATTTTCTGGTCCTTGTAATGATGAATTTGATTTCATTTTAATTGGCTGTCTCAAACGTATGGCTCAAGTGAAGGAAAATGTTTCCAAAATTATTTTATGTATATATATATTGTAAAAATATATTTGACAATAATAATCAATCACGTGTTATGCTCAAAATCTTACATAATTTTTACAAACCTATTTAATATAGGGTTGATTCGTTAATAGAATGAGAAAGAGATAGGAAAAAGGAAATATGATGACGTTACTGTGTAAAAGGATTGTATAAAATACACAATAATTTTATCCATTAATGAACTGACAAAGTATATTAACATAATATTAGAGATAATAAAAAAAAAAGAAATTCACACAAAATGATTTTTATTGTTGGAGATGCTCTATTACTATAATATTTAATAATATACATGTACAAACCTAATTTATATACACATATGCTATGTATGGGAGTATAGAATCGGCAAAATGTAAAATTAAAATTAGAAGGTGACTCGGTATTCCTAAACATGGCTACAGTATTTATCATTTCATCCATATTGTCGCTTTTGTAAAAAGAGAATATTAAAATAAATCATGTTGTTTTAATTGTTTTTAACCCAAAAGGTATCAAGCCAAAGTGGATATGGAGGATTCGAATTCCCAAAAAAAATAAAGTGTGTAAATGGTGTATGTATTTGCTGGGGATGAAAAAAAAAAGAACAAGAAAAAGAAAAAGTACCAAGCCATGCATTTTACTAAATTGGTGAGTTTATGCCATGCTAATGAACTAAAAACAACAATATTTCTTAATGCTAATGAACTAAAACAATGAAAGGATTTATTTCATTTTTGTTTGGTCAATTTCAAAAGTAGTGTGCAGGGGTTAACTTCTTTTCTATGTTTCCTTAAATGACTTCAACCTGGGTGGCACAGTTGAATGAAATTCAAGAAAGTGTTGCTTTCTTTTTTTCTTCCTTTCAATATTTTATGGACAAAAAGTTGTGTGAACATATCATATCATATTGGTTATATACGCTTACTTTTTATGTTAGCATAAGTATTGGAATCTGGGAAAAAAGAGACATTCAAGAATGGTGTAAGTAGATTGAATTATCAAATAATTAGACTCCTTTACACCCTGTCATGGATTTAATATCACCATCAATCACATGTTTTAATATTTAAATTATAGAATAAAGACAGAATTAGTAATTGGGCTCAATTAAATTAAAGAATAAAGACAGGATTAGTAATCAAATAATGAATATTCACATGGTTGATTGAATTTTAAATACAAAAGGAATTGGGCTCAATTAAATTAACATAAGAATTGGGCTCAATCATTCACATGTTTTTTTTTCTCCTCCTAAACTCTATTGAAAACCCTAGGAATTGAAAGCACAACGTAATTATGAACGCCTTTGTAGTTCAACCGTTGGATTACTCCCGCTGTCTTTGAAAGCTCGATTTTGAATCCTAAAAAAAATAGTAATAATAAATAAATAAATATATAAAAGCTACATGCAACCAAAAAACAAAAAAAGAATTGAAAGCATATTAACAATTTGATTGGGATTCAATCAAGCTATATTAAATCCAATTTGCAATTATTGTTATTCAATATAATAATTTAATGAATTATTTATTCAAAATTCCATATTAAATTTGTTGTCTATACGATGTTCAATAGGATAATGATACGTTTAGTGTTCGGGAAAGAAGAAAAGTGTGTTCAACAAAATATAAGAAAAAATGATCCTTTGACTCTTTGAGTCTTTCTTAAAGTAAGAAGTTTAGAGCAAGAAGACAAAATCAAAAGAGGGAAGAATAAAATGAGATAAAAATGAGGATGAAATTGAGATAATTAAAATTTTTAACAAAGATAAACGAGAATTACCATGTTATTTATGTTAAAAAATATATGCTTCAAATGACTATTAAGATATAATTAAATTTATACTAATATGTTATGACATAATTAATAATATGTTAAAAATAATTAATTAAATATGCAACTCAATATTTAGTTAAATATGCAAATTTTTGGTGTATGGCCAACCCACAATAGTAGCCGTGGCTTACTCCAAAAAAAATCCACACGGAATGCTTTAATGTTGAAGATGTTAAAGCTAGGTATATACATGGAAAATATAGGAAGAATTCCCCCCCCCCCCCCCCCCCCCCCCCCCCCCCCCTAGGTATATACATGGAAAATATAGGAAGAATTCCCCCCCCCCCTCCCCCTCGTATAGGAAGATTGAACTATCTATTGAGGTTATTTTGGTCGACAAAAAAATTTATGTTATTGGAATTGGTCTTGAACAAAACTGGACTTAGGTCAACCAGAGAAATTATATTAACTTATTCAAGTTCAATCTTAAGAATCTGGACGCAGGGCGGCCCTAAGATTGAAAAAATTTCGAGAAACCCTAGGCGAACTTTAAATGTGAGGCCCTCTATATATAAGTTTCAAACGCGTAAATTTTTTATTTTATAAAAGTGCGAAAAAAAAAAAAAAAAAAAAAATTGATAAGTATAAAAGTGCGAAATTTTTCATTAAAGTAAATGTGACCGTCTTACATTTTGAGCTGCAAAATTATCAATTAAAGTGTTCAAATCAAACTTTCTCCAATACATTTTTTTCAATAGACAAGATAACCAATTTATTCAATCTCTCTTGTGTCATCGTCGACCACAGGTAAGATTTAATTAACTTTAACTTTGAAAAGCTTCTATGAGCAGATGCAACTATAACCGAAATAATCAATAATACTCTATATGTAATCCAAGCATTTGGAAATAACCTAGTCTTTTATAAAATCTAATACTTCAATTGCCTTTTTTGTTTTATTTGGTAAAACTTCTCTTAAGACTTGTAGCTCTAAAGATAATGCAGTCCCATCAATATCAAAAACCATGTCATGTTTTAGAATATTTTCAAGGTTATAACATGAACACTTCAAACTATCATTATTTAAAGTTCATTCTCATTCATATATTCTTCATTTACCAAATCTTCAAGTTCATTCACATTTTCTTCATTTTGATTATCTTTCCTACCTTCATTCATTAAATCTCCATGTTCATTAAGATTTTCTTCGTTCCTATGTTCTTCATTTACTAAATCCTCAACTAAACGCTCAGCTTGTGCATTGTTCCTAAAAAATTTATGAATAGTGCCATTTTGAGATTGAATCAATTCCTCTTCTCTTTTTTTTTTTCATACCCAGATTTAAATTTTCTTGTACACATAATTGTCAAAAATCTTGCAATATTAGAAATCTAAATAACAGGAAACACAATCAACATAAAACTAAACTTTAAAAAAAATGCTTTGCTGAAAAAAAATATATAAATAACCTCAATCTCTATGGCTCAATATGTAATAATATAATTTACAGAAAAACAAAAATACCTCATGAAATATCTAAATGATATGTATTCAAGTGAAGGTTTGCTGGATTGGAACTCCTATATTACAACAAATTCATTTGTCAAACAATAATTCCATAAGAACAATTGAGATATGATAAGAACTTAGCAACTAAGAAATACACAAAAATATCCCCATGTGATCGCAGCCTACAGTAGCCATTTGATCATTATCTATTACTTTGCATTATAATGTCTTTAATAAAGAAAGATGAATATATAATTAATATAAATATATAAACACTAAGACACACATAAGGATACATAGTTGTTATCTTCTTTTCATTTTTCAAATTTTTTTCTCAGCAACCAAATGCCAGGGTATGTGAAATCCATTAGCCTTGTGATTTAGTTGCAATGTACAACCTTCAATTTATCTTTTATTTGTAATTTGTTTTGGTTGGGTAATATTGATTTCTTGTTTTATTCTGATTTTGTATACATATTTTTTTGATAAACTCATTTGTTACTCTTTTGTTTTATTCTACATATTAGGGTCTCAAAATGTTGGGAACTTTTCTTACAAGATCACTTCTGTATGTTTTTTTTTTTCTTTGAAAGTTAAACAAAACTTAGTACCCTTTTAATAATATTTTGAAGTGTTAATGATTAAGGTTGCTTATGCTAATTAATTAAAATGCGCAAATATATATATATATATATATATTAGATATCAGATATGAACTATTATATAGCACCACAAGAGGAAAGGCAACAGGGTATTTATGAACTAAAAATAATGACTTGTCAATCATGAATCATCCCACTCAATTGGGAAAATACTGAAAGGAAAATAAAAAAAGTTAAAAATACCAAGTGTGAAAAAAGTTACCTTGAACGAAATGAATAACAGGGACAGGGACGGATGGAGTTCAGAAGAAAAAAAATTTATTTCCCAACCAAAATGTAAAATCTTAAAACTAAGAGCAAGGCTTTACACAGTGATCGTCAAAAGTGATCCATACTCTGATCCTCTTCGATCACTATCAATACTGCTACGATTCCTTACTACTGACTGTTCACTGTTGTACTCTTGCTGCTCTTGCAGGGGAGAGAGAGAGAGAATTGTTCAATTGTTCAAGTGATAGGCTGCATTTGCCCTAATTTTATTTTTTTTTATTATTATTTTTTTTTTTAGGGCCCTTTTTGCTGCATTTGGCTAGACTTTTTTTTTTTTTTTTTTTGTTTTTTGGTGGCCCAACATTTATGGGCCTATAAATTTTGATTTACTGTATTTGGTTATAAAAAAATAAAAATAATAAATTGTGGCTCATCATACATGGGCCTATAAATTTAGAGGCCCCTTATATTCAGAGGCCCTAGGCGACCGCTTTGGTCGCCTTGGGCCAGGGCCGGCCCTGTCTGGACGTGTACTCCAACATTTTCTGGTCCTTTTAATGATCGAATTTGATTTCATTTTAATTGTTCTCAAACGTATGGCACAAGTGAATGAAAATGTTTCCAAAATTATTTTATATATATATATTTTTTGTGTAAAAATGTATTTGTGAATAACAACCAAAAAAAAAAAAATTTGTAATAATAATAACTAAATAAATAAAAATTGCAGGCAACCAAAAAACAAAAAATAATTGAAAGCATATTAACAATCTAATTGGTATTCAATCAAGCCATATTAAATCCAATTTGCAATTATTGTTATTCAATATAATAATTTAATGAATTATTTATTCAAAATTCCATATTAAATTTGCTGTCTATAAGATGTTCAATAGGATGATGACAACGTTTAGTGTTCGGAGAAAGAAGAAAAGTGCAATCAACAAAATATAAGAAAAAATGATCCTTCGACTCTTTGATGAGTCTTTGTTAAAGTAAAAAAGTTTAGAGGAAGAAGACAAAATCAAAAGAGGGAAGAAGAAAATGAGATAAAAATGAGGATGAAATTGACATAATTAAAAGTTTTAACAAAGATAAATGAGAAACTATCATGTTATTTATTAGGAGTGTACATTATTTGGTTTGGACCGATTTGAGAGTTTTATTGAATCAACTCATTTCTAAAGGTTTCAAAAAATCTTGAACCAAATCAAATCAAACAATTTGACAACCGAACCAAACCAAATCGTGAAACACTTTCGATTCCACGGTTCCTCTTTCTTTTTTCTTTTTTTCCTGATACATAAATATTCATATTTTAAAATCTAAATACATAACAATAAACCAAGTTAACCAACACATTTAGAGCACCTAATATATTCACTTCTTCAAATTTATTAATATATTCATTTATCTACTCACTTTTGAAACAAAAGTGAATTAGTGAACATATTAAGAACTGTTAATATCTTAATACATTTAGAACCACTAATTCAACAACAAATATCACAATTAAGAAAATCAACAACATTTAGCCACCGAAGAATTATATTATATTACATTAGATGTATAGTTATATATATATATAACTTCACGGTTAGGTTTGGTCTAATTCAGTTTTAAAGGACCTCAAATCATGATCAAATTGTATTTTTACGGTTTCACGAATTTGGAATTGACATCAAACCAAACTATTAGTAAACCGAACCAAATTGTCTGGTCCAGTTAGATCCAATTTGAATTTTCGATTTGGTTTGATTTTTGAACACCTCATTTATATTCAAAGTTATGAGTAGTTTACTCTTTTCCTCAAATGTACACCAATCCGATTATAGAAAATATATATACAGGGGATTATATACATTATATTAAGTGGCATCAGATTGACTACTCTTTTATATTCAGTTTGTTGATTTAAGGTATTATCAAATCCATTATATTAATGGATTATAGGATAATGTATTTTGATCTCTATTTAATTATCAAAATTATTGTGTCTATTGGTATCTCCTCTATTTTTCAACGCATATGATGAGAGTTTGAGTCTACAAACGGAATAATGTGAATGGTGTGCATGAATTTTATGCCAAGGACATATATATATATATATATTCCTATCCAATTTATTATCTTTTAAATTATTCTTTTAATTATGACAACTAACTCATGCATTCAATTTTATTTCTAATTAGATTTGAACTCTTAAGCCTTCCATTTAAAAGTTAAAGAATATGAGAATTAAATTCTAATCCATTGATAGTCTACTGTAAATTATCCTTATCATACTATATTCGGATGTACTTACTTTTCAGAAGTAACTAACTAAATTTAGATTATAATTCATAAAAATTGGGTAGTTAATTAATCTTGAAAATATTGTAGATGTGAAATAAAAAACATTTAATATTGTCAAGAATTGACCCAACGAAATAGGCAGGAATTAATAAGATCACGATCATGAAATTGATTTACGGAAGAAAGTTTGAGGAAAAACGAATTTTTTTTTTTCATGGTTTATAATTAGAAACTAAACGCATCCAACATTTGTGCTTTTAGATATGAATACCAAAACACAATTCATCCTTGAAGCAAAGGATGATACAAAATTACAAATATGGTCAAAAAAATAAAAAATTTACAAGTTATATTTGGAGGTATTGATAGGAATGTCAATTTTTATCGCCCCGCCTGGGCCCCGCCCCGTTCCGCCACGTTAATAACGGATATGGGAACACGTATTATACCGTTGGGGCGGACATGGATACAAATTTTGTACCCGTCGAGAGTCACGGGGCGGGTAAGGGTTCAATATACATATCCTAGGGGCCCCGCCCCGCATATAACTATATTTAATATATATATATATTAATAAATTATTTTAGCGGCTTACCTAACCCATCTCTTACAATTCTAATTTGGGATGTAAACTTGGTATTAAATTTGCTTTTGTTTTAGTTATGGTGGAAGTTGGAGCTTAGAACTTCTTGTGATTTGGTTGTATTAAACTTTTATTTTTGTTTATTATGTTCTTTGAATTATGTTATGTGGATGTTATTTTTTTTATTTTTGTTAGAATACATAATTTTATTTATGTTGTGTCATTCCTATGCTTTGCACATTTAAATAGCAAGAGTTTAAGTTCCAAAAAGTAGGAGAAAAAAATTTGTTAGTGGGGCGGGCACGGGGGCACAGTATTTCCTAACGGGGCGGGGTTGGATATCAAAATTCAACCCGTCGCGGGTCTCGGGGCGGCCATGGACTTGACAAAAATTAAAAGGGGCGGGGCGGGATTTAGGAAAACCCGCTCCAAACCCGCCCCGTTGCCATCCCTAGGTATTGAATTGAAACATATAAATAAGTAGAAGAAAAAAAATGTGTATAATTCAGTAAATCAATGTCTAACAAAAACTAACTCAACAGGAACAGCTCACATGTCATGTCTTATGTACCTCCACTTTAATTACTAAATTTCCAAAAAACAGCCAGACTGGACATGGCCGGTGAATTCCTCCGGTGCCTCCACTTTTGTCCACGTCGGATTCTTCAGGTCCATCACATAAGCTCTGTGGGGCTCACCAAAATTTGCACAACCAATCGCTAACAACTTGCCCTGCCACGTGGACACATACGTTGCATTTGACACCTCAGCAGGTAGTCCCGTGATGACTTGCCAAGTGGCACCTTTCATAGTCCGTACATTACCTTCACCACACATGTAGATCCTTCCATCACCGCCATCCACACAAGTCCTCGGGCACTTGGCGATATCAAGGAAATCCTCATGTACTTGGGCCCACTGCCCCGTGGCCACGTCAAATGCTTCAGCGCTTTTCTCGAATCGCCCTTGCATTTCTGTACAATATCCACCAATGACATGGAACTTGCCACCGTGGAACAACCCCTTGCACTCGTCCCGCTCCCTTGCCATGTCAGGCATTGGGACCCACTTGTCCTTCACCACGTCATATGCCATTGCGGATCTTAAAGCATTCTTATTCTCATCATGACCGCCCGCAACGAACACCGTCGTATCAGAATCAGAAGCACAGGCAAAAAATGACCTTTTGCCACCTGGCATATCAGCCCCACTGCGCCACTCGGCCGAGACAAAATTGTAAATAAACACCAAATTTGAGGCCTCCCAACTCACCCGGTCACACCCACCCATTACCACCAGATCCGACCCGATCCCGACAAGCTGGCAAAACATAGGCAACCCATCAGAAAATCCCTGCACAGGTGGCAGCTCCCGCCAATTACCAGTCTCCGGGTCACAGAGTGTGAGCCGGTAAACCGGCGTAGCCGAGACCATGAGCCCTCCTTGGTGATTCCGGTTGGGGTCAACCCAAGCCTGCGCCATCACAAAGATAGATCGGCTCCGGCCAACCGCCTTCCGGAGCCGCCGGAACTCCGGCAGTTCAATCTCAACCTTCCATCCTCCACAGACTGAAACAGCGGTTGGCAACTGATGGAAAGGAAGACGAGTCAGACACTCGATTGCGACATCGTTTGGAAGACCCGGAATGAGATCCATGAATACAGTAGCAAAGAGAGCTTGTGTTATAGTCTTACAGAAGAAGCAGCAAAGAAAGTACAACAAATTAGAAGAAGAGGGAGAATAGAAGTGGGTCGGATATTGAATGCAACGTCTTCCATTTAGATTGTCTTATTTATAGAAGGATATTGAAGGTTTGATACAATGATACGGAATTAATAATTTAAATTCCCACCATAGGATTAACGGCCTCTACTTACTTAATCTATTCCCCAAAAATGGAATTTTCTTAATGCCCACATTGTTGAAAAAAAAAAATTTTAATTTATTTTTACTGTAATAGTGAAAACGTGATAATTAAGGTAATGTTATTGTATGTTGAATAAAAAGACGTATATTCTTATGCGATCAAAGTTGTCAATTTAGAGAAAGACAAGTCTCGTTTTGGATTGTCACAAATGGTCATTGTTGATGGGCCCGTCATAATCCAATGGATGGTAAATTATTGTCTATGTGTACTGTTTGTGTTTGATTTTTATTTTATTAATAATAATAAAGTTTTAAAAACTTCTAAATCCGTAATTGTCAAAGGGTGTGAATCAGATATGAAACGGTATGATATCCAATGGGTATATAAAACCTCTTGCTTAATAGGTAATTTTTAATTAGTGTCTTTTGATTATAGATGTGAAGAAACCGGCATATAAATACATTGTACTTTTACATATTTAATCTTAGTTAATTATATTCTATTGTCTTCTCATTACTCATTTATTGTAGACATGTATGTATTAGTTTATTATATATGAGTTTTTGGGGGCAAAATTGTAATGGAAGACTTACTGATTATCCTCTCTCTATGAGTATGTATATGGAGAAGAGCAAATTGAGAAAGTTTAAATTTTGGGCAAATATCACAATTAAGATTTTTTATTTTTTATTTTATTTTATTTTATTTTATTTTTTATGTGTGTATAGGGATGGCAACGGGGCGGATATGGAGCGGGTTTGGCTAAACCCGTCCCCGCCCCGTCTATTTAGTGACAAATTCATACCCGCCCCGTGCCCCGAGACAGGTTTAAATATCAAGTCCATCCCCGCCCCGTTGGGAGATGACAATACCCGTGCCCGCCTCGCATGCCCCATTAACATTTTTTTTTCTTCCTTTTTTGACTACTGGAATAACATATATATCAATCCATTGGCATATGCGGTTACCCATGTTTTTCATAGTACTGAAAATTATGAAAAAGAAAAAACCAAACAAACAAATAAACAATTTACCTTTGGTGTATTCATCAAATTAGCAAGAGAAAAAAATTTCAACCAAACTCCCAGAAAAATCAGTATCAAAATATTATATTTAGAATCGGCAATTGAAAAAAAATAAGAACAAACCTAAATCGACTCAAAGAGCATTAACAAAGTTGTCACTAGAGTCTCTCCCTCTCTCATGAATTGTGAAATGGTAAATTGAGTCCAGACAACAATTGATCGACTAAAAAATAATGGATTTTCTTCTTACCAATCTCTCTCCTACTCTACTCCTTCGTCAGAAGACAAACCCACCACTATTCACCACCACAACCCTCCTTCTCCTCACCTTTCTCCATTAACAAAACCCAGATCTTCTCTCTAACTTGTGTTGCGCAGGTCACCCAAACATCAAGTACGCAGGAAAAACTTGAAGAGAATCAAGAGATCTTACCAGAGATTCAAATGAATCATCGATCTTAACTGCCTAAGTGGATCGAGAGTTTGGTTTTTGGGTAAGATGCGCCGACCCCTGTGTTGTGAACTTGCGGATGTGGAAGCACCGCTACTATGCATTAGGGTTATAACTTATATAGAGTAACTTATAATATGTATGTATATATATATATTTTTTAAAATTTAAAGAATTGTATATAACGGGGCGGGGCGGGGCGGATATGAATCAGAACCCGTCCCCGCCCTGTGACCCGCGGCAGGTACAAAAAATGTATCCATACCCGCCCCGACGGTATAAAATTTGTTTCCATATCCTGTTATTAACGGGGCGGGACGGGGTGGAGCCCCGACGGGGCGGTAAAAATTGCCATCCCTATGTGTGTATGCATTAAGTTTGAAAAAATGATTAAAAAGGGGTTTGGGGTCATTGTTTGGTTGCAAATTTAGTCATGACATTTTTAAGATATAAAATTTCAAAAATATTATTTTATTTTCCAATAATGCCCTTATATATAAAAAGTAACAAAAAAGATGGACACTTTAGTCATTTCACATTTAAATATTTTGTTATCCTTTTTTTATTCAGTTATAAAGGAATACTTTGATCTCTTCAGTATTCCGACTATTATTTGCTCAAAAATTGAATGTTATGGATTTTTTAAAACATTTAGGAGGTTATACACTCTATATGTATAGTGTATACCATAGGGATGTTTTTCGCTCGTGACTTTATAGAGAATATCGAAGTTGTATCTTTAAGTATTTTATAGTCCGATAAAACTTTTTTTGTTTGTTAAATTAGTCCGATGAAACTTGATCACAAAGAAACTGTAAAATTTTGGACAATGCATAGTCATCACAAGTTTCTTTAGGGCTGCACAAAAAATCGGTCGAACCGAATTGAACTAGCGGTCTAGTTCCGGTTCCGGCTCCACACCAGTTCGGTACCGGTTCTAGTTCCAAAATTTTGGAACCGTGGAGTTTCGGTTCAGTTTTGGTTTAAAACCATTTGGGACTGAACCGAACAGGTTATATATTGTACGTGTGTATAATATTTATTATTTATAAATTATACAATATAATGATAATATATATATTATAATTGTTTGAATCAAATATAAAGTGGTTTGGCGCATTTTGAATCTTCAACTCCTTCTAATATATTATTATTTCAATGTTTACATAAAATAAATAAGAATAAAATACTAATGATCATTATTTCATTAGTCCAAAATGTTTGGTTCTTGCAATAATAGTTTATAATAATGTTGATTACTTTATTAAAGTGAGTTAGACATACTTTAAAGTAACGAATGTGATATTCAGTAAGCATTTATGCATTAATTTAAATAACACATCAAAATTATTATTTTTTTGTTGAAAAAGTAAACAATCCATTTTTAAAATTTTTATAATGGGAACCGTAATTCGGTTCCATGTCCCAACGGTTTCGATTTTGATTCCAATTTTTTAAGAACTGTTGAGAACGGTTTGATTCCGATTCCATCAAGAATAGTACCAAATCAAACCTTGTGCACCCCTAAATTTCTTTACTCTTTTTTATTTTTAATACTTGTTATTTAATTGAATTTAACTGCCTCATTTAGTCATTTTGTCATAGACTAGTTTTCTTAAAATATGTTCTCACTATGAATAGAATTTAACTCTTTCATGATACAAAACTCTTTGAGAGACATACTTATTTAATTGAATTTAACTCTTTGATGATACAAAAACAAACTAGATTCCGGACTCGTGGTTTGCTAAGTTTGTGTCAACGCCCCCCCAATAAAGACTATTCAGATATATTGTAATTAATTTAGGTGATTATAATTTGGATTTATGAAAGTTTATCATCTTACTAAGTTGGCGGTAAAGCAAACTCATTTGAAGAAGAAAATGTCAAGATAGACAAACTTACTTGATTTGTCACTTAGAAAATAATTCTCAAGAACTGTAAAAATAAAAAACTGTTTTGACCCAACTATAAAAAAAAATAGTCTTTTTATAACTTAATTTTCATAATAAAAACACTGAATACTTTTGTACAATCTAATTTTCAATTCTCTAAAAAATTAAAAATTATTTTGAGTGACAAATTAAGTCACCCTTTTAAATTATTTTCAAAGAATATGGAAATACAATAAAATTTGAAAGTTGATTTGAACAAGATATGTCTTATGAACTTTTACAGTTTGAGGACGATCTTGACACCATGGGTGATGTAATATTGAGGATATACATGGAAGACAGGAAGATTGAACTATGAATCTATTGAGGGTGTTTTTTTGTCATTTTGACAAAGCTTTTATGCTCGTACGTGGAATTGGTCTAAATTAGAACAAAACTGGACCTAGGGTCAACCAATAAAATCGTATTAACTTATTCAACCCGAAGAACCTGGTCTATGTACTCAACATTTTCTGGTCCTTGGAATGGATTCTAATTGGCTGTCACTAACTTATGGCTCAAGTCAAGGAAAATGTTTCCCCAAAAACAAAACGTATTTTGCACTGCATGTGGTCCCCATTAATTAAGGTATTGAGATTGCGTACTTAAATATTGTTTAATAATTTAATTCAGTTCTTAATTCTGAACAAATTAAATATATTTTTTTTGATAAATTTGAAAATTAAGTATTAAAAATTTTAAGAACTAAATTTTAAGTACTGTAGTTTTTAAGTGGTAATTAAAAAATAAATATTTTTTGATATTTTAAAAATATTTCAGCTTCAACATTTACTGTCACTTAAAATTTTATCTCATTTTGAGTAGTGCTCGGAGTATTCAGTAATATTCAGAATGCATTATCAAACACACTTAATTAAAAAAACTCTTAATTCGTTCAGAATTAAGCTCTGAATTGAGTTATGAAACAACACCGCCGGCATCCCAATTGGATTGAATAGGATGCTAGTTTCTCTTTCCAAATATACAAAATGGATACATTAAAATCGGAATGAGAAGACATCAACTTTGTGCAACAAAATATAACTATATTGTCTATCATTTGTATCCATGTTATCATGGTTGGTAACTCAACTTCCTTACTTTTCAAAATAAAAAGTCGTTGGGTTAAGTTCCTATAAAGGCTAAAATATGTTTTTTTTGATAAATCTAAAAATTAAGAATTGAAAATTTTAAGTATTGAAGTTTTTAAGTGTTAATTAAAAAATTAATATTTTTTAATATTTTTTAAAAAATTCAACGTTCAACACTCGCTGTCACTTAAAATTTTTCCTCATTTTGAATGGTGCTTAGCGTATTAAGTGATATTCAAATTGTGTTATCAAACGCACTTAATTAAAAAGACGCTTAATTCATTCAAAATTAAGTTCTGAATTGAGGCATCCAAATTAGATTGAATGGGATGACAATTTCTCATTCCGAATTTGTAAGACTTAAATCATGTTTTATTAGATGTTTCAAACAAGTCATGCATTTTCCTATTTGAGTTTATGCCATGCTAATGATGAGTAATGAAATAACAAAATAATATTTCTTTCTTTTCGTTGATCAGTTTCTAAAGTGTTGCTTTCTTTTTCTTTCTTTCAATTATTTTATGGACAAAGTCACAAAACAACAAACAAAAAGTTGTTTGAACAATACATATTGGAATCTGGAAAAAAGAGACATTGAAGAATGGTGTTACTATTAATATTAGATAGAATGATCAAATAATTAGACTCCTTTCCACCCTGTCATTAATTTAATATCATCATCAATCACATGTTTGATTTAAATTAAAGCATAAAAACAGAATTAGTAAAAGTCTCAACTAAATTAAAGGAAGAATTGGGCTCAATCATTCGCATGATTTATTAAATTAAAGACATAAGGAATTGTGCTCAATTAAATTTAACAGAATAATTGGGCTCAATCATTCACATGCTTGTTAACCAATTGAATTTTTTTTTTAATCGAAGAATCAACTCACCTTCTAGTAACTTAGATTCTCTAATCAAACTCTGAATATGTTAATCACCCACTAATCGTACATTAGAAAGCCTAAAATTAAAAGTAAGCACATTAATAACTTTTTTTACTATGTTTACCTGCATGAAATTGAAAAATTATTTAATTTTATAAAAAATTGAACTAAAATTTTCTCCAATTCAATTCTCCAATTTTATGTGACCAAATATAATACTTCAAATTAATTAAGGTTAAATATATAACGCCAATCTCTAGGATGCCCAATTTGATTTAGAAAATTTTATAAAAAATTGAACTAAAATTTTCTCCAATTCAATTCTCCAATTTTATGTGACCAAATATAATACTTCAAATTAATTAAGGTTAAATATATAACGCGATTAAATATATAACGCCAATCTCTAGGATGCCCAATTTGATTTAGAAAATTTATGTCGTCCAGGTGGGCTGCTTATCAAGTCATTTGCGGCACAAATATGTCTCGTAAGGAAAGTGCGAGGAAGAAATAAGGAAGATTATGTATATGTGTGTGTATGTGTGTATTCAATGGCGAAAAAAAGGGCAAATAGAGATTTGAAAAGAGAGAGCAGACTGAAGACAAAAAAATGTTCAACAAAAGAAAAGAATAAAAAAATGAGCCTTTGACTCTTTGTTAAAGAGAAAAAAAACAAGAGCATGAAGACAAAATCGAAAAAGGAAGATGAAAATGAGATACAAATGAGGATGAAAATGGGATGCTGAAACGTTTTAACACTATAAATGAGAAACTAGCATGTTATTTGTATTCAAATTTCTAATTAGTCCACTCTCTTCCTATGTATATATATAATTAGTCATTCTTAATGGCTGTACATATATGTATCTACTGTCACAGTAAGAATTGACCCAATGAAACTGTAAAGCGTGATCCGTTTACTAATAGTAAAACTAATACTAGTAAATTATTAACATCACGTTCAAGAAATTGATTCATGGAATAAAGTTTGAGCAAATGAGTTAATAGCTTCCTCATTACAATAATATAAGTAAGACTGTAAGATGTTGAATATAATCTCATAAAAATCACCGAAAACGTATCACTATTAAATGAATAGTAAAAGTGACGCTTGGCATAGTAAAAAATGATGTGCGTTTTGTACTGAAAGTGGTTTAGTTTGATCACCATCTTTAAATGAATAGTGGATCTTGCACATAAATGTTAAAGAGCATTGGGAATGCTGTAATTGATGAGAGATTGTTAAGTTAATTTCCTTTTCAACCTTGTGTACTTTCAAATTCAGCTATTTTACAATCGTGCAAATGGTCAATAACGGTAAATATGGGGTGGGAAATGCAGTTTTGACCTGTGACGTCAGCGAATTAATCAATAATTCTCCTCTGGTTGCTGAGATATGTGATTAGGGTTGCAGAATCTGGATCGTACACCATGCTTGCTTCGTCTTATTCCAATGTCACAATAACATCATAACACACAGGACAGCACAAGGATAACCAACAACTTAAGAATTTAAATTCCCTTTATCTATTAAAAGTTAATAATTGGAATGTTATGTTCCTACTTTCATTTTTCATAAATTCTCTCCACTTTTGAAGTGTAATGACATTCATATCTCTAACTCATATACAAGCCAATCAAATATTAAGGATAATTTTGTTATTGAAGCTAATAATTATGTAAGATTTGTATGAAAAGGTCGACCAAATGATATTAAACCGAACTCACACTTCAAGGTCCGAAATGGGACCCACATAAAATACACTTCCAAAGTTATCCTAGTGAAACAACTAGCAAAACATGAATAAATTAGGGTGTGTTCGGTTACATGGAATTGAAGTCTTTGAATTAAAATTTGTAGAATTTTATAATAACTAAGAAAATTGAACCAAAAATTTCTCAAATTTCACAATTCCAATTCCATGCAGCCGAACACACCCTTACTATTTCAAATTTCAGCGCTCAATACAAAATGCACCCTAATATGCAAATCAGATCAATCATGTTGACCTTTGGCATCTAACAACAGCAAGCATCTAATCTGCCTAGAGCATCGCAGAGGTATATCAACTTTCCCTGCTAATCCATAAAGAACATACAGCCTCCAAAGACGTTTCAAACAAAAACAAAGATCGTAACTGAAATAACACAATTGTGTTCAATAAATCTTTGTAATATCAAAATTCACAAATGCTTCTGATATTACACCGTACGGCATTTGCATAATTCTCTTTAACAAGTATTCATGTAGCAACACTTTTCCAATTACTTGTTACAAGTACAACATCGGCTATTGGATTTGGAGCAAACAAGATAATCCACAAAGTATTTTCTTTTTGTTGAACCCAGAATTATCTCAACCATATTAAACATAAACAGAGATCTCAATGCAGAGCTGCTAGTTCAACAAGTTCTTTGTATTTATCAGGAACATAAGATTTCACCTTGATAGTAGGTTTCTCGTTGCCCTTTACTGGAGACGCGTACTTCACCCCAATTACTGATGTCAGGCCTGTAACAAGACACAATTACGGTCAAATTATCTGACCCCTCACATAAAGACATAATTTAGTGGCTTTTGAGTTTTGACTGGAGTGATAGAACTTTAAACAACGTATTTCAAAAATGAAAAATATTGGAATTTTCCGAGCATACACAGCTAGTGTAAAAATAATTTTCTGGAGGCTCAACATGCATATAGCAAATGATAATTTTAGGTCAAATCAAAGTTTGAGTCAGCGTGTTGTACATATAAAATGTCAAAGTTTTATGAAACTTCAATTATAAAATCAATGTGTATTGTAATGCATATTCTTAAAAGTAAACAAAAACAAACGAGAAAGTTAAGGAGTTCATTTTGAAAATACTTGAACCCTCAATTTTCCATATCGGGAGGTTAAGGAGATACCACATAAGTAATAAGTATAGGAGTATTTGATTATAAGCAATTTAATTTATTTATTGTTGTGGATGGACAATGTAAGTCTAGAAAAGCCCATTATTGGAAGTTGGAAGTTACACGAGACTAGAATTGTTAGTCATTGTTGAGGATTGGAGTTTAGTTGTAATGGGCTTACTTACAAATGTAATAGGGTTAGCGTCTGTTAGCTTCTAGCGGTAATATTATTAAGTGTGCAAGTTCTTGTGTTCACTGGGATGATAAGGGAGTCTTATTTCAAATTTCTTCCAGTTGTGTAGAATTTAGAGGCTGGTTCTCCTCCGAGCAAACCAGATTTAAAAGGATGGTTGCGCTCAAAGAAAATTTAATTTTTTATATTTTAATAGACAGGCACACAACAAAGAGTCATAAAAATTATAGTAGCTATTAGGAATCCTATTTCAATTTGCTGAATATTTCAGTGTACAAGTCACAGGCAAAAATTATTCAACACAAATGCAGTATGGAATATAGTGTTTTAAAAGAAACATTTAGTGACAAACTAGTACCAAACGAACAGGCTCTAACGGATGTTAATGGCCATACTTCCAGCACCAGCAGTGCAGAAACATAAAAAAATAAAAGATGTTGAAGCTAAGTTAAATCTACCACTCAAAAAAATATATACCAATGTACTCCCAAAGAGTTAGATGATCCGTAAAGTAGATAATTTGTGGCCAAGGCCCACTCAATTCTTTAAAGTGTTACATCATACTTCCTCAAGTAGGAAAAAAAAAATGCATCACAAACGGTACAAAGTTTTTATTCTTATTTTTTCCACTCATTTTCAGCTGGCTGAGCATGTTTAAAATCTCACTCAGGTAACAACAAACATACATTGGCAAATATGGGATTCCCCTAATGATATATAATATGTTACAACAACAGAAAACATATATTAGCAGATGACACTTAAAGTAGAACAACCAATAGAAAGATAATTTTGATAGAATCATATACATAAGTACTCACTCTCATGTATGCGGCCATATAAAAATCTTTCGCCTTTCCAATACTCCAAAGGTCTCATCTTGATTCTAGAGCTTCGCCTTACACCAGATTCCCAAAACGTACCAGCCGCTGCCAAGACAACATATATACAATTATTCTAACAAAATAACGAAGTATTCATATAATTCATGAAGTAAATTGATGAGTGAGACAACACCTGCAAGGCTTTGCCTACGAGAAAGAGGTTTTCTTTTGCGTATTTCCCGTGGAGGTTTTGTTGCTTTACTTCGCTTATTAAATGATATCCTTGAAGGGTCCTGAATCTCATGTTGCACAAGGAAAAATATAATTGATCTATTCAACAAAATTTATTCAAAACAAGTGCATAATTAAGAAAAAGGGACCCACCACCATAAAGTACATCATTTAATTCATAGATTCCTTGCATACTATTTTACATTCCAAAGACAAAACAGAAGAAAAGGTGAAAAAAAAAACTGGATAGCCATAGGCCCATAACATAACAAAAAACGAATCAAATATCTTATAACGCCACTCATTCCTCTCTCATGTCTAAATCCTTTCTGGCCATAGAAAGGGCGCACTGGTATTAGTTAATCATTGACACACAAAGAATCACTTGTGTCAAACCTCTAAGATCAATTACTTTAATATAGCTCGATGGGAGACCAAAAAAAAAAAAATCAGAATTGAGAATACCAAAGCATTATAGATGCTCTTGATTGTATAATTTTTTATTTTTTTTTTAAAGGACTAAAGGAAAAAGAAAAGACATGACATAAGAAAACAAATATGAAGAAATAAAGGAAGAGTATATGTACATGATAAGAAATACGGACACTTTATGAAAGTTGTTGTGTCTGTGTCAGACACACGACCCTTAACAGGTACTCCTGGACACATGTTGGACATGTCATGGACATATCCGTAATTTAAATTTACATTTCACTATTTCAAACATTTGTTGGACATATCTTGGACACTTGTGAACACATTCCAAACATTACTCAATACAAGTCATGTATAACACAATCACAACTAACATTAGCCACGCCCAACAATCTTGAAAATAACATTAATACATTTCAAAGTGGCCAACTTTTTTTCGTAAAGAAATATAACCTTATACACATAATCACCAAAGTCAATCATGCAATGACACATTTTCATACAGGACAAAAATATATAGTGATGACAGAGTAGGAGAATGGCAGCATATATAATATGATAGTCTTCACAGTATTCACATAGCTTCATCTTTTAAATTATGCAACTCCTAAGTGTTGTTTGATAACTCACTTTAGTACTTAATTCTGAATCAATCAATTGATTATCCATTAAGGATAAGGTGCTGTTTGATTAGACTGAAAAATAAGTACTAAAAATTTAAAGAACTGAACTTTAAGTGCTGAAGTTTAAGCAGTAATTGTCAATTTAGATTTTTTTTTTTAGATGATCAGCATTCAGTGATAACTCGTCACTTAAAATTTACCTCATTTTAAGGGGCACTATTTTATTATTATTATTTTTTTTTTTTAAGTGATATTCAGAATACACTTCTTAGATAAGCACTTACACCATTCAGAATTAAATGCTGGATTGGGTTATGACACACCATCTAATTTCTACAATTTTAAGCGAGGGAGACCCTACTTATCACTGAAAAATGAGCACCGAAAATTGAAACAGGATTCGACATGTTGGTGCATCCGTGACGTATTGTAATAGTATTTTGTATTCGTATCTGTCTGTGATACTTAGTACGCATGCATATACATGTGCAAAGTGCAAGAGATCTCTTATTATGTCACCAAAACTAATTCCCCCTTTTACAGCCCTATATTAGCCTTCACATAGCTTAAACCATTTTACTTTCCGGAGGGGGAGAGAGAGAGAGAGAGAGAGAGAGAGACTTTAATAAATTTTATGATGGAAAATTTTTAGCCCCCCATAAACCTTTTTTTATTTATTTGATAATAAGCCCCTCACCAACTTGTTTTGAGCCTTTATATATGCACATGTTTAACCCTAAGCAAGCAACAAGACACCTAACTTAATGCCCATCAAAAATAAACTTCAAAACTAGAAATAAATCATATGAAATAACTTCTAGAATTAGAGTCTTTCTCAAAAAGTAATAACATAATCCTACAAAAACTGAACAGAAATGTAAATTTATCCTAATTGTAGGACCTAGCGGTCTGCACAAGTATCGCAAATTGGAAATTCTGTTAGGCAATAGCTGTTCTTTTATGTAACATGAGCTATTTAAAACCTTGGGTTTATACGACCCTATACAAGGTCTTACACATACAATAAAAAACGAAATTAAAGCAACGAAATGTAAAACACACAAACAAAGAAACAACAAATATTTGCTAATTCCCATATCAATGTAAGCTCAGTGTCACTAAATGCACCCAGAAAGCAAGATTTAATACAACATTCTTAGTTAAACATGACAAGCACAACACCAGAACACAAAATTATTAAAATGACCAGGAAAGGAGACCTCATTATGTTGTTCTGGTGCAATATCTGGAGCTCTGGAGGGGTCATTCGTAGCATGGTGTTCAACTGCAGCAGGACTTGATTGATCTGAAGAAAATACATACAAACTATAGGTTGAAATCTTTCAAACGTATAGATTACAAGATAAAAGCAACTTACATGATGTGATAAGAAAGTATCTGCCAAGGCAAAGAAATTAAAAATTATACCTGCATGATAATCACAAGAATTATGGAAGCTCATTATCTATGGTGAATTCAGAAACTTGTTTTGGACTTCGATAGCTTTTTTGCTAATTTCTGGGACAACCTATAATCTGATTGCATTTCCCTCAGAAGGCGCAATTAGATAAAAGAATGTCACGGAACTTGGAACAAAAACCAAGAATAACATGATTCTCAATAGGTATGGGGATGTTAGTCCTGGCTCACTACAGCAACATATCAAATGTCATCACATGCAAGGAAAAATACGGATGGTCTTAGACTCAAATTTTGGGGTTATACCCTTGTGTTAAACTTCAGTAGAAAGAGAAGAACAACTGATTTGTGTATTTCGAGGGTTTCATTAATTCCATAGGAATTCTAGAAATTGATCACGCAGCTGAGGCATGTCCCTACAGCATGCAACCATACCAAACAAGAGTGACACTTGATTACTCCCCCAAAAAGTGGAAGCAACTCCGAAGTGATTCACAAAACTTCTGAAGATCTCCAGAAGTTTGAAATAGCGCAATTCTAAAGTTGTTTCGCACATACGAGCGAATGTTTGCAGAGTTAGCTAACAAAAGAAGGGAACTTATAAAGAATATTGGGTCACAATTAAAATGGCAGAAACCACAAAACTAACTAGTCTTTGCCTTGTTGGCAAAGTGGAAATGTGGTTTTCTTCATGGATAAATATTTGGGTGGTGTGTGGGGGGTAGGGAGGTAGCGGACTTGGCATTGTATTGTCACATAGATTGGGCATAACTTGATTATGGAAAAATCTCTTGATATGGGGTAAAATGACTTCACAACCAGTGGACCGGATGCCCCAAAGTGGGGAAAGTGGTGCGTGCAAAATCGCATGGAATGGTCTAATTGCATTACTTGGGCTAGGCATCTGAAAATTCATGTCAACAAGAGGGCACAATAGTGGTACTGCAGTGGGTCCACATGGAATCAATTGTGTAGATATGATCTGAGCAAATGGCCAAAAGCACAGAAAATTGGGCAGAATATGACTGGACAGGGGCAGTGTCCCAACTATTAATACACTTATTGGAATTGGAAAATTAAAACTAACTCGTATAGTGACATAAGTAATTGACATTTTCCATTATTGGCAAATCAAGAAAATCTCATGGTTCTCCTTCCATTCAGTGCCAGTAATAAGCCATTTAGGCCAACGAGGGTACAAAGGGTGATTAACTAAAAAAAAAACTGATGCGAGTAATGAAAATTGAAATGTAACAATGTAACCCAATGCCCAAAAGGCATTCAAGGTAAAGCTTTTCATGGTATCAATCACTGTTTCACTTGACCTTCTAAACATAATTCGCCAATTTTACATTTGTATTGATGGCGCACTTCAATATCAATTTGACATTGTCTTAAGAAGATACTCAGATTTATTTCTGTAGGGAAATGAACAATTCGTAATTATTAAATTGTATAAATGAACGAACTACTGATGCAAGTACCAAGAAAAAAGGAACACAATAGTTGAGGCTACACTACAGAAAATTAACTTCAAGGACTCCATATCCCAAATCACCTCATAACCTATGCATCTTACATCAGGCAATGTTGAAAGTAACAATCTAGCAATATGTCTTGTAAAGTCAAATCAGGAAACGATTATCATACCCAACTGACTCTGACTGCTTTTCAAGTTTTCAATAGTTGGGTCCTCAGTGTTAATATCTGGTACAGCAGGCGACAATGCTTCCTGCCGCATATCTCCAGCCTGCACCTTGTCACAACTCACAAGACATCACAATCTAGCATTCACTATCAAGACTTATACAATCCTCTACAATTATTGTATATTCACATGTGCAAAGAAACTTACATTCTCCTCCATTTCAATGGGTACATATGTTTGGGAATCGGCGTCAGCATGCCCAATAGAGTCCTTGATGTTAATAAGTGGTTGCGCAGATGACACAGCCTTGTCCAACATATCTTCAACCTGCATCTTCTAATAAAACATTATAATCTAGCAATCAGTATTTCAAGACTTCCATAATCCTATAAAATTTATGTACATCAAAATGTATAGAGAAGTTTACATGATCCTCCATTTCATTGGGCCCAGTTCTCTGAATATCCATTTCATTAGGCCTACTGACATCATCATCCAACTGCCTCTCATCAATATTACTGCTCTCGTTGTTATGTTCCAAGTCACCATGAGATCCACTTGACCTAACATCAATTCCAACACTACGTCCGCTCGATTTGTCCTTTGTAAATGTTTCAAAGTGATGAAAAGAATCCCTTCTTATCGACGCTGGTGTACCGGTATTAGCAACTATATTGTTATCCTTTTCAATAAATATTGACTTCAACTTCTCAGAAACTCTCATCTCCTTGCTCAAATCAACCTGATCTGATTGTTTGGCAGTGCATTCAACAGAAGAAGGATTTTTGGATGGTGATAGATCAACAATAACAGCTGAAAATGGATCACTTGACATATTTGACTGCAAAATTCGCTTTTTCAATATTGATATTGCAGCAAATGGACTTTTGGGTGGGGTGGCTGAATCTAGAAGATTAATGGGGCTTTCTGCCACCTGTTTATGCTTTACAGGAGTTTTGCCACTTCTACCTTTCACCATATTTTGAATGTCCGATAATGTGTTCCGAGGCCCTAGCAATTTTTCTTTCGACACCATAAAATCATTCCTTGTAATATCATGCAAGTCAGGAAGGCATAATTTGTCCAGATCAATAGGTTTGATCTGCAAGCTCTCCTGCAGAAAAGATAATGTCCCATCCCCATCTAAATTTTCACAATTACTGGATAGTAATTCATCAAAAAGTTCATTGACTCTGTTCTTGGTCTTATCAATTGATCCTGTTCAATACATAATGGTTATCAGGTAAATAACAATAACATTAATTTGAAATCGAGAAAAATTCACCATTTCTCTTTGATAGCGTTCACTCACCAGCTAATTCCTTTTCCTGCAATTCAAAATTTGGATCAGTTGTTTCTGGTGGCAAACCATACCTAGGACTGAGAATATCGAGTTCCAATGTCTCTTGAGAGGACATAAAAGTGTTATTGTTTTCAGAAAGTGCTGATGCATACTGATGATGCTTGTAACTAGCTGACTTCCTGAAATAGAAAAATGATTCGGGTTTTATATACCAAAAGTAGAATATAAAAAATTATAAACCCACACCATGAAACGGATATTATTAGAAGATAGCTGATGAGAAGTCCTGATGATACCCCAGAAGTCCCGGTCGACGGCGTCTTGCAGTTTTGGATGGATTGTACTCATTTACATGTGTAACGACTCCAACCTTCTGTCGCTGTAATTCTTTTTTGGCATCTGTAAACCAATTACAGTACAGTGGAAATGATAGCACAACAATATTCGTCAAACTAACTCAGAAAGAAGAATGATAAGAAGTACAGGCAGTGAGATCTTACTTTCAAGCCTTTCATGTGCCAAGAAATATTCCTCTGGGTCTTGCAGTTGAGCAATGTCCAAACTAGGTTCCAGACTAACAGAAGGCTGACTGTTGAACGAAAACATTACTTAGTCAGATTTATAGATGTTTCTAAAGAACGTAACTTGCTGAGAAATGTAAGCATCAGAAGCTATAAGCTTTACTTTAAATTAGGCTTCAAGGAAAAGCGAGCTCGCTTACGGCCCAAAGCTGGTCTTCTTTCTTGGGGATTTTCCTTACCCTTTGCGGCAATAGCTTCATCTTTGCTCTCAAATGCTGCAAAGTGGGCAGAGCTGGAGTTCAGAAGTTCTGAACCACCATCAATGATGACCTTTGCCTGCTCTAAAAGCTTACTGGGGCTTCTTAAAGCCTGAGGACAGCCACAAAATAAATTAAAAAATAAAAAATTAACTTTATTGTATAGTTGAAGTGTATGTAACACAATGGTGTCCAAAATATGTTCTTCGAGAATCAACTCATTGAAAACTCAATTTTCACTAACTAGGCAATGGTTTTTTTTATTAATTTCTCTTTTTTTCTGTTGAGAATCACATGATGAGAAAATAAAATGAGGTTTTAAATGTTAAATTTTCAATAGACTGGTTCTATTAAAAAATTAAAACCCGCATCAACTGGGGCTTCTTAAAGCCTGACAACAGCCACAAAATAAATTAAAAAATAAAAAATTAACTTTATTGCATCAACTGAGCCCAAATTCCCAATACACTCATTGCCTTAGTAGGGTTATGGTTCACATTTTCAGGAAATCATGGTCAAATACAAACATACAATTCAAACTCTCTTTTTTCCATATGCTGTCTTGGAGGTTAAACAGATTGCAAAAAGAGCAATTGTCGTCATCATTAAGAGTATTCTGCCAAAACAATTTCTAAAAACGCAAGATAGTTCCATGAATATACTGAAGCAATAGGCTTAAATTATTGGATTTTCACTCATGCACCCAAAAAGGCTGTGAATACCACGAAATACAATCGTAAACTTTAATTAAAGATGTACGTGGCAAGCGGTTCCAACTTCCAACAAAAAAATATCTATTTCCTCAAAATCAACTCAATTCAAATTATATTTTACTCAATATCTCATTTTACAGTAACATTCGGACTAATTGCTTTGATAAAGCACGAAAACAAAAGGAAATTGCCGAGTTGAGCCATAAACTGTCGCAAAAATGGGTCTGTAGAAAATAGCATATTCACTCAACAAATTCAACAAAAATATTTGGCTCGGTGGCTTGAAGTTTCCCAATTTTCAGAAACCATGACAACAATAAACATAGTGCTTGAAAATTCTTCTTCTTTCTTTCTTTTTTCTTTTTTTTTTTTACTATCTATCTGTTTTCTCAGTCGACGAACAACGTGTATAAGAAATTGACAAGGGTAACTTTTATAATCAATAAGTGTACTCTTCCAGCACAAATTTAGTACGCAATAGATATGATTAATAAACTAGTGCAGATCAATTAGCTCAAGTACTAAACCCTCTTGTGGAACCACACACACCCGTATGCTCAAATGTATGTTTGGGTATATGGAATTACAGTAACCATAACTTCAGTAACTTTTACACATGATTGTAGCTTAAAATCTAATGAAATTAACTGAAACTCAAATCAATAGTTAAACAAAGTATGAAAGTTGAACTATATTGTTGTGAACGCGTGACCTTACCATTCTTTTTCTATAGAGCTAGGACTAGTGAGAATAGGACAAAAATCGATGTTAAATGAGTGAAATTACCATTGATTTCATGTAATTGTGGATAGATTCAATGTCGTCGGGATCATTGGGCGTTGGGACATTCGTCGAAACCCTAAATGTTCGAGGGAACAAAGTGAGACCAGAGTGGTTGTCAAGCGGATCAACCAGATCGGAGCTTTTAGGTTCGTTCACCATCGTTCATGACGAGTTCAGAATGAAACCAGAGAGAGAAAGAGGGAGGTGGGGGCGAGAGAGAGAGTTTCTCTCTACTTTCGAAAATGTAACTGAGCGGGAGTGACTATCAGGTATGAAGATCGTATACTTATCAATTAAGTGGGAAGAAACATGATTTAATATTTGGACAAACTGCAAAAGAACCCCTAAACTAGTAATATTACTAAAATCACTCAAGTCACATAAATATAATGGAATGTGAGTTGGAATTGAAATGGAATTGAATGACATTGGTGTCATTCTATTGTTTAGTTGTAAATATAAAATGTGTATGAATTGAATGACAATAACTATTTTATTGTTTAGTTGAACCAATTTAAATTTAGAATGAAATAAATTTCAAATTGTGTTTTCCAAAATATCCCTCTTAAGAACAAATAAATTAAAATAATAAAATGACATTCTTTTATAATTTTTTTAAAATAATAGTAGCAGTGGTGGATGGTCCTGACGATGGAAAGCAGTAGTGGTGTAGGTGGTGATGGTGGTAATGATGGAAAGCGGCAACGACGGTGTTATTGGAAGGTAACAGTGGTGCTGATGGAAGGCGGTGGCAATAGTGTGGTAATGGTGGAAAACGATGGTGGTGGTGGTGGAAGGTAGCGGTAGTAGTGGTGAAAAGTGATGGCGGTGGTGGTCTGGTGGTGAGAAGCGGTGGCGGTGGTGCTTATGGTGGCGACGGTGATGGAAGACGGTGCCGCTGGTGGCGGAAGGCAGTGGCGGTGGTGGTGAAAGGCAGTAGTAGTGATGGTGGTAAAATAAGGTGGCAACGGTGGTGGTGATGGTGGAAGGCAATAGTAGTGTTGAAATGCGGCGGCGGCGGTGGTGGAGAAGGCAGTGGTAACGGTGGTGAAAGGCAGTGGTAGCAGTAGTGTTTATGGTAAAAGGCAGTGGCAGTGGTGGAAGATGGGTGATGAAAGGCGATAGCAATGGCGATAGTGGTGGAAGGTGGTGGTTATTGTGAAAAGCGATGGCGGTGGCGGTGGCGGTGTTTGAGGCAAAGGAAGGTGGTGTTTACGACAAATGAAGTGGTAGTGGTGGTGGTGGAAAGTAATAGGCGATGGTGAAAGCCGATGGTGGTAGTGGTGGTGGAAGGCGGCGATAGTGGCGAAAGTCTGTGGCCGCAGTGGTGAAAGCCGGAGGTGGTTGTGGTATAGGTAGTAGTGGTTTTTGAACTTAGAACATGGGGGCTTTTTGGTAAGTTGAATTTTTAAAATTTTTTATTTGGGAATGGAATGGCTATTCCATAGGTTTAGTTGTGGAATGGATTTTCATTCAAATGAAATGGGCATTCCCACTTTAAATTGCATACCAAACAAATTAATGGTTGGAATGGGCATTCCATTTCTGCACACCAAACATAATATAAGAGCGTAAAAGGGACAAAAATTAAGTTACATAGAATATGAATCCGAGTAAGATAGCGTGCAGGCGCAGCAAAACGCGAGAGCAATACCAATTTATAAAAATTGTGTGACTTATATTATAATTATTAATTGCAAATTGCAATTCTATAAATTCTCTAAAATTATCAAAGTACCCTCATGAATGAATATTTATAATCCTAATTCTTTTACCTACCTCCGTTCTATTATAATTAATTTAATTCAAGTGCTTGATAAAAATATTATCACATGGGTTAAAGTTGATTAAGGGCAAAATTGTCATACTATTAAGTTTATTAAGGGCAAAATTGTCATACTTTACAACATGGTTTGTCATTCATTTAACGAATATACGATTGGAAGGGGCAATTGCAACAATAAATGTACCTTGGGTGCAGTTGGCCCTATAATCTACGCGCTTTTAACCCTTACGCTAAAGATGATTAAACTGCATTGATGAACCGTCGTCATTGCAACGAATACATGGGCTAGAATCCTCATGTGTGCCTTATAATATGAACCAAATTGTACATTTTAGTTTGGCCCGATTTATCATTTCTAACAATTTTTTGCGCAACATTATATTTGACACTTAAAATGTGCTATGAACCATGGCGAGTTTTTATTAGTTGTGTAACTAAGGTAAAGTTTGAGGAGATTGAGAAGACTCTACTAAGCTTTAGTTTAACAGACTCTTCACAGTTGAATTTTTTTTAATCTTTATTTTAATATTGTTATTATTTTTAAAATAAAAATTTGGGTTATGTTTGGTCATGGTCAAATAGGCTCAATTTGGACTTGATGAGTAGGTTAAGCTCGTTTTAGGCTTAAATTAACATATATTATTACTCAGTAGTCACTACGCCCCATATTAGATGTTCATATTTAGAAATTAGCGTTTTTAAAATGACATGTAATTAATGCATTGTACTCTTTTAAAATTACTAACTTGTCATTTTTAGTTTAGATATGTATAGTTACCAAGATTGACATTTTTAAAAAAATATAAAAGATAATGATGAAAAGACAAGGTTTATTCGCTTTGACTTTTGAAAGTGAATAATTAATTTGGGATATGGAGGCCAATTCCGAGAGATTTCAGGCAAGTGATCGAATCGGCTCTGCTAATGATTCTTCTGGGAATGCTGTTGAATCCTCTTGAGAGATGGAGTGAATGCCATGGCCAACCTATTTCTTTTGACAGGCACAAGTGTCCAAATTTGATTCAAGCACCCGAGTTCCGTGGGAATGAATTGCGTAACGTATCTTAGATTAAGATCGTTTTAGGAGTAGTAGTAATAATATATGTGTAGTGTTGGGCTTGATTTAAATCAGTTGCTTTTAAGATTCCCGAGAATGTGGAAAAATACATGCTCAATTTCATCCAAATATCAAAATTAGGGTCGATTTTTTATTTATTTAATTTTATAAAGCTGGCACAATTTACCCTACTCCGTATTCACTTTTGGGTTGGCCCAAACTCGTGTTTGTTTACTTAGACCATGGAAGAGGACCATATTTGCCAACAAAATGAAAAACCAGGGTCCCGTCAAGAAAGAACTTAAAATTGGGGTATATAGTAAATTGCATCAAAATTGGAGCATCGCAAAACCCTCTTTCTGTTTGCTCGGACTCAAAAAAGACCCATGCTCGCGGAAAGCTATCTGAGGTACTTGAATAAAAACTCTCTCTCTCTATCTATCTATACATATCTACACACACATGCATGTGTGTCTGTGTATATTAATCATCCCGATCGTATTTGCTGGGTGACGAGTTCGTTTACACATCCGATTACAAATATAACTGAGGTGTAATTTTACATATGTTTTCCGTTAATATTGGTCATTTGTTGCTCACTAAACCCTAAGTACTGCACATTGAGTGTTTGGGTTACATATTTATATGCCTTTCAGTTTTTTTCTGCAATTGAGTGGTAGCAATCATATCAATTATATGCCTTCCATTTAAAGTAGACACACATGTTTTCTACAAATGTATATTGTGCTTTAAAATTTAATACGTAGCATTATAAGCTATACATTACTTTGTAACTGTAATTGCGTTAGTAGATCCTATCCTGATATCATTTGAATTCTTCTTTTTAGATGTTTTAAAGCATCAGTATAAATTTATTATATGTCTTTGCGCACTTGGGTGGTTCTGTGAATAATTTAAGGATTGTTGAGAGGTATTAGGGATCATAAGACTGATTGGCTACATTTATCATCCCTTTGGGCTGTGAGAAATGTCAAGTTTTCTCCGCACCATTTTCACAACTCATGGGGAAGTCCACGAGATTTCGAGTTAATTAAACAAGACCCATTGGCACGAACATGGATTCCGTGCAGAAGAACATGGCCGATAAGATAGATTTTAGGAAAGTAGGACATGAATGTGCATAAACTCAAAAACATTTAAATTTATAGTTTTATATGTATTTGGAACTTATATGGGACAAACGTTTAAAGTCATCCAATGCTGGACTTGTCTTCACTGTTCCATTTGATACAAGATCTGTTTTCCTAAATATTTGACAGGCATGAGCTGTTCCTGATACATATCTAGGAGCATCCAAGGAATTTTGTATTCCATGTCGACATGGCTCCTCTCAATAATTACCCACACTTTATCACCTGAAAAAGAAAAATGTCACTGCAGTTTACGTTTTTATCTACTAAGAAATAGGTTTCCGCAAAAATGTAAAATAAAAATGATGGAATTAAATAGAAATGAAGTATTTTTTGCCATTATAGAGATGCTACTCCAACATAATTTACCATATTTGATTTTGTTTATGAGAATAAATAAATAAATAACAGAAACTAGATTTTGAATATTAGTTCATGTTTTGAGGATGGGAGGGAACAGAAAGCTCAACTCATCTGAATTTAATATAACAGTCTGGCTTAGCTGGAGAATCTCTTATTTGCTCAGAAGCAGCACAGGTTGGAACATGATGTTCAACATTTTCTTAATATTTATCCGATCTTCAAAGAGACCAATGGAGGGTAAAGCAGAAGAGATTGCTGAATTTATAAAAGTAGTTGAGTCAGATTTTATCTATCAGATGCTATATGTCTGTTGGTACATGAGGTAGAGAGAGGGAGACGGTTTGAGATGGGATTATAAAAGTTTATGTCCCCGAACGAACTGAATACAAGGGCACTACTATCTGCATCGTAGGTGGGTGGAATATGTCTTTTCCTCCTTCCAAAGATCCTAAGAATGTGAAAAAAGCTGAAAATTGATTCCATAAAGAAAACCTCAACTCATTTGAACCTAATATATTGATTTGTCTTAGTTGGAGTGAATTTCATTTTCTGAGAACTAACCACCGGAAGATAAGGAGAAGAAAATGAGGAATTTACCAAAGCAGTTGGGTCAGATATTAAGTATTTACGTGCCATATATGCCACCCATGTTAGTGAGAGAGGGCGAGTTGGTTTGAGACAGGACTATATTGGTACGTGTCACCATATTGAACTGAATGCATGTGCATTACTGTATATATTCCTAGTAGGTGGAATATATTTTGTTAATCCTTTCAAAGTTCCAAAGGTTACGAAAGACGTTGATAATTGATTTCCAGCCACATTATTGGTCCATGGTGTTTATTTCATTCTCATTATATTTTACCACAGGTGTTTTGATTACCGTGAATGCATCCTATATAACTTAAAGTAACTGAGAAATTAATTTTCATACTCCTACTTCCCTTTTGTGACCAAGAGCCCATCCTTGATCGAAGCCTAGTTTTGATTCCTTAGCTTGGTGCAAAAGGGTGACTTTTGATAAAGTGGAAGGGTGGGACAGTTTATTGTTCCATTCAATATGGCGGGTCAAGGGACTGGAGATTATTTTGATATTAATCTAGTTCATTCGAATTTCTATGCTCCCTTTATGCAGGAGTAATTTGTTTGTTAATGCTGTTCATTACCTCATATATTATCATAATTGTAAAATTTCATCAGCTAATTTTTTTTGCTGGAATGATTTCTGTAAGTTATGAAAATTACTTCTGCAAATTTCTTTCATGGTATCACAATGGGCAATGTCTTTAATTTATAGATTTAATCTTTATGTAGAACTAAAAGAAAGAGGTCGTGTTAGCAAATCAGTTCATATTCAGTGTATTTTGTGATTGGAAGGTTTGCAGTTACTAAGAAGCATTATTTGACACGTCTGATCCAATGGCGAGCCCTGACAATGGTGCTAATAAGACCGTGAAACGAAATCTCCCTTCTTGGATGAGTTCAAGAGACAGCGAGAGTAAATCTAATGGAAATGGTGTTGTTGGACCTGTGGAAAGTAGTGAAGGGGAAACACGTGAACAAGCTAAAGAGTGTGGCAAAGAACATGGTGGTAGTGCACCCTCCAAGAAAAACCAAAGAAACGTAAAATCTTCTTCATTGAGTTTGGATGCCACAAACTTCCCCAAACTTCTGGTAGTAAAGCAATCTAAATGTGGCATTACCAATCTACATGGTTTTGTTTTTGTTTATCATTAGCAGAAGAACTGATATTGTAATCATGATTTTTGTAGGAAGGGGTTGTATTCGTACTCTCAGGGTTTGTTAATCCCGAGCGCAGTGTATTACGGTCTCAGGCTCTGGAAATGGGAGCAGAATATCAACCTGACTGGAACTCTGATTGCACCCTCCTCGTTTGTGCATTTCCAAACACCCCAAAGTTTCGACAAGTCGAGGCCGATTGTGGAACTATTGTTTCTAAGGTTTAATTCTTTTCATTTTGATTTATAAGTTGTTCATAATTTGTTAAGTGTGGAAAGTAATATCTGATTGAAGGAAGCAACTGTCCATCTTAGTCTTTGATGCCTCATGTACTTTTGTTATATGTTTTAAGGTTGTTTTTCTAATATTGAAATGATTTAGTTTTAAGTCAACAAGATGTCAATGAAGAGACATCTTGATATTTCCTTGGTTTGTCAATTTCATGCTGCATTCTCTATATATATATTTTGGTAAGTAAGAATAATTATATTAACAAACAAAATATAATACAAAATATAAAGGCATGCATGCCTTCCTATATACAAAGAGAGAAAACTGTATTAACCAATGAAAAATAACACAAAAATATGAAGACATACATTCCTATATACAAAGAGAGCAAAAAGAATGAACTCTATACCAATAAGAGAAACAAAAGAACTAATAAAAAAAAAAAAGAAAAAAAAAAGAGAAACAAAAGAAACAGATACCATTAACCACAGAGAAAACGTTATCTCTCTGGATAAAAAGCAGAAAATATCTGTTGCAAAGAAGCAGTGACAGAGGGGTCCAATGGGGGCAACTACCCCCACTGGACTTCCTCATTATGTTGATTTTGTATGTAAAAGTTTTAGTAATTATAAAAATTCCTCCACCGGGAACTTACAGAATTCTCGAAAAAGACCCAACAATTTTCTAAAAGAAACTCTTCTTACTCCAAATTCAAAAGAGACCCATAACTTTTCTCCTCACTGGGCCCACACCACAAGGTTTTTAACCAAAAGTCAAACTAATCATTGCTTATATAGTTATATATATAATTATATAAGTAGTGAGTTATATATATATATATATATATATATATATATATAAGTAATGAATAGTTTGACTTTTGTTTAAAAAGTATGTATTGCAAGAAAGCGAGAGAAAGTGGTCCCGCAAGATTGTAAAATATATAAACTAGGAAGCACGGATACGGGCACGACACGGGTACGACATGATTCGGACATGGCGATACGACAAATATTAAAAAAATAGGACATGGACACGGCAATAATATAATATATTATTATATAAAATAATAATAATAATTTTTATTCATTTTATCCATACAACCATGAATGAAATCACTAATTTGGAGCTTAGAGCTAGATATATGCTGTTTATTTTTTATTTTTTAAAAAATTACATCATTTTTCTAATTAACCTATAATATATTTTAAATTGCATTGGATCCATCCTTCTAAAAAAAAAATTACAAACATGCAGGGGTGGGCCCACTATGAACTAGCAAAACTGTATTCTTAAGGGTTGCCCCCATTGAAGTGAATTCGTAGCTCTGCCACTACATAAAAGAGAAGATAACCAACTAGGAACCTATCTAGCAAAATAGAATCGGATATTTAACGGGAATAAAAAAATAAAAAATAAAATCAGATAGCCCCCATTCTCGTTGGATCCAAAAATTAGACTGGGATGAATGGATCTGAGTAAGAGGGAAAAATACGAGTCTAACAGCTGTGATGGTATACATTCTATTGTTTCTTTCAATCCATACGTCGTAGTAAACAGCAGCAGCAAACATCACTCTATGGACGCTCTTCACCAAGAATATACCTTTTAACTTCTGAGAAGCCCATTCAACCAATGAGTTAAATCATAGGTTAGGTTAGGGAGTTCCAAAATCTGAATGTGAAGGATCAATAAAAAAAACAGGTGTTTGGTATCTTCACAACTCTCCCTGCAGAAAACAGAGCTCATAGAGTCAAGTTGCCCTGTGTTTTTCCAATCTATCTTGGAAGCCACATAATAATGAACATTAAGGGATTAGCCATTGCAGATCAAACCAGAGAAGACCAAGGGACTCTATTTCTTTGGTCTGAGATTCTAAGTTGCTCCCAAGCATCTTTGATTTGGAAATCACCATCTTTTGAATCCCAAACCGCTTTATCTTCATTATATACATTGGGAAGGTTCAATGACATAGCCTCAGACCTCAAATCCATCAAGTCATCTTATCTCACTGTAGGCCTTTGCCAAGAACTATTATGCATCATACTTGTTAAAAAAAAAGAACTATTATGCATTATGTCTGCAACCTTTGCATTGACCACCAACCAGTATAACTATTCACACCCACCCATTTAGATAAGATGATATGATCATTCAGGAGCCAATTATCAAACCACAATGAAGTAAATTCCATTACCAATAAAGTGTTTGATTTTCAACCTCACTTTATCCTGAGCTGTAAAACCTTTCTCCAGCTCCAAGAGCATTTCCCAGGTATTTTTGTAGTCCAAAATTTTTGTCTTTCAAAATATAACATTCAATCCTCCCTGCCCATAGAGAATTGGATGGGATTTGGCAAATGTTCCATAGATGTTTAGAGGTAGCAGTAGCTTGGTTCCAAGTGTAGATATCCTTAATATCGGTCCCTACTTGGGGAACACAGACATCAGTGATCAGCCCAAGCTAAAATAATAGAATTTTCAATCTTGATTTAAATTTAATGCCATATTTCCTATAATTAAGGTAGGCTATTTGATTAAATTATGGTTTACATCTTTTGTGTTCATCCTTTTGTTTGATCTTCTACGTACTGTTTGTATAGTCCGATTGTAATGCGTTATTTTGTTTTCTTTTCTTCATCCGGTTTTGTAATATTGAGCATTAATGTTGTTTGTTTGGAAAATCGCTTCTCAAGTTGGCTACTAAGATTGAATATATAGTCGGATGCGGTCTAGCTATTTTAGAGGTCCACGAATGTCTTTTAGAATCTGTTTATCAACTAACATCTGCTATCGTACCCATTTTAGATTAGCAGTGGGAGCTTGTTATTTATTGATTTATTTGGTACAAAGATAGAATTTGAAAGAAAGTGAAGGTACGAAGCATGGAAAAGCTACCCTAAGGATAGGAATTTGTCTTCCCCCTCTTATACTGTCTCTGGGGGAGTTTTTCATCTTTTTTCTTTGTAAATTTTTTACTTTCTTTCAATTAATAAACCAATTATTATCGAAAATTTAAAGCATGCACGTGTGCAAAGACGTTATGTGTGTGTTTCTAATGCTTATATGCATGTGTGCATTTACTTCAAGGCATATACGTCCAAGTTTCATGTTAGTTTATCTGACAGTAATTGGTTTTGGAATGATTAGCTTTGATAGCATTTGATGTGTCAGATCAGGTGCAACAGTCCCCATTTAATGTAACCATCTTTTGTTGGGCCCATCACATGCATATATTTGATTCTTCTGTGTTTATTTGGTGAATGTTACATTGTTACTCCTTGCAAGTAATATGATGATCTTGACTTCGTTTGGCCTTAGGAGTGGATATCAGAGTGCTACACCCAGAAAAAGCTTGTTGATATTGAAAGTTACCTAATGCATGTTGGCAGACCATGGAGGAAACAAAATATTTCCCTTGGAGTCAATCAAGGTCTCTCTCTCTCTCTCCATGTGTGTGTGTGTGTATTTCTGTCTGCGGATGGGTGAGTAGGGAGGGGATATATTATTCTGGTTGAGAGTGATTACTATCTGTCTGCATATGGGTGGGTCATGGGTGTAGGGAAGAGAGGGGGGGGGGGGGGGGGGGGGGGGTGTGGTGTTATATTTTTCTGATTGAGAGTGATTACTAGCTGTAAATTGTAATGAACGTGATCAACATGATGCATATGTCCTTTTGCTTTTGGTTTGCTCTGATTATAAATAGGGTTGCAAATGAACCGAGCCATTCATGAACAGCTCGGGCTTGGCTCAAGCTCAGGCTCGCTCATTTAGTAAACGAGTCTAAAGGCCCATGTAGTTGTTTGTGTTTATAAATTTGTCCCATATCTATTCCACTAGCCTATAAGCCTACAAGCCCAATAATCCATAGATTTATAACCACCGTTGGATTACACTTGTATTGCACATGTTATAATTTAAGAAAATAATAGAAACCCTGGCTCTACTCGCAAACAGCAGTCACAGGAGACCTCTCAACATCCATCACTGATCCACAACTACTCTAGGCAACTGATGCGATGATCTTAATCAAACAACAACAAAGGTTATTACTCTCTCCCTCCTTCACAATCTTCGCTCTCTTTCCCAACCATGTTCTCTCTCTTGATAGCCATTTTTTCCTTTATTTTGACCACCATCTTCTCTCTCTTTCAGAACCATGTTCTCTCTTGATAGCCATTTTTCCCCTTATTTTGATGGAGTTATGAGGGTATGAAGAGTATAAACTGATTTTATGAAGAACATAGACTGATTGTGGAGATTATGAGGATTGGACAAATGATTTCATAGTATGCGAGGTTGAGCCGAGCCGAGCCTGAGCACTCTTCTTACCTTGGTAAGCCAAGCCCGAGCAAACCAAAGCTCGGCTTGGCTCGGTTCGGTTCATTTGCAGCCCTAGTTATAATCATAAAATAGTAGTTTCTGCTTTTATGGATTACAGACAATGGAGCTTGAACTGATACATGCATATCTATGTTTAAAAGGAAAAAAAAAAGTAAGAAGAAGAAGATTGAATTCTTTCAACTTTCTAAGATAGAGCTATATGGCAAGGATCATCTCAGCATTCCCTTCCCCTTGCATCGTCTAAAGATCACCAAACATTTGTTAATGTAAGGTATTATGTCAATAGAATTTATGTTGGCAAATTTCACCCAAAGCTAGTTTGTATTGTTTATTTTAGCTTTTGATTATTATTTCAAAAGTTAGTTACCCTTGGTCCAAGGGAAAAGGGGGAATTCAAAGCCTCAAGCAAGAGCAAAAGGTAAAATCAGCTGATTCAGCTCTTAAATTATGCACTCACCAAAATTAGGATTCATATGGATTCATTTTTATCATTAAACATGTTAGGCTTTTCAAATTACATGTTTTGATCTTCAAAATGCATAAAACTGCTTTAGAATGTTTCTATTTTCGAAATTCTTAAGGAAAAATGACAAGTTAACTTACCCTTTTTACTAATAAAAAAGGATGGGAATTTTGATTGATCTATGGCTTAATGAAAACCCATTGGACCAGTTTTGAGCGATCAAACATATTTTTGATAGAGGAAAGCCTGCAGAAAAGGAGTTTCCAATTAGGATTACAACTCTTTTAGACTCCAAGGTCCATATAAAAACCCTAAATTTTCAGAAATCTATTGGTGATATATGCTTGTAAACACCAAGCATATCTAAGCATACCTAGAGGGTATACAGCATTGTGAGACATACTTGAGTGCATTCTAACAATTAGGTTGCTAGATTTAATTTCTTTCATTCATATCCGTGCTTGGATTAATGTCTAATTAACCTAGTTGTAAACCTTTGTTTATATTGGATTTGATCTACTTGGATTAGGTCTCACGCTTTTTCCCTCTATGTAAAAATCGTGTTTATGTGCGGATGCTTTTCATGATGTTCTTCGTATATATTATATTCTATACCATGAATGATTTTTACCTGCTTAATTGTTAAGTCAAAATTTGAAATTTGGTGAGGAGTTTAAAATTTGAATTTTTGTTCAAGTTATGTTAAATAGTTGTCTTCTTCTCGGTCTAGTTCAGGCCATTTTGTGTACTCTGACTATTAGATCTTGGGTTACGATGCTCAGCCTTCAAAAGGTAAAGGTTGCCCTCCTTTCATTGTTAACCCGTTTTGCATGTGTCTTTGTAACGTGAGTTGAGATTTACATGCATGTAAAGGTAGGTTACAGAACTTCGAATGGAATCGACTGACCATATGCTGACAGCAGTGTAGCCATGTAGTTAGAGTTAAGTTAGATGGATTATATGCATTGCTACATCCATATAATACTTGAAAAATAATGCAAATGATGTATTTATACTATGGGGTACATACACACACTAATCCTTACAATTTGTTATCTGTTAAGGCTAAATTCTAAGTGCATTAGTCCATTGTACCTAATGTTTTTCCCCCTTGACCATGTTCAGCCATATTGTTACTTGTAAGTGAATGCAGTGTATCTTAAGATCAATTTTACATCATATTCTTTAAAAATTGAAAGATCACTAGTTTATTAAGCACATTTGATATCTCTTCCTCTCATAATCAATGTACAAGTTGCAATAATCTAATGTCGAAGATAGGCACCTGTTTATTGTCTCTTTTCTTTTTCTATCACGTGTTAAGGAGGGCACTCTTTTTTCTGCTGGTTTACTAAAAAGTCTAATTTCCTTAATGAGTGCTTGCAGATCAAGAAGCATCTTTGTCTATGAAATCTCAGAAGCCAGTAGAAACAAAATCACGTTCAGGGTCAACTACCTCTGCATCGTCCAAGGTTGTTATTGATTTTTAAACATGCTTGTGTGAATGTGATTTTTCTTTAAATTTAAGTGGCATTTAATCTATATGCAGTGAATATTTGGTTTCTGTAAGCATATTATGGAGCAGCTTAGCAAGTCTCCTATTATTGTTCAAAGCAAGAATAGAATTTTCATTTTGTAGAGATTTCAGAACTGCGCAGAAACTTTTATAGGATTAGAAAGTGGGCTGCATATTTGATTCAGCACTTAATTTTATATTTAGTCACGATGATCTGTTTTTTATTTCATATGTAAAGAAGATTGGAGCTTCTAATCCTGCTAAAGAGCATTTCTCTCCTTCTAAAGTGAAGAAGTGGGCTACTGAGGATTTAAACAAAACCATCTCATGGCTGGAGAGCCAAGAAGAAAAGGTAAAGCTTGCATTGGTGTAGTTATAATGTGACCTTTTTTGTACATTTGCTATGCGGGCTTATTGCTTGGAGTTGCTCTTGTAATTCTGTTTCACTCTTGGTAACCAATTAAAGTATGAAATTTGTGTATGGACTTGCAATTTTATTTTGTTCTTTAAGCATTTGATCATGGACACGTTTTCAGGTCATTTACTCTCACATCTTCTTGTGTATGATCTGGATATCCTAAGTTAAATCACATTTGTTTTATTAATACAATGGGTTAGGCTTAACAAGTCGTCTGTCAGACTTCGGAATTAGCATAAAGTTCGTATCGATGAGCAATCTTATTTTTGTTTTTTGGGGGAAAAACTGCCATTCAGATTGATGTGTTGAAAGGCACTGAAATCTGAATTTTGTCTACTTATTTGTGTATTTGAGTAAGTGATATCCAGTGCGAACCTTATCTTTCCTTTGTTGATTTTAACAGCCAGAGCCAAGCGAGATAAAGAAAGTCGCTGCTGAAGGGATACTGACTTGTTTACAAGATGCCATAGACGTTCTTAAGCAAAAACAGGTATACCATAATTTCATTTTTTAGCAAAAAGATGGGCCCAACTTCTGATTTGATTATCCTATTTCCAGTGTGCGGTTTACTCACTAGGAAATAGGATTTTTGGATATACAATTTATCAGCATCTCTCTACCAGTCCTGGAATTCATCAGTCACAAATCTGAAAATATATGCACAATTAAGTGAGCGTCAGCATTAAACACAACTGTGACAATTGAATGCAATTCAATTGGTATTCTGACCGTCATATTCGTTAATTGCAATGTCAAGATCATGTTGGTTGTTACCAACATTATTTGGAGATAGGATGGCTTCCATAATATCACAAGAATGTTTATTTGCTGATCATTTGTTTTCTTCTGTGATACTTAAATTTTGGTTAATAGGGTGTGTGAGATTCCCGAATCCCGCTACTAATAGGATCGGTAATTTATTTTCCTTTCCTTTTACATTGTTAAATAATAGTTGAGGATTGCTGCTGATAGCTATGAATCATTGTCTGGTACAATGGTAAAAGCTTGAACTGGCAAGTGTGGGAACGCAGGTTTGAATATGTGAGCAGTCACTTTGTGCAAAATAATGCCAAAATTAGGTATGTTTCTAGTACACTCCTCCTGGACCATCCGTAGGCAGGATCAATATTGCATAATAGTCTTGATGCCCTTGTATACTTTTTAATTGCTGACTCTATTACTTCGATGTTAAGCCGCTTGCTGACTGCTGAGCATGAAAATTTTAAAAATCTCTGTTTGCTGAATGGAGCACTCAGATGCCTACCATTGCTTTCTCTTGCCCTTTGATACTTCTTTCTTCTTTTTCTTTCTTATTCGATGCTGGATTATTCCAATTCTATACATAGCTGATGTCATCTAACTGACCCCACTGATCTTTTAGCAATACCAAGTCATTTTTTTGGCCTCACTTGTTTGGGGCAGTGAGCTGGCAGGCCTTTTTAATCAACAATTCAGAAGTCCTGCTCGAAATACAGTTTTTCTCATTCTGCTGATTCTTGTACTGTCTTGATGAAATTTTTATCTCTCTGCACCATTTATGTGATAATAGTTTGTTAATGATTGCTTTTTAAAAGCTCAGATCCGTACTTCCTTGTGGCTAACGTATGTTAGTTTTGACCTGAAATATCCATAGATACTGCATTTTCATTCCTTTTCTACTTGTGTATAATGAACATGTGATTAGGAGATCCAACAAATAACTGAGCAGTGGAACTTCATTCCTCGGGTGGTTGAGGAGCTGGCAAAGCTTGAGGGCAATGGAAATAGTTCGGCCTCATTTCCTAAGGAAGATCTTTACAAGCAAGCCATGGCATGTAAACGAATTTATAAGGCAGAACTTAGCAGTTTAGATGATGATTTGTCAGTGAAGAAAAAGCTGAAGACTGATAAAAGTGAGAGGAGTAACAAAGATGTTGTTGCATGTGATGCAGCAGCTTATGACAGTGATGAAACTATTGAGATGACAGAAGAGGAGATAGACCTTGCTTACAGTACCATAGCTTCTAAGCTTTCCAAGCCCTAAGCGAAGTTCCCGAATTCGAGATGAAGATTGAAGCTGGTTTAACTTCATCTGTGTGCATGTGTGATGAGAGAGAGAGATCCACTTGCTGATGTGCAGTCTTGGAACCATGTGGCTACCTCTGCATGTATCTCCTCTGTTTATTTGTGTTGTCCAAAATCTCTTCTTGTACAGCCACTGAAATGCATTTGTTTTTATGTTCTAAATTTTGTTTTACACCCTTGCATTATCTATTCATCTTTGAGCTGATGTAGGATACCCTAACAATTTACCCCATACTCTTCTGGAGTCAAGGTGGCTTGTATGGCCCATGAAGCATATCCATATGAGTTATAGTTACCCACCCATGAGAAATAGGGGCTTTTGCTGCCAAGTTGGAGAATGTAGGTTTGAATTTGGGTGTAGTTATTTTGTGTAAATAATGGCAAATGTAACATATGTTTGGAATAGTCACTCTCAGCATTTTCAATTAGAAGATGAACCAAATTGGATAATAATGGTCATAAGTTATGGAGGAAATATATAGATTAATTCCTGTCAGTTCCATGTTCCTTGAAAGGATGAAACCCGAATAAACTTGGGATTATTCTGTGAAGTGTAATTTCAATCAATTACTCTCCCAAACTTAGCAAGTACACCAAATTATCAGGGACAAAGTGAATCTGTGTATTTTTGTCAAGGTAAAAGAAAAAATTATATATATATATATATATTTTTCGAAGATAATGGGAGTATTTGTAATTATAATATATATATATATATATATATTATAATTACAAATACTCCCATTATCTTCGAAAAATCCCATTCAAAACAATTTTCTAAACAAAATAAATGTAACTCTGAAAAAAAAACCCGACATAACTTCTCTGTCTTCTTATATTGTTCCTTTATATTTCCACTCATTTTCCACTTATTCTTGTGCTCTTAACTAACCACATGAATGTGCTCAATTTTCTTCGTATATGAGGTCTGCCTTGTAAAGATATTTGCAAGTAGCTTATTAAATCTCATTTAGTAGGCAACCTTCAAAGACCAATAATGCTGAACAAGAGAATCCAACAATACAAGATGAACCGAAAATAGAAAAATGTGTTGGAAGAACTAAAATGGTGACTTAAGATTGAAATTGAAGAAAATTTAATTGCGGTTGAAATTCAATTTCAAAACTAATTTTGGGCTACCAAAAACAGCATCAATGAGTACCCAAGTGCCTTGACTTGGTTTGCAATTTGAGAAATTCCAGTGACCCATACAACATGGGCAGACCTTCAAATGTGCAATGTATACAGAAGAAGAAAAAAAATAAAAAAACTAAGAAAATTGAAGTAATGAATTTTATTAATTAAACACACGACCCTCTACTCAAATTTTTTAAAAAAATTCAAATTTATTATGAATTATTATGAAGTACATCTCGTGATAATATGATGAGTTATTCATTAAATTAACACGTTTTGAGTACTAAAATTTACACATTGACCATCTTATCACTTTGTTAGTATTTAAACAATTATATCATTAAAAAAAATTAAAATATCTTAAATAAAGATATACAAACCAATTCAGATCACGATTCAACTTCATAAAACATATCAAAAGAAAAAAAATATAAAAGTTAAACTAACGAGTGCAATCTAAAGTAAATAATTTAACTTAAAATTTCGAATATAATTTTCATATAGTTCTTTTTCGAATGATCAAAATCCTCCTCTTAAAATTTGTTAACCTTCCGGGAAAAAAAAAAAATTAGTCCCTTGATTGAAGTCAAAAGGAGGTAGTCGGTGCATGGTGAGTGCTCATTACAACTTTCCTCAGTCGGATACAAGATTTGCTGCTAAATTTTTTTTTTTTTTTTTTAAATGACGGATGTACCCATACTTTGCTTGTTTCTTGTTCTCAGTAGGGTTGCAGCAGATAAACGCCACCAACACTCAATTCTCTCCCTTTCTCTCTCCTCGCGCAGCCCTTAAAAACTCCACCTCCACACTTTGTGACTTTGTTACTTCGTCTCCTCTCTCTCTCTCTACACATATATACATATATCTATATATCAATCTATATCTAAATATATAAATATATATATACAGACATCTGTAGAGTTTCTGTCTGCAACAATGGGTGCGTCTCTTCCTCCTAAGGAGGCCAACCTCTTCAAGCTCATCGTTGTAAGTTATCGGTTTATGTTCTCTTTCCGTCTCAATAATAATCATTACAGAATCGAAGTTTTATTGCTCTTTTATCACTTAATGTCACTTTGTTTCCCCCCCTAAAACCCTAGTGCTTTTATGATGGTTACTATGTATAAATTAGCAATATTGCCCTTTAATGTTCAATTTTGATGTTAGTTGAACATTAAGCATGTGTGTGCCGACACAGACTTTTGATTGTATCGTACGAACTCATTTAAAGCTGCGAATTTCAGTAATTGAATGTTATTAGCTTCTAGGCTAAGGTTCTGTTTGTTTTTGCGGAAAACGTTTTCCCAGGGAAAAAGGTACATTTTTTTGGCGTAAAGCTGTAGATTTTCTCCACATTAACCGAATATGCATGATGAGATTTCACCAAGCTTCATTAAAAAGTGTGTATTGAGATGAATAAAATGCATTACCTACCCAGGGTGTTAGAGGGAAAATATTGGAAATAGAGCTAATTTCACCACACCAAGCAATGGCCCCTGTTTGTTTGAGATGATTACCTTAAAATATTTTTAAATTACTATTTTATACCGACGAACTAGAAGGAATTGTGATTCTATTTATTTATTTATTTTCATGTGAAACGTGTCTGCAAGACTACTTAGTGACCTTGGTGGGCCATCTAGGTTTGTGTTATGATAGACGTAGGTCTTCCTTTTTTGTTCTTTTGTCAAACACACATGTTAGTTGCATGTCCAAAACCAGGTGTGATACATGCATGATAATTTATGTTCTGATTTTTGTTGAATTTGAAAAAGGGACTTCCATGACAATGCTCATGCAGCTTAGGGAAGATGGTAGCTATAATGATGATGCTACAAGTTAAATTGTGTCTAGCAAGTGTAAATTTTGGGGAAGAAAAGATGGATGAAAAATTAAGCATGTATGTCAAACATCCAGTGGCACATTGTTTCTTTTTATTAAGTATCCTATGGTGCATCAAGTAGAAGACAGAAATTTGATGGCAGGCCTTTCCTTGAAGTTGTGGGTGTGGGTGTGGTTGGTCCACGGATTGGCGGCTTCACTGAATCACAAGAAAAAGAATGATTATTTACTATGGCACAACAGGGTGCCATTATACTTGCAGAATTTGTGGAGTCGATCTTCCAATCTACCAATATTATTTGGGTCAAGGAATGGGGGTTATCCACTTCTGCTATGATACGGGTTGTAGCAGGACATCTTAGGAAATGTGGAATGATGTTGCTTAAAATTGATTTATTGGTGGACTTCGAAGAGCACATGGATATATTGTAGGCTGCTGGACTTTCTTACTCCTAATAGAATATGGATTTCAAGATGGAAAGTTTTGATATTTTGACCAATGTTTTTTTTATATCTGATAATTAGTGCATATACTGATCATATAACATAGCTTGACCCACAATTAGACCATTCGCCATTATCACAGTCTATGGTACTTGTACTACAGATGAAAAGTTACCAAAATACTCTCAACTACTATAATCTAGTTGTCATTGCTTGGTGCAGTAATAAAAGTTCGGATGAACAAGTTTGAAGACCTGTTTGACTATGATTAGATGACGGGATTGAAAAAATGAATATTTTTACCATTTTGAAAGCTGACCAAATTTCCAGACAAGCATTTATAAGAAAAGAAAAGAAAAGAAAAACAGAAATCAAACCATTTAGGAGGGAGTAAATAAAATTATATTGGGAGCATATTAGTCTAAAACTAACATCAATGCAGAGTTGACTAAACCCAAAAATTGATTGAGTTCTTAAGTAGGCAGCAACAACAACAACAGCAGTAAAGCTATTTCTGCCCAATATGAAACAACTAGTTGTACCCCTTCTATTGTTCACATGCTCTGAACCTGGGGCACTATTGTGCCTAAGAGTTTCTGCTATTAAGAATAGATCTTAAAATTCATCTCCACCTTATTATTTGTGATTAAGTTATTTATGGCACAATTCACATTGAGGGTGATGATTGAGAAAGAGTAGACCAACAATAACATTAACAAGAGGGTGATGATTGAGAAAGAGGTAGACCAACATTAACATTAACTGAACTTATCAAAATAATAAAAAAAATCCATTAACATTTGCTGAGATAGTGAGAAAAGATATTATAGCATTTGGTTTAATTAAAATAAGGGTTCTCAATTGAACAGATTGGCAAACAGGATTCATATAATTAATCCAAAATAGTTGGGACAATGTTTTTTGCTGAGTTTAGTTGAGTTATTTATAGTGCTGTAAAAGTTCGTAAATCTACCATGATTTCACGATTCAGTATTATATTGTTTATCAACATATTTCACTGTTTACTCTATTTGACAGTATTAATATGAAAAACTACTGCTGAATGAAAACGTCTTCATCCTTGCAGAAATCATATGAAACGAAACAGTATAAGAAGGGGTTGAAGGCAGCAGATGCTATATTGAAGAAGTTTCCAGATCATGGAGGTATGCTAGGATTGCCGAAACGCTGAGCAAATAAATATTTTTGAATTAAGCTTGTTATTATGTTTTTTATTTTTATTTTAATACCTTTTGTTTGAATTTATTGCTTTGAGTCAATAATGCTCTTATCCCCCCAATCCAAGCATAGATAATGAAATTGAATTGATGGGGGTTCTATGGCAACCATTTTATTTCCTTCTTTTATTATTATTATTATTATTTTTTAAATAAATATATTGAGAAACAAAAAAGAAAGGAAGTCTGGAGCATGTGAATTTGTTTCCTATTACTTATATAAAAAGAGAACTCAACTTTATTAATATCAAATAGTGGGAAGATTTATAGGTTACGACTGTTTGGAAATTGATGTAGTGGGCATGAGGCTATATGTTCAAGCCTCTCGTTCCAATACAAATGGAAATCAGCCTTGGGTTGGTTCCAGATTTCTTTGATTCAAGTAGGAGGCTCCGGAGAATATCCGAAAATCTTTATAATTGCTTCTTTCTCAATGAAAGATACGAGTTTGGTTCAACCAATTTCCTTGATGGCAAAAGAAAATTTATTGAAAGTAAACACAGAGTACCAAGAGTGGAAGTCCCTAGAAGGAAAAAAAAAAACGTAAATAAATAAAATGAAGCAAAAAATCTATTTACAATGGCTAACCCTCCATTAGAACCATCAATAGATAAATCCCCCATATTAATTAGAAAATTTGCTGCTTTTTTGGTTGGTGGGGATGAGAGAGGAGGGGGCTTAAAACTAAAATCTGGTATCAGAAGTTTTCATAATGATCATCGTACATGTTGAATAAATTATTTGCATTACGTTGCGATAAATCTAAAATTATTGTTGGATTAAACCAGTATGGGTATGATGCAAGGGAAAAAATGAGTCCAATTGGCATGGAATTGACTGTTTTGATTCTTTGTCCATGTCCATTTGGGACAGAGTATCATCAAGAAAGAAAAAAAAAAAAAGCACAGATCAAATAGTTGCCATGGCAATGCATTGCTTGAACCATTTATTTGGAGTAGTAAATATTTTAAACCTATTGTGTCCCCAAAGCTTTGTGGAGTGTGCTGAAACTCAAAGACATTACTGAACATCTATCGTAGACGGGGGACTTTACAATTCTATTGGTTCATTTCCTGGCAGCCGTTGTGTGGCTTGGGGTACCAGTCTGCAGTTATATAAATAGCTAAAGAAATTGGGACATGCTAAAAGTAACGCAGTTAAAAGAACTTTCTAGTTAAATGTCTGAAATTTCATTAAATATTCTTGGAATATTTTATGCATAGTCAAAATCTGAACACTTCTCTAAACAGTCACTTTTCTTGTAGTATAGTTTCTTTTGATAGGCAAAATATAATTCATTTGGAATAGCTTCTCTAAAATTTTTTATTCCTTAACTGAGTAGCTTTGGTGTTGTGGAAATGTCATCAATGCAGCATTAACAATCTAAGTTTTGTTTTCATTCGCTTATTCATGTTGAACATCTATCATTTAGCTTTGGTGTTGTGGAACTGTCATCAATGCAGGATTAACAATCTAAGTTTTGTTTTCATTCGCTTATTCATGTTGAACATCTATCATTTTTCTTGTTTGATTTGTGATCTCAGTGCCAATTTTTTTATTGTCTTTCTGTTCCTCGCCTGGTTACCAGAAACTTTGTCAATGAAGGGGTTAACATTGAATTGCATGGACCGCAAATCAGAAGCATATGAGCTTGTGCGGCTTGGACTGAAGGTTGGAATATTATTCCTGACTTCTTGTTATTATAGTTGTTAAGTATGACTGCTTCCTTAGCATCATTGCTCCGTATAATATGATCAGGCTTATCCTCTCTTCTCAATGCAGAATGACCTCAAAAGTCATGTTTGCTGGCATGTTTACGGTCTCTTATACCGGTCAGACAGAGAATACAGGGAGGCAATTAAATGCTACCGAAATGCGCTGAGGATTGATCCAGACAACATTGAAATACTTCGGGACCTGTCACTCTTACAAGTAAATATGCAGTGTGTGTTATTTGTCTTCTTATTTGGTTGCTTGCCTATAAAATAAGGAAATAGCATCCCTTTAGTTATGTCACAAGAAACTTTTTTTTTCTTTCAGATAGTAGTTATGTAACAAGAACATTATTAACATGGGTGTTAGTGTTCGACATTAATGTCTATTGCAGACTCCTGAAAACAAAATGAAGACGTGTAATGGTTCTTTAATGGTGCCTTGTAAGGTCTAAGGTGTAAAAGAGTTGCAAATAGTGTTGTCATTGTGTCCGAGGTTATCAAATTAATGTTATTGCCTTTTTTCTTGTTTCCTTCTATTGCTATTTGGAACTCTTACTGTTCAAAGGGGCATTACCTACAATCTTGTCTGGCCCTTTTGTTGTCAATTAAAAGAGGATGTAAAATTTGTTAATCACCAAGCAATTTTTTGTATTTGATCCATGTAGACAATTTTCTGACACTATCAAGTAGTCTTTTCCCTTTTTGTGCTTTAAGTTGCAATGTTATGTGCTTTATTTGCTGTCTCTTGTTTTAACTCTTGCCTTTAGCCACTTTTTAAATTTATTATTGGATCAATACTGCGAGAAGTTAATGAAAAGTGGAAGTGTACTGACATTTTACCCAGAATGACTTTACTTTATATAGTCTTTTGTAAAAGATCTCGATTAGTCCCTCAATTAATGTAATGTGTCAACTAATGGTGCCCTTTTTGCCTCCTATATAACAGGCTCAAATGCGTGACTTGGCTGGTTTTGTCGAAACAAGACAACGATTGCTGACTCTGAAACCGAATCATCGCATGAATTGGATTGGCTTTGCTGTTTCGCATCATTTGAACTCAAAGTATTGTCTGATTCTTGGATATTAAAATTTTAATGATTTAACATCTTTTCCTTCATCCTTTATTCTTTGAGATTAATGTGCCTGCTATGGAGTTGATAGAACTAGCTTGTTGTCAGCTGTTTGATTCTTTTTCAGTGGTATTTTAATCAAAGAAGTGGAATACTAAAAGAAATTGCAAATGACATGATTGTGCCTTTTTTCCTGACAATGTGTGTTAGTTTTTCGTTTTGGAGATGTCCAATATATCTTGGAACTATTTAATTGAAGTAGACAGTAAGTCCTTGTTAGCATTTTGTTTTTGATTTCCAGTGTGTTATTTTAGCTGGCTGATGTGGTAAACTATATTTTTTTTCCTTTTTTGGCGATGATAGGATTTGAACCCACAAGCTTCTGCATTTCTTTTTTCTTGTTAGTAAGATATGCTCAAAATTGATGGATAGTAAATATTGCCACTAAAACATGCATCCATCCTTTTTGTCATTGTTGGTATAATGGTATATATCAATTCTTAATTCTTTAATCTAATTTTTATTTGTATAAAACATTCTTTTCCAAGTTGCTAACCGCTGCATAGAACTGATTTATTTAATAAGTTACGAAAGAAAAAAAGAATTATGATTTTTTTTTTTTTTTTTTTTTTTTTGCCCTTTTTGGTACTCACACACACATGCCTCCACTGAGGCTCGAACCCCTGACCTCTCTTTGAGAAGTAGGGGCTTGGTACCACTAGGCCACTGGCTTGATGGTTAAGATACATTTTTCCAGTAGGGATTATAAAGACATGTTACTCTACTGAAATCCACATGTAAGCTTAACGAGTGCACACAACACAGTAAACTGAAGTGAACTATAATAATTGTCTATAAATAAGAAAAACTTAAATTTCACGTGAACAGATTAAATTTTCTATTTTAAAGATGGAAGTATGAGAATTTATTTTGTTGGCTGGGCATCCAGTTGTTGACATGCAAAAAACTCATAGAATGAATAAGTGGTGAAAGCTGCAATACTATCCTATTAAAGGACTAGCATGACAATGCCATATGTGGATGCCTGAAGATCTTGCTCCATTTGTTTTACTACTGATGGTCCCCTTAATCACCGACTCTGGGATAATTTTAAAATTACAATAGAGAGGGTTATAGATAGTTCGTGGACCACAATCCTCCTAATGTTGCCTACAGCGTAACGTGGGAAAATGGTTTTAGTTAAATCATATTTCCCTCCTCATCGTATCTTCATGTCATGCTCACAAATATGGTGACTAGTTTTTTATTTTATTTTATTTGTTTAATAGTTTTGTGTTAAATACTTGATTTATAATTTTTTCTTATATTCGGTAGCCGCATGTTTGATTATATAGGTTGGATAGAATCAACTATGCTAAAGTAATTAGCAGGTGTTGGCTCCTTGTGTCTTTGTATCAATTTAAGTGCTAAGTTGATGGGAATGAAATTCAATATATTTTTCTGATTCCTGCAATAATTATTTACTTACACTTTTTTGTTTATTTTATAGTGGGTCAAAAGCTGTTGATATCCTTGAAGCGTATGAAGGAACTCTTGAGGATGACTATCCTCCGGATAATGAACGCTGTGAGCATGGGGAAATGCTTTTGTACAAGGTAAGTAATTTTGATATACAGGATTATACATCCCCGAATGGCGCATATTTTTCTTTTCACCTATTTGGTGCTTGATGTAATCTTCTTCCTACAGGTCACTTTGTTATTATCATATGTATACAAAAACATGAATTAACATAAGTACATACATGTGTGCCTTAATTTATTTATTTTGGTGGACATTTTGTCACAGCTGATAAATCACTAAAGTTGGGAACAATTCAGTTTAATAGGATTACAGGGATTCTTTTTGATCCCTGTGCTTGAATGCTTCATTTGTTACTTTTACTCATAAATCTTTTATATAGAGGCACAAGCTCTTTGTAGCTTTGTAACCTTTGGCTTTCAGCTACAAAAATGATGACAATGTCTGGGCTTTTTTTATGGTTACATTCATATGATATTCTCCTACAGATCTCTTTATTAGAGGAATGTGGCTTTCTTGAGAGAGCTCTTGAGGAAATGCACAAGAAAGAGTATCAAATTGTAAGTGTATATTAACAGTTTGCTAGGATAGTTCTATAATAAACTTTATATGTTTCTTCTAATTGGACCTCAATTTTGACCCTTTTGATGATTTCTTTATAGGTTGATAAGCTAGCCTTTAAGGAGCAGGAGGTCTCTCTTCTTGTGAAGCTCGGTCACCAGGAAGAAGGTGAAAAGTTGTACAGGATGCTACTTTCGATGAATCCTGACAATTACAGGTATATAGTCATGTTTTTGTTTTTTAATTCTTTCTTCTCCTTCTTCTTCTACTTCTTTTTATTTTTATTTTTATTTTTATTTGTTTTTTATTTTTTATTTTTTATTTTTTTCCCCCTTTTTTCCCCAAATGATATAACATTCATGTTTATAAGCAATAGGTAATTAAATGAAAAATTGCTTCACCAACAAAAACTTATATTTATTGATGACTTATTGGTGCTGTGGATGACTTTTATATACCTCATTTTATGACCAAAGGTAGCTGCGCAAACCAGCTGCAATCAGTTTGCTATCTTGTGCCTGTGATTTGCACATTTGCAGACTTAAAACTATGTCTCTGCAATTATGGTTGTTCAGGTTACTGTTTACTGTCAGCAGCCGAAATCAGGCGCTGCCAGGTTGTTCGGCATATTTGCACCATTTTTTTTTTTTTTTTTTTTGCATAAATGGAAAATTATGAGTGGAAGTCAGAGAATAGAACACAATGACATCATAATTCTCTTGGACTGGTGGACTCTGGATATATATTTTGTTTCAGTGGCATTAGCTGGCATAGTTTGTTGAAAACCTCTCCCTGCGCGAGCCCAGTTACTATTCCCTTGGGTGTGGGGTAAACAAACACCCTTTATTTGTGTCACTTAAACCATAAACTAACTGATTTTATCTTCTCTCTCTCTCTCTCTCTCTCTTTTTTTTAGATACTATGAGGGGCTGCAAAAGTGTGTGGGATTACTTCCGGAAAGTGGTCAATATTCCTCTGCCGAACTTGATCGCTTAGAAGCCTTGTACAAATCGCTTGGGCAGCAATACCGTTGGTCATCTGCTGTTAAGGTGACAGATCCCATATTTGCTCCCTCAAGAATTAGGGTATTTTCCCCATATTTCAGTATGGAAATAGATCTGTTGATTGATAAGTTGAAAAAGGACATTTAATTTCACTGACTAACAAACATTGAGCTGCTCTTTTATCATATAGTGTGCACGTGTATTTGTCCAGCCTTTAAAAAAAAAAATTCTCCTTGGACTGTGACAAACATATTAGGCTTTTCTTGGTTCGTGATCTTCATGTTCATTTGTACATCTGTTCACAAACTTGTGGTTGTCTAAAGGGGGGTTATGATTTTATTCTGCTGCACAAGATAAATTTAAAATTCAGCTGAAGGGAAATTTTAAATTTGCTGTACAAACATTTGCTGTGTTCATACATTTTATTGCCAAATTGGTAGTCTTGGCCTTTATTTGATTATATGTTTTTGGAAACATCTTGAAATTAGGCCACATTTGATGTTTGGATACAAAATGGGGGATCTAGTGTATGTCTTTGATTTGGGATGGGACTCCACTTATCAGTAACAAGCATGGAATTTAGTGGAATTGGGCTGCCTGTCTATGCTGGAATTTAAGTGGCAGTTAATTTAAGGGAAGTTAATTTAATATGGTCTACAGAAATTGTAAGTGATGAGGGAAACAACGTGGTTTACAATTGGTATATGTTGCGCATTAAAAGATGGTGAGTAAGTGTGGAAAAGATGCATATTGAGATTCTAGGAAATTAATCAGCCAACCTTTTTCCCCATCCTAAGTATCTTTTTCTTTTAGGTTGTCTCCGGGTCAAATTTGATTTCGCTGACCAGGTGCTACTTGACCGTAAACTCTTGGCAGTTAAGAGTAACTATTGATGGATGGTCTTGTTGTGTATGGAGTGCCAAGTGGTGCAAAGTGAAGAGCGACTCCACTCCAATTCTGTAGCCCATGAGGAAATACATCGATGTGAGATTATGTGATGGAAAAGATATTGATCAGTACCATAAATATGGAATTTTTTGGTGCTCTTGCTTTATCCTATTCAAGAAAGTCCATTAGTGGATTTTCTGATAGATTGTACCTGTTTATATTTAGTCTGTTATGGAATTCTTTTAAGCTACTTTGGTTTCTCTGTCTGCCTCTGTTCGTGCTGTTGGGTGCTTATACGTGCTGTTTAGTGGGGATGGAGCTGTTTTTGGTCCTCCAAGGAGGCCTGCATTGCGGTCCCTTAAATATTATTGGGGTGTGATTATAGTTTAACTATTAGCTGAAGTTGTTATATGGATTAGTTGATTCTCGAGGCACCTCCTGCTAATTGAGCAATTCGTGTGACCGGGGGACATAGTGCAACAGATAGCTGAGATAAACTTAATGGAGGATAAATATTTCCAGCTAAGCACATATTTAGACCATATGGCTGATAAAATTATTTTGAGAGTATTTACTGCTGATCCTCCTGCAGAAGACCTAAAGTACTATTGAGGACTAATATGAAGTCCTTGAAGAGAAGTGGGAATTTCAACAGAAAAGTGGAAGTCCATTTTGGTTTCCTCCCATTGTATTAAATATGTCGAGCCATGTGTATTGCAGTGGAATTTACTTTACTAGTGTTGTACATTTGTAGTTTTTAAAGTCTGTACAACAAAGGTTTCTTTATTTTGTCTGGTGTGGGCTAAGATGATAGTTTCTAATGATCTTTTGTTTCTTTTTTGCATTTTTGGTTCTGTGCAAGTAGTTTTAAGTGATTTCACATGTGTCAAACAAAATAACTTTTGATATGTTGCCTAAAAGAGTGTGAAGATCTTGGTTACTTCTATGTCTCAAGGATTATGTACTAACGTGAAACTTGAGGACTACCTCTAAATCATCAAAGGTAAGTATAAACAATCGAAGTGAGTTTGACAACTTTTTTGGTAAAATTCAAGTTTTAGCTCTCATGTTTTAAAATAAAGGTCCATAACTCCAATAAACAAGTTCTACCATATAAATTTTTGTACTACCAATGCTTTAAGGAAATCTCAGATTAGTATTATTTTGTGTTTGCGCCTGGTTTGCTGTTATCTTGTATCAGTGAAGGATTCAGCTTAGCCACCTGGTGATGTGGTACATAGTGGTCTACTATGGTCTGCCACAACGGCCCCAACTTGGAGGGGCATCTCTCTGAAGTGTGAATTCTTAAGGAAACAATTAAAAATTCTTCAAGCACATCTAATTCTTCCTCTCCTTGTATAACATTGTTATTTATTTTACTTAATAAAATTTGAAGTTGTTTCTTGTGTGTGAACACAAATGTCAATGTTGCTTTGTAGGGACATAAAGTAAATATTGCTTCATTTAGTCAACCTCATGCCGTTAGTTTAAGATCAAAATGAGTATTTGAGAGGGCTCAAAAACAACCAGAAGCCTTAATAGTTAGATTTGCATATTCTAGGGCTGTATGCTACCAGAATTTCATGGCTTTGGCTTCAAAGGATACCCCAGATTATATAACACAAATATATATGCCCTTCAACCTTTTCAACTATTGTTCGTAGGAAGCACGTATGTCAGGAATGATTAAAATGACAATTTCACTAACTCATTGGTAACCTGAAGAACTCTCATCAATCTTGGTGCCCATAGGAGGAACTGGAAAGTCAATCTAAACGTATAAATTTGTTGCTGATGCATTTTGGTGGCTATTTCTTTTTTTGCATATCTGTGTTATAATTTACATTTCGGGAGGATTGAAAATTATGTTTGCGTTTCATGTTGAAACATGTGTGATCTTCGCTGCTAGCTCCCTCCCATGTTTCTTCCTTATTTAATAAAGCATTTATGTTATTGATCAACTAAATTGAGATCGTGGTGCCCATGAACCACTATGCCTAATTATAGCAGACACAAGATAGAATGTCAGTGACTAAGGATTATGTATTTCGTTTTTGTGAATGCTTTTGTTAGCCACTTTTGTTTTGATATTAATTATAATTATTGTTTTTCATATCTTAGAAAATCATTGCTAACATGTAATGTTGGCGATTAGTCGTGCTATAGTATTACTATTTTTTCTTTTTTTCTTGTTCTTTTGTGGAGGAGGGAGGACAGACATGCTATTGCATTCTGTTTCTTACCTTATATGCATTCTTTTCTACCCAGTTTCTATAAATTAAATCATTAATTTCCAGGACTTTTATTGGACATTGGTTTTTTCCCTTGTCAGAGAATACCGCTTGATTTTCTTAATGGTGAAAAGTTTCGAGAAGCAGCTGATAATTATATCAGGCCTCTTCTAAAAAAGGTACTCATGGTTCTTTTTTATGTTACTTTGACTGGTTAGTTTAGTTTTAATAAGCAGAACTTACACTTCTTTTTATGATGCATGTAGGGAGTTCCTTCATTGTTTTCCGATCTTTCTCCCCTCTATGATCAAGCTGGCAAGGTTAGTGTGCACTTCATAGTGATCATATGAAACCCGGAGAAAGTTTCTTTGGAGGCTATTGAAATTTGTGGGTCTTTTGGTGGTATACTTTTCAATAGTGAATATTAGTGTTTCTTCTGTACCTCTTATACAGGCAGACATTCTAGAGAAATTGATTCTTGAGTTGGAGCAGTCAATTAGGACAACTGGTGGTTATCCTGGAAGGTAATATATGGCTTATATTCTCTCTACTTTTTTATGATAATGTTTGGGAGTGCGAGCCGGTTCCCTTTGTTGCACATAGTGTATATTAAAAAGGGAAGATTAAGATTACAAATTTCTGGGCAAGTTTATGTAATCTGTCTTGAAATCTTGCGGTGGCTCTTTGATCTCTGTTTTTTTAGTTACAGGAGACTAAGAACTTAATATCCATAATTTTGATATTTTTTAGTTTGTACGAGGATTTAAAGGTTTGAGTTGATTACGTTTAACAATTTATTAGAGCATCTCCAATGCAAAATGCTATTTCTCCATAGTAAAGTTATATTTTAAGAGGAGCTACAGTGCCAAAATTTTATATTTTAGCAATTCTATTCCAATGGTACATTTTCATCCAAAATGTTCTATTTTAGCAATTCTGCTTCAATTGAGATGACACTTTGACCATTACTTTCCTTATTTTAATCAATGTATTATTCCTGCATTTTCATGTGACTTTCTAGCCCATATCTACACAAAAATACAAAAAAAAGGGCTTAGCATCTCAAGTTCTCAACTTATAACAACCTGCTATATATGAGAGAAGTTTTGAGAATCTCATATTTTGAGAGGTTGTATAGTACATCATTGGAGTGTATCGAAAAACAAAATCTCGTATATTTTAAGTTTGAGAGGACATTTGAGAGAGCATTGGAGACGCTCTTGGGGGCAATTGCTTGGTGCACTAATAAAATTCTCGGGTTGTTGAGCGTGAGAACACAGGTTCGAATTCTAAGAGTAGCCACTTTGTGTGCATTAATGCAAAAAGGTTGGGTTTTTAACTAGTCCCCCTCCCAGCATCCTCGATTAACGAGGGCCACACTAGGTAAGGACCCTTTTACATTTTAACAAGGGTAAATTACATTGACCTCCCCTGAGGTTTGGATAAATTATACACGGATAGAGCGTTTGGCTTTATTACTTTGACCTCCCGTAAAAGTGTGAAATGTCTTTCATACCCTTATCTAATTTAATATAAAAAATTTGTCAAACAAGAATACTCTATTCCCTTCTTTTTATCCCTTTTAAACATTATATTACTATATATATATATATATATTTGATAAGTAAAATGTATTAGAAAGCGTTCAAAAGGGGAACATGTCCCAAGCTATACAAAAGCAAAACGGAACCTATGAACTCAAAGAGCCCAAAAGGTTCAGAATATCCTCAACGGAAAAATAATCTCTCCCCCAACCCCAACAAAAAAGAGTACAAATAATAGAATATTTCAGCACCCCAATGGAGGACTCCTTCCCATCAAAAGATCTTCTATTTCGCTCTTTCCAAAGGCTCCACCAAACGCAAAAGGGTCACCCTCCAGAACCTCGCCTAAGTCCCCACCCATTGGCCCCTCCAAGTATCCAGTAATTCCCGAGAAGTCCGAGGCATGACCCAATGAATACCAAACAAACCAAAAGTAAGACTCCAACAGTCATGAGCCACTGGACAATGCAGCAGAAGGTGATCCACTGACTCCCCAGTAAACTTACAAAGACAACACCGATTAACAATGATATGTCTTTGCTTCCTCAAGTTGTCTAAAGTCAATATCTTACTCCAAGCTGCAGTCCACACAAAAAAAGCCACCCTAAGAGGCGCCTTATACAACCACACCGTCTTCCACTAGAAAGTGGCGCCATGAAAACCAGAGAGGCATACAAAAAAGGACTGGACCTAGAACATCCCCTGTGTAGAAGGCACCCAAATCAGGGAATCTGCACCAGTGCCCTCCACCTCTTGTCTGTACAGGAGAGCCAACAAACCAGTGACATCATCCAACTCCCAATCCTGAAAAGATCGCTAGAATCGCACATCCCAAGACAACCTCCCGCTATTAAGACGATAGCAGTTAGCAACCATAGCATGTTTGTCAACAGCAATCCTGAACAGCCTTGGGAACAAAAAAGCCAATGGCCTATCCTCACACCAGGAGTCCTCCCAAAACCGGACATTCCTTCCATCCCAAACTCTGAATCTAATATGTTTGGAGAATTCATCCCACCCTTTACCAATGGCCTTCCATACCCCCACTCCACTGGCAGACCTGACTGGCTTAGCTGACCACCCCCCTCTCCTCTCCCCAAAGCGAAACGATATAACCCTTCTCCATAATCTATGTCTTTCACTACCGAATCTCCAAAGCCACTTGCCAAGGAGAGCACTATTGAAGGGGGCCAATTTCCTAATCCCAAGCCCTCCCAACTGAAAAGGCCTACAAGATGATACTTAAACTCTTCTCCACGACCCCCTCCAAAAGGAAGTTTCGTTGAAGCATCTCAAGTCGTCCAACAATAGAGGCTGGAATCCGAAAAAGCGAAAGAAAGTACGTTGGGAGGCTTGACAAATAAATATATATATATTACTATATATATATATTTATTTTTTGAGAAAAAGGAAACCTAATTGAATGTCATTAACAAAAAAATATGTATATATATTTGTAAAATATATAATATTAAATTTGTATGAAAATTGATACTTTGCATTTCAATGGCATTTCATGATATTTTTGTCATCTCATGTCAAAATGTAAGTTGTTGAGGTCTTTTAACACAAGGAAAGGGCAACTTAGTCATTTTTTTTTAATTTTCATTAACGGCGGGGTGGTGTCGCTGAGCGCACACACCAAATCTCGGGGGAGCTTAAAGTAATAAAGGCCAAATGCTCTATCTGTATGTAATTTGCCCAAACCTCAGGGAGGTCAGTGTAATTTACCCTTTTAACAATTTATTCCTTCTAGACCTATGTTTGTCTTCTTAGTAGTTTGTTGTTTTATGCAGAATATAAGGAAATATCTTGTGATGAGTTGTTTTAATTGCATGTGTACAAAATTATAAATTGTACAAGATAATGCAATACTTAGAAGCAAATTCCCAATGCATCCCACTTAGATCTACGACTAGATTAGCATAGTTAGGATTATTTCTCAAAACTTTCTATAATTGGACCACTAATCTATACAAGCGTTATTGCCGGCCCGCTTTGAAGAATTTGTGGGCCGGCAGGCGAGACTGAATGGGTGGGCACGATATAGCAAGTCAAGCCCAGTTCAATTTACTTTCAGTTGTAAGTCATCCCTTCTGCTCACTTTAGGGGCCTTAGCATCGAAGAACATTGCAAGCTTTTATGGTTATTATTTTCTAATGTATAAGATTGGATCTCACACATGCAGGGCAGAGAAAGAGCCCCCTTCAACACTTATGTGGACTTTATTTTATTTGGCTCAGGTTTGCTGTCATCACTTGGAAAATTGGTTGGCGTAATTTTCTCTACAATCTTATTTCTTTTACATTTTCTTAAAGAAGTTTCATCTTAATGCAGCATTATGACAGACGGGGCCAATATGATATTGCTCTTGCCAAAATTGACGAGGCAATAGAACATACTCCGACTGTGATTGATTTATACTCGGTCAAGGTGTGTTTATAATTTCTCTGTGCGATTTACTGATAGTTTTTGTTCATCTTCCAGTTTGTGGTATTTATGATTTCAGTTGTTATACATCTATTGATTTTTTTTTTTCCTTTGCTTGACCCTTCGTTATTTTTCTTTGATTTTATTCATTCCTAATCAACTTAAATATGATTGCTTAAAAATATACTGATTAGTTTGAACATCATGTCAAGTTATTTGCTTGTTTCTTTCTGAGAATCAAGAGCTGATCTGTTGGATGCCTGCGCGAGGGCAGAATGTGTAACTGTCATTTATTGGTTGTTTGTGACTAGTGAGTTGATGAGTTGTTTTTGGCTGAGTACAGAATCAAGATTCTTTAGCTTTGAAGAATTTTCTTGTGGAAGTTTTTTTACACCAATGAACTTCTCTGCATGATAAGACAAGGTTCTAAGATAATGTCAAAGCTAGGTTTATATTCAGTCAGCTCTTCCTTGTACCTTTATTAAAGGGGAACACCCTTGCATGCTATCTCTGTCCTTCAAGTTGGGAATCATGGCTGAATTTAGCAGTTGGATTCATTAAATGTGGTATGGTTTTTTGGGTCTTAGTTAAAGTGCCAACATTGTCAGGGTGTGAACCCGTAGCAGCAAATGGAATATTGTAGTTGACTCTGTTAACTTAGGCTATGTTTGGTATAAATAGGAGGGAAAAGAAAATGAAGGATAACATTAGTTATTAGTGAAAATAAAAGCAAGGAAAGGATAGTGTCAATATGTTAGTGTGTTTGGTTGATTAATGAAGGAGAAGAAAGGAAAAGATAGTGGAGAGAAGAAAGGAAATGATTGTTTTATATTGCGAGTGATAAGGGTAAAATTGGAATCCATTTGTTATAAGAAACAGGACAAAACAGGTAATTAGTAACTCTCCTATCATTGCTGTCAAAAATTGGAAGGTTAAGAAAATCACTGTGCAAGGGGTTAATGAGCCCCCCTTTCTCAGTCCAAATCCTTCCATATCTCTCCAGTTGTTTGAAACAAACACAAGTTTTCCTTCCAAATCATTCCATTTCTTTTTCTCATATTCATCAGATGGCCCTTAACAGTGTAAAACTTGCAGATTCAAATGTATGCATTTTGCCACCCCAGGTCAAAGTTGTTATTGTAAGTCTATTAGAAAATGTATATTGCATGTTTATTGAGTTTCAGAGAGTTAGTTTTTGTTCACCATTTACATGCCAGGAAAATGTATATTGCATGTTTATAGTTTTTGGAGTGGGACATGTATTTTGGGACATCCCAAAATAGAAAGATGCCCAAGAATTTTGGGACAAAGGGAGTATAACATAAAGATATTATAGTTACAGATATATGTGTCGTGTGTGTGTGTGTGTGGATGAGCTGATAAAGATGTTTTCAAAAATTTCCGATCAAATTTTAGATTAGAGTCCTTATTTATCTCCATGATCCTTCCCCACTCAACCCAAATACTCACTTTCAAATACCGCTGAATAGTTAACATATCTTCCATCTTCATAATAAATTCTCCACCACCCTTCCCAAGATTTTGATATATTAATTTATTTATTTAATACACTCGATAATCTCTAGAAAAAATTGTAGGATAGGAGGTAGAAGACTTCATTTGGAGGAAGGTTTAAGAAAGAGAGATAAATTGACTACTTCTAAAACAGACGAGTGTACGCTTCCTGTTTCAATACATCACTGTGTTGTAAAGTTGCTTAACTATCCATGCAAATTATTAGAAACCTGAAAATGTCGATATGAATGTAAATTGATATGCATGAGAAAAATTTGTGGAAGACATGTTTTAAGTATGCAATTACTTGAATCGGTAGATGAACATGTTATTTAAAATATATACGTATAATTTTGCATATTCGTCTCTGTACACATGTTGTAGATTTATTTGCAATTCAGAGGGATATCGATTATATTTGAACTAGCATAAATGTGTTAGAATGAAGATTAAATTAATGTTGGACACAAGCAGTAATGTGTCTTCATTTGGCATGCAATATATATATATATAGTTTGATATAATGGTCAGGTGATTTGTTTGGAATATATATGTATAAAATTAATATCATACATGGATGATTTTGGGTGCAATTTTGGTCTTATGGTATGTGACAGATTGAAATGGTATTACACATCTATGGAAGAGCAAGGAGACCCACTAAGACCTAATTGGAAGGGGTCAGTTTGATTAATGTTGCCATTGCCCTGATTTGATTAGAGTTGACCAAGGTTAATTAAATTGCTAGATTATCCAAGCTGACTAGATTAATTGACTAAAATTATAGTAAATAGAAAATAAATCAACTAGATGAAAATTTGGATAATGAAATGGTTATCATTTGATTTTTATTTATTTATTTATTTATTTATTTTTGTAAATTAGAAAGAAAATGGAAATTGGTTGAGTGGTTCCTCCCAAAGGTTCTGAGGATAAGATTTTGGGATGGTTGTGTATGAACCCACACACGAGATTAATGAACGGTTGAGTATGGTCCTGATAATGGATTTTGGGATGGTTGTGTACGATCCCACGCTTGAGATTAAGGATGCTCGAGTATGGTCCTGATAAAATATGTTGGGATGGTTGCATATGATCTCACACGTGAACATAAGGATGGTTGCATACGGTCCTATTTGTGAGAATTTTGAGATGGTTGCGTACGATCCTGCACACGAGGATAAGAGCGGTTTTGTATAGTCCTGGATGAGAATTTAACTATGTTAGTAGGAGTGCAACTTGGGCGGACCAACCTGAGCCTAACCTGAGCCTAACCTGATCTTTTACAGGCTTGGACAACCATTTTTACAATTTGGGTTAGGCTTGAGTTGAAAAATCTTAATCCGAACTTAATTAGGGTTGGGCTTGGGTCGAGGTGTCAAGAACTTGAGCCAACTTGAATTCTATTTTTATTTTTTTATATATTTTATAATTTTAATATAGTATATATATTTCAAATTATGATCACAATTTTCTTTTTAACTTTCTTTTGTTTAAATTTTAATTTATTCTATAATAATAATACTCTCGTTAATTAATTCCATAATTAATTCTTTTTTTAATTTTTTAGAAATTTACATTAATTTTTTAGAACTTTTTATGTGGTACCCCTACTCGAAGGTAAAATTGATGTACTATATGTATTTTTGATATAGACACACGTGTGCACATTGAGTTTCTATCCTCCTTGCTTCTTTAGATCTTCCCCATTTTCTGTTTTTACACACATTTTTGTATGTGCAATGGTGCAAGGTCCTTGATCCAGGAAAACCAAACTATTGCAAAAATTTGGTCCAATTTGACTGGATTAGATACTAACTTGACTACCCCGATCATGATTGGGCTCGGGCTGGCTCTCCGTAACCCGAGGTAGGCTTCAACCCGGCTTGGGCTACATTACTCATAGCATAGGTTGGGCTAGGGTTGACCCTTCAACCCCCTCAAGTTGCACCCTAATATGTTAGTATAGTAGTCTATACATGTCTAATTATGATATTAATCCTATGAGTGAGTTCATATTGCACAGTTTTGTTTTGCGCAAGAGTGCCACTTGTTGCGCAATGAACTTGTTGAGTTGTGAGCTCACTCCTTGCTATCTTTTAGGTACTACTTGCTATCTTTGGAGGGTCAGTTTTGGGTGCTTGGAAGTGATGAAGCTTCAAAAATTGTCATCGTTCCTCTTAGCTCTTCTTTCTTTTGTCGAGAGAGCTATGTGGTGAACTCTTGATGAAGGAAGATTTAGAGTGGACTTTGTTATGATCTCTTGTTTACGTTATGATGATGTTTTGAATATTGTGTTAGACTTCATATTTCCTTATGGTTGGATAATTATTTTAAATTAGTAGTCCATATGTGGAATGTTAGTTTGCTGTATTTGGTATTTGTTACAGTTTACGCTGTGAATTAAAAATGATGGGGAATTTATTCTGAAATTTGAGAGGGGGCGTGACGTGAAGTACATAATATAATTGCTAGCATGATGCCTTGGCATGTTGTGGTAGGAAAGAAATAAAGTGAAACATTTTAGCAGATAGTCAATGTGGTATAGGTAGTTTTGATTATAGTCAATGTGGGAAAGGTAGTTTTGATTACCTTAAAAAAGATTTAAATACCTCACTATTCCCTGGACGATTATATGGCTTTTGTCTTCTTACACTGGGAAAACGATATTTGATTTATGTGGACCTATATACACTGTAAATGATAAAAAAATATTGCATCCCTTGGTTACTGGTGGTCTGATTCTATTGTTAGTTTTATTTTAGGTTTCAAATATTAACACCATCTGCTACTGATCACAGGCCCGAATACTGAAGCATGCTGGTGACTTGGCGGCTGCTGCTGCATTGGCAGATGAAGCTAGGTGTATGGATCTTGCAGATCGCTACGTAAATAGTGAATGTGTGAAACGTATGCTGCAGGCTGATCAGGTTCAGAACTGCATTTCTATGCTTTTCTCTTAGTTATAGGTGATATTTTTGCATGTAATTGTCATGTTTGCTGTTTTCTGTTGCATAACTTTCCTTTGTATTTATAATGCTTTCATATGAACATTTTTACCCTTGAAGGTTGCCTTGGCGGAAAAGACAGCTGTCTTGTTCACGAAAGATGGAGATCAGCACAATAACCTTCATGATATGCAGTGCATGTGGTGTGTCTCTGCTTGGAGGCCTGATATTGGTAATTGTTTTTGTTCTTAGCTACTAAATGTGCTAAACTCTCTCTCTATTTGGAAGGTATGAACTTGCTTCTGGAGAAAGTTACTTCCGCCAGAGCGAGCTTGGACGCGCTTTGAAGAAGTTCTTAGCTGTGGAGAAGCATTATGCAGACATCACTGAGGACCAGTTTGACTTCCATTCTTATTGCTTAAGGAAAATGACTTTGCGAGCCTACGTAGACATGCTGAAATTTCAAGATCGGCTGCATTCACATGCTTATTTCCGCAAAGCAGCGTCTGGAGCTATCAGGTGAATATTTTTTTTTTGGTTTACACAAGTGTAGATTATTTAACAATAAAGGTGATTGGTTCCCACTATTTGCCAATAATGTGCCTTAATATGTATTGGTATCGAAATTATAGATTATTGATAATGAGATATTGTTTCCTTCAACTCGTTCGTAACCAGTTGTGTAAGTCTCATTCCATCTTAATGTTCCTGGTTCTTTATCACCTGCAATGCGATCCTTGTCCTCTCTTCATATTCATGATTAATTGAATTGAGGTGCAGGTGCTATGTGAAGCTGTATGATTCTCCTTCAAAGTCAGCAGCTGAAGAAGATGATGAAATGTCAAAAATGCTTCCTTCTCAAAAAAAGAAACTGAGGCAAAAACAGAGAAAAGCAGAAGCCCGAGCTAAGAAAGTATTTTACCTTGTTTCTATAAAATCCGAGAAATTCTTTTCTGTCTGAATTCTTTGAATCCAAATATTTTGTTTTTTCTTAGGAGGCAGAAGTGAAAAATGAGGAATCAAACGTTAGTGGTGTCTCTAAGTCTGGAAAGCGACATGTCAAACCAGTAGACCCGGATCCACTTGGGGAGAAGCTGGTGCAGGTTCTTTTTTCCTCCCTTTATCTTTTGAGATTTTTCTAGTTTTCTGTATTTTGAGTGTAAGATTTTTGACTGCGTCTGGACCTGTCAGTCTTCTAGCTTAGTTACTTTCTTAAATTCCTTGGGTAATAACATATTAATTGGGGATATGCATAGGTTGAAGATCCTTTGCTGGAAGCTACAAAGTACTTGAAGTTGCTTCAAAAGCACTCACTTGATTCCCCAGACACACACTTGCTTTCTTTTGAAGTATATATGAGAAAGCAAAAAATCTTGCTTGCCCTTCAGGTACTTTTGTATTCATAATTTTTTTTTTTCCTTTTCCACTATCCGTCACTCTTTTGGCTTTACTAATGTTAACTAAAACTAATGGGTGGCAGCTTAATTTAACGCCTATGATAAAAGTAGGTCAATTTAATTTGAATTCCTACTGAAACATTTTCCTATTAACATCTAGAAACTGTTTGTTAATTGTAATTTCTTGGAGGGAAGCAAGCTCAATCATGAATGATTCCCTCTCCCCTACACACTATAAATGAATTTGATTTCAGTTTAAAGTACTTTTAGCTCCTTCCTTGTGGCTAAACGATATGTATGATCTTCTGTTAATTATGGAAGTGGATGAACATGTTTGTTCTTATCTTTGAACTGTAGGCTCTAAAGCAGCTAGTACGGTTGGATGCCGAAAACCCAGATTCACACCGCTGCTTGGTATGTCCTTTTTGTCCTTAACCAATTGTAAATATGTCGGAGAATTTTGTTTTGCAATTCTACAAAATGCAAACACATACATTGTATCAGTTCTTTTCCCTTTCCCATTCCCAGTACCCAAAGCATGCAGTACTTAAAGAAAAGGGCTTCCCTGTATGCACTTGCTGATTATAAACTTGTTTCAGATAAAATTCTTCCACAAAGTGGATTCAATGCCTGCTCCAGTGACCGACACTGAAAAACTTATTTGGGGTGTCTTAGAGGCAGAGAGGCCTTCATTCAGGTTATCTTGGATATTTCCTCTTGTTTACTTTCCCAGGCTTCCGTAAATTATTGTTACATTTATTGGTAATTGCATAGTAAATGCGTCTATTTTATTTTTATCTCTGTAGTCAGTTGCGTGAAAAATCACTTATTGAGGCAAATACCTTCTTCCTTGAGAAACATAAAGGTCATCATCTACCTTATCTAACTTATATGCAGATATATACACACTCCATTTTATAACATTATCATATTGGTTTTCATTGTCTACAGATTCCTTGATGCATAGAGCAGCGGCGGCAGAAATGCTATATGTTCTAGTACCAGACAAGAAGGCCGAGGCTATAAAAATAATTGAAGATTCATCCAACAACCTGGTGTCAACGTAATGTCTCTTGCTGAATTAAGCTTATCTTGTTTCTCCTTTATTATGTTGGGGGGTATGTTTTCTTAGACGGGGATTGAACATTGAAGATCTATATATATTTTTATCTAAATTAGGAATGAAGCACTTGGACCAGTCGGGGAATGGAAACTCAAAGACTGTATTCAAGTTCACAAACTCCTAGGGATTGTTTTTAATGACCATGATGCTGCATCAAGTAAGCCCTGCATTTAATTTCTTCATCATCTGCTGTTTGTACAAGAGTACTTGTTTCTTGGTATTTTAAGTTGCTTTTTTATAGATGACAAAGGAAGTATATAATATAATGAAAATTGGCATCTAGTGGCATTTTGTTTGCATTTAGAGTTAATACATAGGGTTTTAAATCTTTTGGGAATTTTTTCTCTCTAAAATGAGGTACACATGTTCTGACTTAAGTTATTTGATTAGTGATTATCAACACAATAAATATTTTTTATTTTTTATTTTTTTTTGTGATGCATAATGAAATATATTGTCTGCAAGCAGTAATGCTTGGTATTGTTTAGTGATTGTTGCTTTGCGTTATGTATAGAAAGTATTTTGTATCGTCAGAATTTACTTTATTAATGGAGGAAATCCAGAAAATTGTTATCACCGACAACTGAGCGAGCACAAAATTCTGAGCTTATTGTTACACTTTTGTTCTTCCCTCAAATTCAGGTTACGGTATTTAGCAATTTTTGCAGACCAGACATATGTGCACTCTAATATAATATTTATGTGTTTCCATCTAATTATCCAATAGTTTTCATATTTGCTCACGCTTGCATGAGCCGAACTGGTTCTGCCAAAGTTCTGTAATGAACCTTCAGTTTATTACATGATAGCTTGTGCAGCTGTGAATGTCATCTCTGACTCTATGTAAATAATAACAGAATGCTTTTCATCCATTCATCAACATGCCATATGCCACCATTTAATATGTTTAATATTCATTTTTTTTTTTTTTTTTGGCTAATAATTTGGAAATCTTACGTTTGAATATCTCCTTAGTTAGAATTGATACTTCAAATGAAAAGGGCATGAATAGGAAAATAGGGATTTTCTGTGTTAAGAGTGACTGCATTTTTGCTTCTCTCCCCTTGGTAAAAGCATATAGCCAATGTATAAATTAGGGACATTATTTAATGTTTGTATCACACTAAAAACATTCGGAAACACCAAAATGTATAGACATAATGCTGACACTGATTTTATCTTATAGGATGGAAAGTGCGATGTGGTGAGTGCTTTCCATACTCAACGTACTTTGAAGGCAGCCACAGCTCTGCCATCCCCAACTCGGCCTACAACCAGATACGCAAGAACCCTGAAAATGGTGGTCATAACCATCCAGATTCTGATCAAATTTCTGAAGCTATTCCTTCAAATGGAAAACTAGAGGCCTTTAAGGACCTCGTCATTTAATTACAACAGAGATGAAAGGCACACTTCAAGAAGTATCTGCAAGAGGCTTACTGTTCTGCATGATAAGAATCATAACACCATGCTGCGGCTTAGAAATATACCCAGATGAGATGAGATGAGATGAAAGCACAGCACATCAGAAAGATCATTTTAGCAGGGTTCAGGTTATGGCGACTTCCTGTTTACTATAGCTTTGAGATTGGAATTTTTTTTTGCCCTAGTTCGACCTCCACCTGATTTTAGAATGCATTCCTTTGCAAGTGTGTATAATTTACTTGCATTGTATTTCTAAAGTGGTTGATTTTTATGTTTGCTCTATTTTGGTGGCACTGTGACGAGAGGTTTTAGGGGTTTGTCTTTGCACTAGCAACATTTAAACCGCTTTTAGGTTGGAGGGAGTTCTAGGAAAGTTTTTAAGAGTACTGGTCCTATGCTGGGTCAGCGAAGCACTATACCCAATAGAGTTGATTACCAGAGCATGTTGTACTTCCCCCCATTTCGTTGACCATTATTTATAATGTATAAATGCTATGTTATGTGAGAAATTTTGGCATGGAATTATTCAATAACCAATTGATATTTTGCTTCTGTATCATACTTTTAAGCGACTTCAGCTACCTAATGTTCTAGTGATGTGATCCTTTCTATTTGGTACTTGAGGGAATAAATACAGTTCTGCAGTTTCGAGACTATATGGTCCCGGCCAATCGCCTACCTATATGGTTCCGGCCAATCACAAGTTGACATTCCAACAAAATTTGAGTATTGTCTAAAGTTGTGTGCGCGTGTTATGTTATATTTAACTGAAGCAAAAAGCCTACTTTGAACATATTTTGGCGTGTTCTCCAATATAAATTTTCTGATTAACACAAATTGACATACAAACTTGGTTTGCCACAACAGCCTACTCTGTTATGTTCTGTTTTTCGCCACAGCTCTTTAGGTAATCGAGATGTCTATAATTTACAATTGGTGGCAAACCTTTCAAACAGAAAACAGATATTTCTCAAGATATTTTGAGAAACTTACAAGATAATTCCAACACCTTCATTAATATGTATAGCAGTTTTTAACCGACCAATGCCTGAATGTGACACCTCGCTATGTTTGGGAGCACCTTGGTTAAAACTAACTTTTAACTAATTTTTGACCTTTAACTTTTAACTAATTTTTAATCCAAAGCACGATTAACGCAACATTAAGATTATTTTTCAAATAATTAAAATCCAAATTAGACTAATAGTTCTTGAGTTGGTCCAATAATAGTGCACAATTGCAAAATTTCACACATTTCCCCACCTACAATTGTTACAATAAAATTCATACATTAACATCACTTTCATGTGCATTCTCCCTGGGATATCACAGAGTTTTATTTTCTTGCATCAATGCAACACCGGATAATACAATGTTGGCAACACATGCAAATTTAAAACAGCTTCAATGATCGGTTTTCCAGTAACAGAAATGCACTGCTTGCGTGCTTGTGAGTGCTCTCTGGCCCCAAAAGGTGGGTCTCCTCGATCCATATATCCAAGAGAGAATCTGCCAAAACTGGTAAAGCAGAAAAATAGGCTTCAGAAGTAATCAATGGATACTCGTATCTGGTTATGTATAAATTTGCAAAACTGAAAGCTTCTCAGCTGGAGTTCCTGACTGGAACAGAAACCAGATTCAGTTTGTTCTCATGGAAACTTCTTCCCACAAATCTCACCGTTCCGGTCAATAATGCCAAAGTTCATGTATTCTTCACATCACTATAATTCAAATATATTGTTCTCATTTAAAATATAGGAACCCGGCCAATAGAAGGGACACTGTAGATAAATTGTGATAGTGACCTAAAGCTTGCAACACCAATTGGGGTTGAGAAATCAACTAACTAGAACACAGTGCTCCCATAGACACCGTCAGCTGGCCCATTATCCACCCTCCTCTCACTCTCTTGCCGGCTGGTGTTTAACGGTGAAGCCCCACTATTCTCAGCAACCTCAAATTTACAGAGGGGACATGATGCGTTGATCTTCAGCCATTTATCCACGCAGTCCACGTGGAAAAAATGGGAGCACGGTAGCTCCCTCAATTCATCATTGTCTGCATATTTTGCTAAGCAAATACAGCAAACCTGGAACCAAATTGGGGAAAACAAGAGAAAATTATAAAATTATCAACCACTAATAGACATAGTCTTGGGCACTTCATGAATCACGTTGTGCATTCTGTTATTATCACTCACAAAATGACATTTAGCGAAAGGAACCACAATGCCAAAATACCATTTCATCTTTAAAAACCTACAAATCAGCCAAGTTTCTTTTGCAATTCGTCAATTCCAAGTACCCAAACTAAAATAAACAGACGTTGGCCAGCTCAAGTGTATCCAACCAAAATTCACCAGATATTTCCAAATTATTCTTATGAATTTCGTCAATAAAATCCTTTTCCATGGGTTTTATGTTCAAACGTACATGAAAGATCCAATATTTCAGTATTAGATTATTGCTTCGGAATGAGTTAAATGCCTATTTTGTATACTAAAATAAATAGAAATATTAATTTACTCTAAAAAATTAAAGAAAAATAGTAGTAAATAATAAGAATATGAAGCAGTGTCCATGTCTCCTTCCTATTTGGAGATTTTGCTACATCTGATGTTCGCCAACAAACCCGCACCTGACAGGCATTCCAGAATCTAAGAATTCGATTATTGCTTCAAAATGTGATAAATGCCTAATTTGAATATAACAACACATAAAAACATTATTTTACTCTAGAAAATAAAAATAAATATTAAATAATATGACTACTAAGCAATGTCCATGTATCCTTCTATTTAAAAATTTGATACATCTGATGTTATCATATATATACCTGCACTTGATGCAGTCTAGGTAACATAGTTTTAATATTTTTAAAGATACTATGCTTTATAATAATAATTATTATTAAGCTAGTTGGGAAAGGCTTTGTTGAGTTGAGTTGGGCTAATTATTTACAGTTTGATTTAGTGCATGATCCATTTAAAGAGCATGAGAAAAGCACCCACAGAACATAATATCAAACTTACTGCATCATCTCCTGAGATGGCACGCTCTTTTTCTGTTCCTGCTGCCAAAACCCCACCATCACCAGCTCCAGAGTTTACTTCTTGATCATCACCATTTTTCTTCAACTTGAACTTGTAAGTCGGTAAAGCATTAATGGATTCTGGTGTGGCACCTCTGGTTTGTGAAAGATCCTCCCGGAAGCCCAGGATTGAAATTATACAGGGCAAGCAACAACAAATTGTTGCACATAGTATAAATGGCATGGCATACCCAATACAGCTAAATGTAAGGAAAACTATACATAACCTGCAACAGACCAAGAACAATCAGTTGGCGACTTAAACAAGATGAAGCCAATAGAGGAAGTATATGATGCTATCTGGTGTACCTATACAATTTTGGAGCATCAGAGGGGGAAGAGTGACCTCCAAAAATCCACACGTTACCCACAACAAACCACACAGCAAAAAAGCAATCCAATGCCATTTTGAAGTGGTCCACTAGTCCATTGAAGCTGCAAATCAGAAACAAATCACAACATCTATAAATCAGTCTGAGATAAATAAAGCAGATAGGAAAAAACTTAAGCCATAAGATGTAAAAAAGCAGAAAAGAGTCTTTGGCATGGCATTCCTGATTTTTTAACACAACTTTACTGGGGCATACATTTACTCACATGAACATATTGAAATTACATTTGAGAAAATGTTTAAATGGCAAATATAGAAGTATATAATATATGTTTGAAAATAAAATTTTGATTTGAAAAAAGGCATTTGGTGTAGATACCATTGTTGCCATTCATTTTAGATCTTACATAATTACACAATGGATTGCTAGAAACTTGATAATAAGATAATTAGCAACAGCAACACCATTGAAGAGGAATCCAATAGATAGCAATTTTTTTCCTAGAAAATAAATGGAAAACCTCAAAATAGTTAAAAAAATTAATCCTACAAGAAGAAAATACAAGCATAGTATCCACTTGCATTTCAATTTGAAACACTTTCATTTATATTAAGTAATAAACTATTCAAAAACTTGGATTACTTTTAATAAATATGATTCTTCTGATTTAAGTGCATTTTACCTATTCAATACATGATTCAACTGAACTAAGAATTGAGATATCTTCAAGTTCATTATTACATAGAGGTGATTTTTTATTTTTTCTTTCGTCAAATTTATTGAACACGTGTATAAGGAGGACACTTGATATACGTCTTTGTTAATGATGCAACTTAAATATATAAGATAAACTTAGTTGGAAACGTGGAGCTATGCTTTAGGTATAAAATAAGGAAAATAAATACTGACTGTATGAAATGTAGTCTCAGTTAAACAAGGAGTACATATAGCGGTGTAATTGCGAATAGAAAAAAAAAAAAAAAAAAATGATGGCAGCATGTATATGTTGGTACATGCCAAACAACGAGACTCAGCGGACACTCCTAGACACATTTTTGATACCTCAATGAATGTGCTCATTATTCGAAAGCTTTATTTATTTATTTTAATTTCCGACACTTCCTAAACACTCCCCCAACACAGGCCTTATCTAGCACAAATGTATCTTAAAAGGAGTCACATCCCACAATTTTGAAAGTAAATAAGAAATGCATACACATAGAATGTTGGTTTGGGTGGTGAGAAAAGGAGATCCGTGTGGCCAACCCATATACATATAATAAGACTGCTAACTTGATCGATCATAAGTGCTTAAAGAATATCATTTTATTTCGCTAAGCTTAATTTCAATGACCTCTGAATAACAGCAGATATATTCACCAACAAATTCAATAGCAGTGGTACAGTAACAATTTAACATTAAGATAACCAAACAGCTAATAATTACATTAATTGACATGTCCAGTGTTTAACTAGATAAGCAAGAGCAAATGAGACTCACCGTGAGCTAAAGCTTGGGACAATCTCACTGTGTCTTGAAGATGTAACTGCAGTTTGCTGCTCTTCCACTTCTGAATTTCGAACAGCTGAAATAGCTGTGTATGAAGCAGGTTCAGATGAAGAGTTGCCTTGAGAAGAATCCTGTTGTGTCCGTGAGGAATCTTGCTCCCTACCCTGGTTGCGGTTACGAAAGCGCCAATAAAGAACAGGCAGCGTTGCAACACAACCAGATGCATAACCCACAACCCACTCAAATAGTGGGGCCTGTGGTTTTTCATTTCTTGCCAATGACAAAACAACAATAGATGCAATAATTTGACTCACAGTAACAACTAGCTCAACAGAAATCCATAGGCCAGAATTTAATGGGCTCCTACGGCGATGCGAATATCCATCACCTCTCCTTATTAAGGAAGAATTCCTGGAGTTTACTCTATTTGTGGATGACACAGAAGTTTGATGCGTAGGGACTCCTGTGCTACCTGATGCTCTGTCTTCATGCTGTGGTGGGTCCATTCCAGGAGGTTCATCATCATACGATGAGCTTGACGAAGCATCATTACTCCTTGGTATGTCAATGACGTGCTCTCTATCATTATGTGTTTCCTGCCGCTCCATTAGCAAAGGGTATCTATCAGCTCCAATTTCACAAGGTTGTTCCAATGAGGGAACGTCCATCTAAGTCCAACAAAAGTAGATGGAGAGAAAGCATAGATCATCAATGGTGAGATTTCCAACTTTCCAAGCTTCTTCCCTATTAACTTCCAAATAAAAGTATTAACTTGTCTTATAAAATTAACAAGTTGTCCCAAAAAACTTGTGATTCTCAGATGGGTTCTGTTACGAAAACAACACCAAAAATTCAGAACAAAGATTGTTTGCCTTCACTTTTTGCACAATTAATTCAACATACAACATCATGATAGCAATTTCCAAGTCCGGCCAGTTGCGTGTGTACATGACTTTTATTGGTAATAAATCACATTCTGAATCCCTTAGCGATCATAAGTGACATTTTTTTCCTAACTGATCATAAATGAGATTTATAATTCATTGACATGAACGAGAACACAATTTAATAAGCTAAACAACTTCCCATCAGAGTTGAATTAAAAATTGATGAATTTGTATAAGGAACGTCACAAATTGATCAAGACATTACATTTTCAACTTAATCTTGAATATCAAACAAGTACATGTCAAATCCACATACAACAGACAATTAGCAAGAGACCCACCAAGAAAAAATCCAAATTCTCAGAGTGAAATACATAATTTAAGTCAGTACCAAAAACCCACGAATCATATATAATCAAATTTATACAAAAGATCAAAACCAAATTTCACCTGCAAGTATAGACTTTTATCACGAACTCATAGGAAAAACAGATTCATTCAACTTCAACACTACCAAATTATAAGCCTATAAAGGATTTACCACTTGAGATAGAAGATTTAAGAATCTGCCAAGAAAATGTAAACCCTAAATCACAAAATAGTGGGATTAACAAAATTGGTGAGATGAAACGCCTTACCAGATTCAACTAAACAGTGGGGCCATTAAAGACGCAGCTCTGAGAGAAGAATTGGGGAGGCTTTTGGAGCTCAATTATTCACTTTTAACCCTTTTCTTGGAAACTATGTTCTCGAGAAAATATAGCTGTCAGCTTTTGTAATCCATAGCACTCACGAACTCATCATCTAACACAGAAAGAGAGAGATTAAAAGGTTAACATCATATATAGTAGCAAAAGGTTTATGGACCATTGATGGTTGAGCTCGATATCATCGATGTGATCTGACGGTTAAGATTTATTTTCCATTTTATTGTTACACTGTAATTCTGGTCTTTTCCTTTTTAATTTTTATTATTAAAAAAATAAAAGAAACAGTAACTTGTTTACCGGAAAAAGACAATCAATTATGAGCATGTGGGTTTTTTTCATATATTTGTAGGTGCAAAAAACATGGTAGAATTTTTCATATATTTTTTATTGAGGAACCCGTATTTGTAATAGTTTACGGTTGAGTTAGTTTAGGATTTTTCATACATTTTAATTGAGGAACCCGTATTTGTAATAGTTTACGGTTGAGTTAGTTTAGGATTCACATTCTTTGTTCCCAAACTCTTTCATTTTTTTATTTTTCATTCCTATTTGATCCTTATTTTCATTAGAATAATGATACACAAAGTCCTAAATTTCGTTCTCAATGGGATCGCCAGCTTGATTATTGAGGTAAGACTTCGGCAATAATTGGACCAGGCTCAAATGTTTATCAGGCTTGGTTTGGTTTTCTCGATTTGGGCTTCGTGTTCCCACCGGGTCGGTCCCTCAAGGATGATAAATTCGGTTGTTGCTCATTATACATACCCATCTACGTGTTGCTTCATCATTGGTCCTCCAAACGAACCTGTGTCTTGTTCTTATTGGAAGAAAATTTTCCCTCCACAATATTGAATCATGGATCCATGATTTAAACGTGCACTTGATTAATCTCTCAACCCATCGAACTTACTACTTACATTATAAATAAAAAAAGAAAAAAAAAACTAAGGGTAAGGGTAATTCACTAGGCTCCATACATTCTTATTTTGGCAAGATATAAAATGAATTAGATATACTCGCGTCTTATTTTAACATGGGAAAAGACTATTTTTTATTTTTTTTTTTATAAAAGGAAAAAGAAGTGATACAAATTAAATATTTAATGAAGTAACATATACAATATATTTCGGTATCATTTTTTTTTTAGTGGAGGACGAAAAGCACTGTATACAAAAAACAAAAAGTGTCGATTAAATGTATGGAAACATAAACCATCACTTTAAGCAGCCGTCCGGACGCAATCATTACATTTAGCATAATTTCTACTAAGATTCACCTTCTTCAAGATTCGGCTCCACGTCATACGTTGTCTTATCCCCTTCAAATGAACGGTCTTACTATTTTGGAGCTACTTGGATAGTTGGATATAGTCCCAAAAATAGAAACCAAACAAAAATAAGATCTTTGTACATCTGATTCTTTCTAAATTCTATAATATGGAAAAATTTGAATTCATCCGGGGTCTTCATTTGTTTGATCACACAGACATGTCCTGTCAACAAGATTGAAGGATTTTAAGTAACAATAAAGAAGTTTCATAACAAGTTCATTGCGAACGCCTTCGTAACCTAAGTGGTAGGATTGCTCCCCGTTGTCCTTGCCTCCGACTTCAAGCCTTCGCACCCCCTCCCCACTAGCCACTAAACTCTAACATTCTTATCATGAAAAAATATATATAAAAAAATAATAATAAGTAACATCTCATCAAAATAGAATTTCTAACATCAATAAAATTTCTAAAATATTTTTCTTATCACAGGGAAATTTTTTTTCTAATATATTAAGCCAGCCCTGAATATATTGTCTCGAAATATTGGGTCAAGCCCATGAGAGATGCCTTAAAATTTGTTGTAAGCCACAATGACCGGTAATGCCCAAAGAGATAACAGGCCGAGGCCTACAAACGAAGATCCTCATAAAAATCCTAGGCGTTAGCTTGCAAGATCATGGGCTTTCTATGGCTTCACTCACATACTTAAGCCCAATAAGCCCTATATCAAATGGGTTACATCAAACTGACAGGCCCAGTTAAACCTAGAAGGTCTAGTATATTGTGGTGCGATGTGTAATTTTTGGAATGCATTGGATGTGACATGTTTCTCTTGGGTCACGACAAAAATTATTGGGCCCAATGAGAGTCCAACAGCAAGAATTGGGCAAATACTGTAACAAACTACATGTGTCATTAAAATGGGCCACTTATTTAATATCCGACTCCATGGATCACTTTGATACACATTACCTAGTTCACGTCCACAACTATAATATCTTCAGGCTATTGGAAAGAAAGTGACGAGATGTATAGCTGTGACATGACGTTGCTTGAATCAAATTTGTCTAGACAGGGAACGCAAGGTTGGCATATGATCGTACTGGGCGAAAGGCCCATAAATTATGGCCCACCGTTTCGTCCATTTCAAAAATCTTCAAAAACAATTTCTGTTGGATAAGAAAATAATTGTGACATCAAAATTAATTTGCGATCTAGATATATAAGCCATGTAACAAAATACCCATACCCTTTTTGACAAATGGCAATTCAGGCAAGGTCTACTTTACTTGAAGGCGACTAATAATAAAGGCTTCTATAGGAGGACTCTCCAATAATTACTAGTAACAATTTTGAGAGATTCAGAAATTACCATTCAACAGACGTTTCTCTTAAAATATTCCTCAAAAGAATTTGATTGTATAATAGAAATCTATAATCTATGTATAATGTATGGTCTTCAGGGGTGATAGAACTTTTTTCCACAAAAGACACTGCATTTTTTACTTCTAATCTAGGTTATATATATAGTAACTTATAAGAGTAATCTCTTTATTTATTACTAGTAAACTAATTTTACAATTAATTACTTATATATATATACACACACACACATTGAAGAATAAGAAAGATATAGTCATATATATAATGTTGATCTGGGACCAATTGTTCTTGGAAGGTCATTCTGAGAAAGCTTCCAAATTTCCACCCATTTCTATTAAGATTCATGACTATATTTACTGGACCCTCTCTATCTCTCTAGCTGTACAGCTTGTGTATGTGGCAAAATTAATGTGTATTGTTACTTCAACCACAAGTTTCTCTTGGTATTACACCAGTAATGGAACAGTCCCATGAAAAGACATCTCTTTAATTTAGTGTTCAGTTTGAGCTGGCCGGCTTACGTGCGAATGGCATGGCAAGTTGCATTTCACGTGCAGTTCACAGGCATGTGGATGTGGGGGATCCGACGTGTCACAACAGGGACCACCCGTTTCCAGCGGTGGATTCAAGGGGTGTTACCCCACCAAATTTATTTTTTTATTTTTTTTTATTTATTATTTTTTTTTAGTATAGGTATATTTAGTCTAATGTTTTTTAAAAAAAAAATTAATAATAATATTAACACCCCAATTTTAACCCATCTAAACAAGCCTAATATATAAGTCACAATTTTAAAATAAAAGCCCAACCAAACACGCCCAAGGCAAACAAGTCCTAAACAATCACTAAGCCGAAGCACAGACTCTTAAATTCCTAATCTTGCACAGATCAAAGAACTCACTCATTCTCTCCCTCTAAAATCTAACCCTATTTTCTCTAAATTTTTTTAACTCTTTTATCTTTCGATCCCCAATTTTTCCTTATTTAATATTAACCCTTCATTAACAATTCCTGAATTCACCCTTCCGTTTCGTATCTGGATCAACGGTCATGAAGTGATCATCCACACGAAGAATTAATGCGGTCCGAATTAACAGATCTAGGTAGAAACCGGCGGGTTTAGACCACGTTTGCTTAGAAATGTGATGAATGGTGGTGATCCGAGGATTACTGGGGGCATATCTTTTTTATTAAATAAAAAAAGAAGTGGGTTAATTCGTTGTCTCCGCGTTGATCAACCAAACACAGCACAGCATTGACCCGGTGATGTACGTGCCGGAGACAACTCCATCACGTGTGCCCATAGGTGGGACCCTTTTATATATCTCTTTGCCTTGCCCAACCCACAGGAAACATATGCTCGGTTGGAATGAAACATCCATCAACTTTCTATTTATTTATTTATAGTACCGGCGGCTTGGAAGGAGGAGAAGATACCAAGATGAAAATTAGTATATATATATATATATATAGTGCCAGTTCAAGTTTTACACTTTGTGCATGTGTTAAAATCAAATTATTACGGACTACTATATTGTTAAGTCTTTTTAACTTGATGATAATTTTATGAGATGGTATAGCACCATAGCCCTCAACCGGTTATTGATAATAGTATTTTTGTTAGTGACATTGCATGGAGAATAATGATCAACTTCTTCTTCTTTGTATTTTTTTATTTTGTCGCAGATAAGAAATACATGCATCATTCACTCACATGTTCACTTAATTTTTTTAGAAATTCGAACTTTCATCATTTACTTTATAAGGTACATGAGATAGCACTAGGTCACAAAAGTCATTGATGACTAATAAATCAACTAAAATGAGAAAATAATTGATATACCAAACTAACGGATGTCATATGGATGAATGTAAGTGGGGCTCAAATAGGGTCCACCCAATTGCATCCACCGACGGTCATGGATATTTTTTTGATAATAGTTACAAGTATTCGGGGTTTTGTCCCGACTAAATCTTAGGAAACCGTACAAAGTGTTATTTCTACACAAGTTAGGTAAAGTTCAAACTTTTTATCCATGCATGGGTGTGAGCCTAAAGAAATTTTTACACTTAAAGAAATTCGAACCTTTAAACTGATGATTCATGAGGCACCAGCCTCAACAAGTAAATTACTACTTGGGCCAACTCTTTAGAGTTAGGGTAATTGGTCATTGGTTTGAGGGTAGTATTAAGAGGAGTGAAAGGCCAATGCTATTAAGTTATTTAATCAGAGGGTCTAGTTAAAAGTTTCGCCGGGTAAGACCGATTTTATTGGTTAACACTTTTTTTATCGAAAGCTTGTATGAGAGTTGGTTTGATTGTGCTTCTATTTATTGGCAATATCTTTCATTTCATCAAGGATTTCTTAGACTATTTAGATTTAGAAATAAAAACGACAAAGAAATAGTAACATTACTAAATTAATGTTAAAAATTTAGTTAGTTAAATAACTATTCATTAAGAGCT